TGTCTTTCCTTGCACATAGTCTATGTATCCTTTTAATACTTAATCAAGTGGCTCCATTGGCACATCTATGTCCATAAATGCTTCCTGTTGCTCTTGAATAATTTGTTCATAGTCAGCCCACATTTTTCGGCCATTGAATCTCGAATTCCTTCAGCATGGTGTTTCTCGGCTGCTGTAACCCGTTGAGAAGTCGAAAGAAGGCCAAAGTCGATAGGCATAATTCTGACTCTTCCTGGTAAATAGTCTTCTGCCTGTCCATCAATGATCCATCGGTCAAGGTCTGCAGAATCATGCTGCATGATAAAGTTGTGGACAGCACACAAGGCTGGAGGAATTCTAGCTTGCACGTCCATATTGTAGTGGGGTGGATACTGTAAAATTCTCCAGCGGTTTTTGATAACACCAAATATTCGCTCAACTACGTTGCGAGCAGACGAATGCCTGAGGTTATACAACTCCTTTGCATTCAAAGGGCTGTAAAGATATGAATACCCAATTGACTTTAAACCAAATAACTCACCCCCTGTGCCCCCGCGCCCATTCAGCAAGATGATAACGCACTTGACGGTAGGGTACAAGCAATGCATCACAGATTCCAAATCCAGCATCTGCCAGATAATGTTTCCCAGCAGGAATAGGGAAGTCCTTCAGGCGTGCTGTGCTGTACATTGTGGCATCTGCCGCACATCCATCCCATCCACCAGTGAAAAAGACAAATTGCATATCAAATGATACTGCAGCAAGGCAGTTCTGAGATACACCACCCTTCCGATTCCGTGCGTTGTGTATGTCATTTGCCAACAGAGTGCATGAGATATGAGTACCATCAATTGCCCCAAGAACATCTTTGAAGTATGGCCACCACTTGGGATTCTCCCGGATAGCTTTCGGAGGAGGATCATTGACATTTGGTAGCCGGACATATGTACTATAGAACTGTTGTCCTGACAAGATATCAAGGATTTTTCAAAAGTGCCTATTCATCATTTTTTTAGCTCCCAAAAAACAAAGTCAGTGACTATATACTCAGAGATGGTAGTATGCGAGTGTTGAAAACGTTCGGCAATGTGATCAATAGCAAGACCAGTGACACAAGTATAAAGGAAGATTGCCACAGACTCGTCAAGCATGATACGTGAGCTCTCAGGTTCCAGGTATCCCATTGCACGGATTTGTAGGACAAGGGCCAAGAAAACATGGCGGCGCATCCCAAGGGCAATGTAAATTCGATCAGGATGTTCACTTTGCAGGAGTTCATTGAGCCATGCACGCCCAGTAAGTGCCGAAGTATGCAGCTCTATCTTGGAGTATTGAGGCTGGATATAGAGAGCAACCCCCAAGGTAATATACTGGATTAAGGCCATAACCATAAAGGCAACCCATCGGACCTTCTCTGTATGGGTTCTCGTGGGTAGAGGCATAGTGGTTGTCAAGAAACACAGATAATCGGCAGTGTGATCGTGATAGTAACACGTTGTAACGCTTTCATCACTCCATCAATTGTATTACATTACATTCTATTTGGCGTGCCGGAGTGGCTCTAAGCTGTCATTGATGGCTTTGGAATTAGCGCCAGATTCGGCTGACAAGCTGGAGGCGAGCGAGGGTGAGAATTTGGTGGGGGAGTTGGACTAGAGGATGGTTGGGCTGTGACTGGGACTAGGGGACTGGTGAACTTGTATATATCTTGGATGGGCTTCATGGCTCTGACAGGGGGCTGAGGGGCGACGTGCTCCTTTGAGGGTAGAGCTGACCCTCATCTGTCGTCAGAGTCGCCTGGTACCCACATATGGGACCGTATAGGCTTATTATTATTATTATTATTATTATTATTATTATTATTAACCTCAACCATAGATCTCACAGCACTATGAAACATCAAAGTAGTACTTATTTCAGAATGATTCAAAAATGTTAAAATTTCATTGAACAATCCAGAGAAATGGTAGTATTACATATTGCCCCACTTAGAATGTGTTCAAGAGATCAATTGTAGTGAAGTGACTTGTAACCAAAGGCCAGAAGAAAGGCATAGTATATATGTTGGTGGGAAAAAATGATGAATTCATGAGATTGAATCCCAAAACTTCTTCACTAAAACAGATATTAGATTGTGTGGCACATTTAAACAGGAACACCTACTCTCTGTTTCAGTGTCGACAACGACTTTCTTAAGCCGTGATTTGATGGAATCAAGGTGTGCATTCGACTCCCTAGTACCCACATGAAGGATTCCAGACCAGTGATTAATTGGCGGGTGTTCATCCAAAGTAGCCAAAAAAAGATGCTTTGAAGTAGCAAAATAGTTCATGACCTGCGTTTCCCCGCTTAGATCCCGAGAAACCATCGCACCTGCCTGATTGAGAGCGGCCCGCGAGTATGGGAGAACTTCTTCAAGGCCTGAGGTCAGCTCAGCAGAAAGCTCCCTCGCTGCTTCCAGCTTCTGATGACGTGTAGCCCGCCCATGCTTCAGCTCCTCTTTCCGTTTCTCCGTTGCAACTTTCTCGAGCCTCAGTGCTTCCGCCTCTCGCTCGGTCCGCGTGCGTACGTGGCGTCGAAACGATTGGATTGCCGACGACGGCTCCACCAGAGGAAGCAGGTCGGCCTCCTCGGCCTCCTCGGCCGGGTCGACGGTATCGGTATTGGGCGCCGCTGATTGGCTAGGTTCATTGTCACCCGAGTCATCGTCTGACTGCCAGTTCGTCGCGGCTTCTGCTCGCTTCGCTCTCTGCTTCCCCTTCTTCAGAGCGGATTTGTAGTCCTCAAAGGTGAATGGTGCATCATCAACATCTGTGCGGTTGACCTCCTTCCAACACCACCACGGCCCTGCAGTGACGATCACGATCACCGACTGCTGCAAGGCGAACCGGGGGTTGGAAAATAGACAGTGAACCTGGTAGTCGGCCTGTGTCACACCTTCCAACAAGATTTTGGACAAGTCTTTTACAAGTTGCCGAACGTCCTTGGCGTGTCTGGTGGGCAGGCGCTTGCTTTCTACAATCAGCGGCACAGCAGCCGATAGCAGACGAATCTGGCGAAAGGGCATGGATTTCCACGTGAATTTCTTGAGGAGTTTTTTGATAGGCTGCGCCGTGTCCCTAGAAGAGACGTGGCCATAGACCAAAGCGAAGTCCACCTCAACGCCAACAGCTTTTGATTCGGGGATTGTGGCCATACTAGTATCGCCATCGGAGGGCAGATTCCTGGAATGTTCCATTTCGTCGAGGGTTCTGTAGATACCATATTGAGGGATGACGATGAGTGGTAGGATAGAGTTGTCTTTGGTAGCGTAGACGATATCGAGCAGAATGGTTGTCCAAATGCCGTAGGTTGGGTTTTCCAGTCGACGACGATTATAAACGGTGCTGTAAGAGACTACAAGGCCCAAAACAACACTCAAGACCATGAATACGTCCTACCAGGTTGCTGATTAGTTCGAGATAATCGCTGGCGGAAAGCCCATACCTCGAGAGACATGGCTGAAAAGCGCTATAGAGCCCTCATGGTCCTACGTCGCCTTTATATCCTGGAAAATTATACACACGCGTCCACAATGTGACGGTCATGCAGGACAACTTGAAAAGGTCTCGCACTCACGCATCCACAATGGGAGTCATGATGGTTCGCTCTCACGCATACACAATGGGAGTCATGACGGTTCGCTACTCACGCACACACAATATCTGAGTCATGACGGTGATATTTAAACCACAATGGCTTACTATGTCACCCGTGACACACTCAAATCCAACCACCATCCCTTCTTATACCATGCCGTTCGTTCCTTTCTTTATTTGTATGGAGAACGAGGCCTAAAGTATCCCCCATAGGCGACAGACAGGAGTCTCTTCCAAGTCAGAGTATGGCTTTCCCCATGTGCTCGCAGCGTGCCCAGGTCTCTTCAATCTCGAAGGCAAAACGAGGGCCACCTATATCCCACGCCACCGAATTGGGTGGCTGCTCAACTACGTGGAGATTCGTGCGGCGACGCCTGAGGACAAGTGGTGGGCGACTGGGCCGACAAAGTTGTTCCTGAAGAAGGTTATTCGGGAGTGTTGTGCAAAGCATGGCGTGCAGGCGTGAGTCATCTCTCCTGTTGTGTGCGTGTGTGAGTTTGATTCAGTTGGTGAATACAGGACGGACATTGGAGTCCTCCCCCTCGGTGATATAGGGTATGACCTGAAGTGCCGTGACTTGCTCGGCCTCGTGTTCATCCACTTCGCCAACAACTTGACCAACGAAAGCCTTGCCGTTGCCGCAAACGAGGCGCTACTGGACGATTTGGCCGCCCTACTGCAGGTGCCTAAACAGGACGCGGTGTGGCTACTGCAGGACTCAGCTCTGTGATCGAATTTTGTGTGCTTGTACCTTTTTGTCCGAGTCGTGTGTATCGTGATAGAAGTTTCACTGGTTTACGATTTGTATAGCCCTCATGAGAGAGATCTCAGATAACCTGAACTTTTTTGTGGACGTGGTGACATCACTGGCGATCATGATCATGAGACCGCGATTGTGGACGCGTGATCGCATGGTGCGACGACGAGACGTGCTTTTGCCGATTCAGACTCACGCGCACAAAACTGAAAATTTGCATCACATTTATTCAGTAGGCGCAAATCAAACCAGGCTACAATCAAGTACATGACCGCGTCACCACCCTGCAAGCAGTAAGCTCAAAGTCAACGAGATTCCCTTGTCACAAATGAGCAGCAAGTTGACTGAAACAGCACAGCCAAACTACGGTAGTATTACATGATCGTCCAGACCAAGCCAAAACCAAAGGAAAGGAAAAAGAGGGGGATGTGAGTAAGTATGCATTACATAGATAAGATAAACAGCGTAGGCGGTAGATGGGCGTAAAAGATAGTGTTCGAGAAAAGGAGAGGCATGATGCAGAATAGATAGATGCATGGGCGTTAGTGGGTCCTTCTTGCATTTTTGTAAGCTGATCACGTCAACATATGTTCCCCAAAACGAGCCAAAAGCGCACACCTTGGTCATCATCGCCTGGTCTTCAGCGTCCGGAGCTTCTGCAGCAGCGCCTCCGCCTCGCCTGCATTCAAGCTCCCCCGACTGCGCTCCGCATCCAGCCCAGCCTCGATGCTCTCCAACACGTCGTCAATCAGCTCGCGGTAGTCCACGCCAAAGAACTGGGTCAGCTTCGCAGCTCGGCGTCGGCGCAGCTGGAACTCGGTTGCCAGCGCATCAGGGGAAGCGGTAGTCGTGGTCGCATCGGAAGCAATGCTGGCCAGCGATGAGACAGAGGAGCGTGGGAGTAACACAGGCAGTGAGCGCCGGCGCTCTGATTTCGCAGTAGTTGGCGTAGCGGGTTGTTCTTCATCGTCGTGGAGGTATTGGTGCAGCTCTGCCAACGATTCTTGGTCATTCTACGCTATATTAGTTTTGATTCATGAAGAAAAAAAAACAGAAAAAACTAACCCGATCCAAGATATCATGCAGCGAGTTGAGCGAATGCTGATAGTGGTTGTACACGAAAGAGGTGCCAGCCACGGGCTCGACATCCGCCAGCAAATGCTCGCCCGAGTCGCCCGTGCGTGGTCGTCTTGACGAACTTTTGCCAGACGCACTCCTCCTATACGACGACTGATTGACATTACGCTGCTGCGTCGCAGTCGGAGAAGCGGGCGCTGTCCGCGCGCCCGGCGGGGTCGGTGTCGATGCCCGATACAAGTCTTGTGGCGGGGCAACGCCAAACACCTCCATGTCAACCATAAGTGTTTCGTCCATCTCAAAAAAGACAAATTCGCACCTTCTCCATCTTCTGCGCCCTCCGCACAATAATCGCCTTCTCCTTGTCGTTCAGATTCTCCTTCATCCGGTCCCAGTCGCTGGCCCATGTTGCTGCGAGCACTGCGGCAGAAGAACTCCTCCTCCTTTTCACCCACCCTTTCTTGAGGGTGTCGCTGCCGAATTCGGTTGCACTCAGCGGCGAAAGCGTGCCATCTATGCCCACCACCGCAGGCTCAATGTTATATCCTGGCCCGAGTACCAGGTTGGCAGGGACCCGCGAGCCGAGGAAGCGGTGTAGCTTGGCAAGCTTGTCGCGCTTTCGTCGTCGGTCTTCCTCTGCTTGCGCCTCAGGACTGAGGCTGTCCGCAAACGAAGGCGTCATGGACGACTTGCGCCGCACCGCTTTTGACGCCCCAGCAACAGAAATAACCGACACGGAGTCGTCCGGGCCGAGTTCCGTCTCGCGCTCGGTGTCCTCGTCAGAGTGGGAGCTGGGGCTTGACACAGACAAGTCCATAAACGAGAGTGGCGATGAGGGGGCATCGGAGACCGACAAGTCGTCCCTTTCTGGCGCGGAGTGTCTCCTACCGTTAGCGTCCATGTAGATGGTCTTGTCAGGTGCTGGCCAAGGTAATGGTTGTCTAGGTCGGGCACTCGCAGGCATCTGGCCCACCATATTCATCGAGGCTGCCGGTCGATGCCGGCTTTTCCCCGTTCCGACAGGGGAGACATCCAGGAAAGAGCTGTTTTCGGTGGTGTTTGCCTCGCCAGCGCCGGGTGTCTGCCCAAACACTTGGGTGAGCTTCTTGCTCTTGCGGATCAGCTGGGCCCGTTCGGTCGGGTTGAGGAAGTTGGTCGTTGGGGGCATGGTGTCAGGTGGGATTGCGCGGAGAGGTAGGGAAGGGGGAGGCGAGTTAGGTGAGTTTTGTCTACTGTGGGCACGAACAACGGTACTAGGGCTGGCGTGGCGTCTGCGACGGCTGAAGTCGGGTTTAGGGGTTGTAGGGATAGGTGGTTTGCCGATGGTGGGCGGTGGTGGTAGTGATGGTGGGAGAGAAACAAGTGGTGGAGGGGCGGTAGAGGGGCTCTCCGCAATGGGTGATGCGACATCAAAGTCGATGAACGATTCATGGGCAGACGAAATGGACCGTGTTGGGGAGTGGGTCGGCATGGGCGATGACAACGGCGAGGACGGCTCTGGCGGTGGCTTCACAAGCTTTCCTCTACTCCTGCTCCTTGTCCTGCGATGGTGGCTGGTCGAAGAATTCGAAGAGTCTTGTTTGCTACGGAGGGAGAGAGAAGGAAGGGAATGCCGGCTATCATGCGTTGATGTGCCACGGCCGCTTGACGATGACGCCGGCGATCTATCGTGTTGGCTTGAGGTTGCGATGGGACTAGTGGGTGTGCTGCTAGCCACACGACGGGAAGACGAAACTGACGATCTATCTTCAGCTCTAGTGGTGATGGGACTTGTGGGGGTCCTGGGTCGACCACGAACTGGCTCCAATTTGACATACATCGACGATGTTCGTGGTGGAGGGGAAATTGGCGTCCGTGGTAGGTCGTCATCGAAGCGAGGGGCGGGATTGATATAAGGGTTCACCACACTCTCTACATTTCCGTCCAAACTCTCCTCATCCTCCGCTTCGTCTCTTCTCAAACTATACGTCGGCGACAATGGCGACGAAAAACCCCTTCGTGGTGGTGGTGGAAGCCCAGCGCCAAACGGGGCAGTCGATGAGCCAATAGAGCTGGAGGCCGAATGTGCGTGCCTAATCCGTCTGACGCGGTCCTCATGCTCCAGTAACGCGTCGAGGTTGGGTGAAATGACCAGCGACTTGGGGGCTCGTGTGTCCACACTCATTGTGGTCAGAAGGAGAGAGAGAGAGAAGAAAAAAAACCACACAGCAATATCGGATGACAAGAGAGAAGACACAAGACGCGCGCCGCAAGGCTACGTATGTTGTTGCGTTCCGTTTCAGCTTCATTTCATTTGCCGTTCTTCTTTCGTCGGGCTCTATAGCAACCGCCTACCGCCAGCCCCGATCGCGACTAGGCAGGCACATTCATTCTCTCCTCCCGGCTCTCATTACCCTTGCAGTCTCTGCTAGACACCGATTGGACGCGTTTCTCACTGGACCCGGTCCGACCTGTCAACGCCAACGCCCAGTGTAAATACGCATCCGAACTTGTCGGACACCACCAACCAAGGGTTCCAACTTCCCGCGAGCCGCAATTTACTGTCCTTACTTCCAAACCTTTTTCTGGAACCGAGCGTAGCGGTACAATATTAATGACGAAAGACCGTTAATCTTATCGATATCTTCTGTCGCCCCGGTCGTCAAGCACAAAATGGTTAGGCTCGGGGACGGTGGCCGTGTCCGACAAGTGTCCGACCAAACGTCCATCGTCCACTACAACTAAGACTGTGGACTCAATCTGACTGCAAGCAAAGCCCCCATCAACATCACTCGAAACTCAAGAGCGACTCCCGATCTCACGACCCTCGTCTCTTCACGCTTCCCCAATTTATCCAGCCACAACACGCGTCGACGTCGCGGCAGCGTCCTATGCCAAGTACATACATACCGCCAGCTCTCGACTCTCCTCGAGGCACATAACGTCATTTTACCTTGTCAATCACGGCTGCGCGAGTTCGCCGTTCGGTGCAACAAGCGAGACCTTGGCGTGATAAACGTGTTAGGACGCGGTCACATGACTGTCGATTTCAGCAATCTGGAGATCCAGAGGAGTTGGGGCTGTTATTGAATAATTTGAAGTATAGTACAGTATTTTTCATATATGTGTTTCAAATTATATCTTTAACTTGAAGATTGCCAGTGATAATCTGGAGGTGCAGGCCTATCTAGCATACTACTAGGTGTGTGGCCAGGATCAATCCTTTGTGCAATCAACTCAACAAGAAGATTAATACTGTGTGGAGATAATTCATTGCTGGCTGCTTCAGGCATAGCTATAGCAGGTGCTGGTACTTGCATTCCCCTCTTGCTATGTCCATTAGAGCTAGCTGGAGCTGACACACCAGTCTCTAGAGCAAGAGGATGAGGCAGAAGCAATAGCTTCCTTTGTATCTGCCTGCGTTTCCATAAGAGCCAGCAAAGAATAGCCAGAACCAGAGCTGCTAGTATGCCCAGAGTCAGACCAATAATCAGATGAGTATTTGGAGGGATGTGTTTAGTAGATGACTGAGCTGGATGACTAATTATGATTTGTTAAAAAAAAAAAAAATTGATATAAATATATAATGACTAACCTGGCTCCAGAGCCATTACTTGGTGATGAGACAAAACCTCCCCTTGTAGTTGTTGTTTGTGTACCAAAACTTGATGATATTGTACTAAAGATAAATATTAATAATTTTATTTTTCTTTAATATTCTTGATATACCTTGAGCTGCCTTCTTTTCCTGAAGTGATTTTGTAAACAGATGTGCCAGTAGTCAATATTCCACCAGGTGGATTATTAGCACTGGCTGAGATTGAAGCTGATACAAGTGCTGTATACACTCTGAATGAGTTTAAATTCAACTTCATGGACCCTGGATTTGTAAGAGTGACAATATGGCTCTTTGCTGGGTCAAGTCCTCCCTGATAAAACAGCAGTGCATCAGGGACCTTCCAAAAAGGTTGAGCCATTATAGCTAGACTCCTGGCCATCCACATCTACAGTATAGATCCAGCCACCCCAGTTTGCCATCCCATGGATTGCTACAGCAACTGCATTATTGACTGTCATGGATACACTGCTGCCTGGATGCTCGGTGTGCTCCCAGGGGTGGGACACTGTTGCATTAGGAATCCCAGGTGCATTTTGGGCCTCCCAGTTGCCCGAGTATTTGAAAACAGATAAGTCAGAATTGTCATAAAAGAACTCTGTTAGTGCGCTTCTGAAAAAGTGTCAAAATTCAGCCAGAACATATATTATAGAGAGATATGTACTTGTATTGGGTAGAAATGATGGCATAGTCAAAGGAGAATTGCCCAGACCCAGTGGTCTGAATATTCAATGTGACTGAAATTTCAGTATTATATATTACTGAATGAAGGAATTTTATCCTACCAGAATGTGAGCCCTGGTCAAGGCCTGTGGCAGAGAATAAAAGGTCTGAGCTTGATGGTTGATGTGAGGAGCTTGTGCCATCAAGCAAAACATCATATGAGCCATCACTTTTGCCATAGAGGTAAATAGCCATTCCTATTCCAGCAGCTCAGTTTGTAAGAGGCTTCAAGTTAAATAGGGCAGCTCACCATAAAATTGTAGGCTCACTGATGCACCACTCATTGAGGTCACATGGTAGGAAGTCCCAGAACCACCCTCGCCTGGTGTCTGCACAAATCCTGACTCAGTGTACCACGGAATCCACCCTTTATCGAGGCCAGAGCCTGATCCATCGGCTATAACAGTGCATTAGATAGTGGTGCTTCACATCAGGAAATCTGCAGCACCATAAGGAGCTATTGTTTTTTTAGTAAGTTGTGGGAGCATCCCAGTTTCAAAGCTTACAATATGCCAAGACAGGACTTGTGTCATCTACCGTGAAATTCCAGATGGACGGCATGGCACAGAACGGAAAACAGAGACTGGCCACATCTACCTAAGGTAGATATAGCCCTGTGCATAACCAATTCACCCCAGCAGCGCGTGATCCTCAGTCAGCGCCCGCTATTGCTCCGGGTCGCTAGAGACAAGCTAGCGCTTGTTGATCAGCTCCTCCGACAGCGCGCAGTCGTCGCCTGCGTACTTTCGAGACCCAGAATAGAATGATCACCATCCGAGCCGAGGCCGGAGCTCGTCGCTCAGCTCAACGTCGATTTGCGTTGATGATTTGCCGGAATCGCACCTCGGGCCGCAGGTTCAGCAACAAACACGACACGAAATCTTCATTGTATTGCAAAATTGCTCAATTTACAAGAGGGCGTTGACCTTGGTCTTGACGAACGACAGCGCTGCGGAGCCGAACTCGACGGCGTATCCCTGATGGACATTGGCGTCGTTTCCGTTGCAGCAGAACGGGTCGGGGGCATCGCAGTAGGACTGGATGTTGGCCGCGAAAGGACATTTGAAGCCGGCCGGGCGAGGTGCAAACTGCCGAGAGACCGCATCAACGACTTTCCACGGAAAGCAAAAAAAGGATCACGCACCCCGGAGGCCTGACAGCTGCCGACGTTGAACGACAGTCCTGGGATGTGCCGCGGGTCTCCCATGAAAATAGCGGCGGCAATCTTCTTTTGCGCAGCAGCGGAGATGGGAATGGCGGTGTTGGTCAGCCCCTCGTTCGTATCACCCCCACCGCAATACGCATCGTCCATGATTTGCCCGCCCTGCCGGCCGGTCGTCAGATTACTCGCCAACTGCAAATCTAACTCACCTGAGAATAGCCCACGAGAACGAGGACCGTGTTTGGGCACCGCGAGTTGAATGAGTTCACCTGGTTCGTGACTGCGGAGACGCCTTGAAGTACGGAATTGGCGTAGGAGACACCACCACACGAGGCTTGGCCGCCGCACGCAGGGTAGTTGATGACTTCAGATGTCGCACCCGGGAAAGCATTCACAATGCTCTGCACAACCGAGGCTGCAGTTCCAAATCCAGGCGGCGCGGTCGTCTCTCTTGCCCCAAACACGTGGACATTGGGACATTGTGCGACTACGAAGGGCACGAAGAAAAGGAGCGATGCAGCCAGCGACGTTGGGAACATTTTTTCGTGTTTTGATTTAGGTGCTGTTCTCCGGCTTTAAATACGCTGCTTGAATTTTAGAAGGTGTGGGGACGTTGTGAACGCACCCGCTGGCTGGGGCCCCAAGCACGGGCCTAATAGCGAGATGAAACGGTTTTCAGTACCATGACCTGCTGGCTGGCCTAAATTTTGCACATTTTCGAGGCGCGTGAGCGTCCCTGGCGTTGACTTGGAACGAAATTAGGTGAAATTTCGTGGAGAAGCGGGGAGCAGTGGGATGGGAGCCGGTTATCTGCGGCTTTCTCTTCTCCAGCGAGCCCGACGTCGCATCGTTCCCAGATAGGTCTATTTCTCGTGAGCTGGACGTTGAGATCCGGTTGAGTAACCCCAGCACAAGTAGCAGATTCTGGAGAAGCATTGTCGCATTTGAAGATGGCGCTGTTCTTATTCAAGTTATACTGCAGGGAATAGTTAGCTAATATAAAACAAGAATAAGCACAACACGTACCACATCCTTCGACGCTAGTGATTTCACCGTCCCACCGGATGCGGCATTCGAACCGTTTGGTCATCCTCTAAGTAAACTTAGCCAAGTCATACGATGGCCCGGGAAGTTGTGTGTGGAGATTCAAGCCGCAGGCATATGGTGACGATTATATCGGTGCATCAGGGTTATGGCAAGTACAAGGCCAGAATCGGCTACTTAGAGACATTTCGTTGGCGACGACGATGGTTGGGCAAAGGTGTGACGCGATCATGTGAGCTCCGTGACCTCTCCTCCTCCGAGTCATGATCAACGTTGGATCAACGAGTCAACGACGATTCGGGTGGCTTGTGGCTGAGCTCCGGCGAGTGAGGCCTAAGACGGTTGGGGGTGTGTGGTCAGCTTGAAGATCTGAACAGGTGCGTGTTCCTTTAGCCTTCCAGCAAGCTAATAACAACCGGCTGCAGCAGCTGGCAGCTTCAACGTCGCGGTTAAAGAGCTGGGCGGCGGGGGCGATGCGGAAGAGCGGGGCCTGCGGCCCTTCACGTTAGTTGCGAACTTTTATCTACCTGCAGTTGAACACCTCGAGAGACACGACTACCGCAGAAACCACTGTATTGCCCATTACGATGCCTCTATCGACGCCCACAAATACTTCTCTTGTGCGTAAACCAGTCAAACTGGTATCATGACATGCAAAAGTCCAAGTATCTGACGCGTTCACATGAGAGCTGAGTCCTGCAATAGCCACACCGCATCCTGTTTAGGCATCTGCAGCAGCGCGGCTAGATCGTCCAGCAGCGCCTCGTTTGCGGCCACGGCAAGGCTTTCGTTGGTCATGTTGTTGGCGAAGTGGATGAAGACGAGCCCGAGCAGGTCGCGGCGCTTCAAGTCGTGCCCTATATCTCCCTGGGGGAGGACTCCGATGTCGGTCCTACATGTATTCTTCAGTCAGACTTCCACAAACAGCAGCGACTCACGCCTGCACGCCATGCTTTGCACAACACTCCCGAATAGCCCTCTTCAGGAACATTTGCATCGGCCCAGTCGTCCTCCACGTTGTGGTATGTCCGCTCGCCCGCTAGTGGTAGCTGAATGATGCTAATGATAATGTGACTAGGTGACATGATGGCTGATCCCACTACTACAGGTGCCCCCTTTTAAAATGGCGGCGTCCTCGTCGCCTGCTGCTCCTCCCAAGTCTTCAACTCGGCTTCCGTCTGCGCAATCCTTCGCTGCTCGGCCTTCTCGCCCTCTCTCCTTCTCTCTTCCTCTACTCGCTCCCTTTCTTCCTGTCCCGCTACCTTCTGTGTCTTCCTTAGCTCCTCCTTGAATATATCATGCTCTCTCTTGAGCTGGGTCCCCTCTTTAGGCGTGAACTGCCTTAACCTCCTCGCGCTGTAGTGTCCTGATGTTGCTGCGCCTTCCAGTGTTTCGAGCTCGTATGAGTTGACACGCCGGCTTTTCACCCTATAGGGCTCGCTCCAAGGACCCTTGATCTTCTTGTCCGCGCTAAGAGTCTTCATTCTCGCCGTGTCGTACACTTGCACAAGGTCCCCTTCTGCAAATGTCAGCTCCCCTGCCCGCGAGTCTTTTACCTTCCTGTCAAATGCCGCTTTTCTCGCGTTCGCATACGCGAGTCTGTTGTCATACGCGTCTAGTCGCTGCTGCTCCGCGTATGCCATATGTTTCTGTATGTCCGCCTCTGTAGGCCTTGTCTCTGCGACCAGCAGTGGGGTTGTTGTGGTGTTTACCGCTTGCGCGAAGAGTATCTCCTTCGGTGTGAACCTAATTGACGGGAGTATGCGCTGGTTTAATATATGTATGGCTTGCCTGAAATGCTTGGACCAAGTTGCCGGTAGTTCATCTACCTTCGCGTTCTTCCATCCGTCTTCCCCCAGGTTAGGCGCACAGAGTCTAGCCAACACGTAGACTAGCAGCTTGTTCGTCCCTTCCACGAGTCCGTTGACCCATGGTGAGTACTTCGGTACTGGCATAAACTTGGTGCCCCACTTGTCGCAAGTCGCTTTAACCGCGTTATTAACAAAGTGTGTTCCGTTGTCTACCATGAGCGCTTCCGCGGGCATAAAGTCGCGGAATATGTCGTCCAGCACTTTGACTGTCTCACCTCCCGTTCCCGCTCCCGCGTAAATCTCTCCCCAGACATGTTGGGAAGCCACGTCGATATACAACCCTGTTGTCTTGTATCCGTCAACACTTTTCGGCAGTGTCATGTAGTCCGCTGCAATCAGTTCGAATGGGTGCCGACGGACTATTGGTTTGAGCAGCGCATGTAGTCCCGCCGGACCAAAGTTCTTGCACTTGCTGCATTCACGTATTGCGGCGACAATAGAGTCGTCCAGTTTCGGGCTATGAAACTTGTCCATCAGCTTGATTTTAATATGATCACGGTGAAAGTGGCCCCCTTCGGCGTGCGCTTGTGCAGCTTTCTGTTTCGCCTCTCCTCTTGTGATACATTCCCTTCTCGACCTTGCTCTCCCTCCCTTCGGCCCGCCCAGCCTCCATAGCTTCCCTTCCTCGATGAAGTATTGCGAGGCTCGGTGTCGTGCCCTCTTGCGCTCTCGCTCACTGGTGCCAAAGTCTAGCTCTGTTAGCGCGTTGATTACCTCCAAATATACCGGTTCGGTTTTGAACCTTTCTCTCAAATCCGCTGTGCCCTCCGGTACTGGCATGACCAGGTAGTCTCCGTCCGCCGTTTGGATTGAAAACACGTCATTCACTATGCCTGCTCGCGCTTCCCAGTCCGGCGACACCGTCCACTCACTCCCGTCATTCTCCTCCCTTGGTTTGCCCTCGCTAGCTCTTGACAAGGCATCCGCTGCCACATTATTCCTGCCCTTGATATGTTCGGCTCCAACGATATTATAGCCTAAGATACCGTCCCGCCAACGGGTGTGAGTGACATTGAGCTTTTCGTTGACCATTATATCTCTTAGCGCTTGACAGTCCGTTTCCAACTTTATCGGCTGACCCCATATGATGTCGGAAAACTTGTCTAGCGAGTATTTCAGTGCAGCAAATTCCAATAAATGAGGTTGATACCGTTCTTCCGAAGATGAGGTTCTTTTTGAGGCAAATGCAATCGGATGTCTCCTGACTACTTCTTTACCCCCCGGAAGAGTTGTTGCCATCTTTTGCGACAAGATTCCCGCGAACGCGTGCTTACTGCCATCCGTTGTGACTATGAACGGGTATTTGTCGACTGTTTCATAGTTTGGTGCTCGTAGAACTGGTTCCGTCAGCAAGGTGTTTTTGAGTCCTAAAAAGGCTTTTGAGTGCTCCTCTGTCCAGACTGGTTGTAACTTGAACCCCTTCATTGCCGCCTGATATACTGGTTTTTTGGCTCCTGCCGGTATGTCCACTTTTGTGAGCAGGTCGCGTAGCGGTTTCTCGAGCTTCGCGTAGTTCTTGATGAGGTCGCGGAAGTAGCCTGTTAGTCCCAGGAACGCGGCTAGGTTCGCAGCGTCCTTTGGCTTTTCCCATTGTACTATTGCCGTCATTTTTGCTGGGTCCGGCGATACTCCCTTTGGTCCGACTCTTGCACCCGCGAAGACAGCTTCTGTCATAAAGAGTTTAGTCTTGGCTGCTGATAATGACAAATTCTCTTCTCTGATCCTCGTGAAAATCAATCGCAGCTTTTCCATCCCTTCCCTAAACGTGTCTGCCGCCGACCCGCTGTCGTCCGCAAACAGCTCAATTACGCGCTTCACCAATATGTCGGAAAGTTTGGTTGCCACCATATGTGCGAACTCCGTTGGCGCGTCTGTGAGACCGAAAGGCATTCGCATGTAAGCGTAGTACCCTTGTCCCGGCACAAACATCACTATGTAGGGTTGGACGTCTTCTGCGATTTGTATCGCAAAAAACCCTGACGCGAAATCGAAGACCGAGACATATCTGTGCCCCGAGAGCCTTCTTTGTTTCTCTCTTATGTCCCCCTGCGGCATTGGCACCACCTTCAGGAGCTCGTTCAGCTCGTAAAAGTTCTGGCAGATACGCCATTTTGGTTGCTTGGGTGTTTCTCCCACGCCCTCCTTCTTCTTCTGCGGCCTCGCTGGTAAGTCGTAGATCGGCGGCAGGCCTTCCTTAACACATTCATCGTTGAGGGCATGTTGCAATTCCTCTAGCGTCATTCCGTCTCCATCATGCTCCTTTTGCGCAAGTTTTATAGGCGACACGCACTTGACCTCCCTGGGATGTATGGGTCTGATTATTCCCGCGTCTTCCAGTATCCTGACTTGCTCCCTTAGGTATTCCGCTTGTGGCTGCGATAATGGTTTTTGGTGGATTTTCGTGCTGAACTGTCGGTCCTTCGGTATATTTGGTGCGTATTCCGCATCCTTTACTGCGTTGACCTCACTCACAGCCAGCGCGAAGACGTCTGCAAATTCCGCAATCAACTCCTCCACTTCCTTCCTCTCTTCTTGTGACACATCCTCGCCTATCTTGACTGCTTGTAATATCTTCGCCACCCGTGCTGGGTTGAATGGGTCCGTCGCTCTTGTGAATATGTTCTGGCTCGGTTTCACCTCAAAGATGTTGTCAGTTTTGGGTTCTGAGTTCGGTTTCTCATCCATTTGCGGATGGACTTCCCTTGAGGGGGTTTGTTCTCCCCCCATGTCTTCCTCGTTCGCCATTCCCAGCACTCTCATCGCCTCCGCTGCTATCTCCCTGTCCTCTTCAACTCTCGTTTTGCCTTCATTCTCCTGTCCTTCCTCCATCTCTCCTTCGTCACTCTCCATTTCACTCCTCTCCTCCACCATATGCGCGTTTGCCGTCTTGTCCCTGTCCGCCTCTGTAGTTTGAGGTCTCCGTGTTCTTCCTATCGCTTGATTTTCCAGCCTTACGCTGTTGCCCCCTACCTTCAACTGTACCACGTCAGCCTTGTAGTCGTGTATCGCTCCGAATAAAGCCTGCAGGGGTTTTCCGAATAAGATCTCCCACCCGCCTCCACTGTCGAACACCTCCAAGGTCACCCTTGCTCTGACACCCTCGATGTCGATATCTCCAACCCAACAACATATCGAAGGTATGAGTTGACCGCTTGCCATTCGTAGTATCGTGGTTGACGGTCTTCCCCTTCCCAGCTTTCCACGGTTTTGCTCCCATATCCTCTGGTCTAGCGCTCCTACCAGTGCTCCCCCGTCAAACAATGCTCGCAACTTAACTTCTCCCCTTATTCCACACATCTTCGCCACATACTCAAATGGCTTACACCCTTTGATTCCTTCGATACTCGCCTCGTACAGGTCAATGATGTTGATTCGCGCGTCTGAATTCATACATAATGGTCGTACGTTGGCGGGTTCGTGGCTTTCCTTTGGCCGCGAATCCCGGACTGTCCGTGGGCCGTCTACCCGGACAGTCCCCGTCCAAAACCCTCGCTGTCGTTGTTTCCTGCATAGTCCTCCGCCTTAAGCGCTAAGTAATTGATTCCCGCTATAACAGTCTGGTTTGTCGTCCTTTTGCGTCCAAGCAATCGATTGCAGATGATTCTAAATTGACGCTCCTCCTTCGGGACCTTCTCGCCGTCGCAGTTGCTTGACGTGTGTTGTGGGATTGTGAGTTGTCCGCACTGGAAGCATTCGCCCGAGCAGACCGGGGCTGTCCCTGGTTTGAGCGGGTAGCCTATTTGTTCCAGTGGCGGTCTCGCCCCTCTTCCGAACTGCCTGTTCCACGATTCGACTTGCGCCGCATAGAACTTGCGCCCAGCCTCGTCATCCGTTGACGGCTTCATTCTGGTGGCTATGTCCTGAAGTTGTCGTCGCGCTTCTTCTGTCAAATCCCCAGTTTCTCGTGCGAACAAGTTGCCTTGTCCTCCGCCTGCCCCGAAAACGTCGCCGCTGCTTCTGCTGGCCCCGGCTCCTCCCTTGGGCGTGTTGAGATTTGTCGCGGTAAACCGCGCTGCCATTCTCGAGACAGGTGTCGTTGGGGTTTGGGTTTTTGTTTGTGCTCGCTGGAGCTCCGCGATTTTCTTGTCTCTGGCATCATCTTTCTCTTGCTTGTCCTTCGCTTCCTTAACATCTTCCCGAAGCTTCGCCCTGTCGACTTTCTTGATTGCATCCGTAAACTCTTTCCAATCGTTGGGTTCTCGGGGTAGATGCTTTCGTAGTGGCTCGGGAATCGCGTCACGGACTTGGTAAATGTAGCTGGAGGTACTGGCCACCCCCGCTTTTCTCGCCAATTCCAGCGCTTTCTGCGCAAACTTGATGTGTGTTGCGATTTCTTGGCCTGCAACTTCGACAGTGCCGCCTAATTCTGCCAGCGTCAACTTCATCGCCACCAGCTTCTCCTGGTATTCTTGTTTTGTAGGCTCGGCTTCTTCATCGGTTGGGAACTGCGCTAGGAATTCCTTCGTGAAATCGCTAAACTTGGTGATGGGGTTCTGCTTTTGTCGTTCCGCCCACCATTTCGCTGCTGGGGTACGAGTCGGGAAGTGATCCCCGACCGCGTCTAGGCGTTCACGGTCTGAGTCTCGCGCCAAGTCTCGGCTTCTGATTCTAAATTTTCGCACGAACTCCTCCGAATTGACTTCATTCTTTTCGTCTCTCTCATCCCCGTAGAACGTTGGCACCGTGTTCGTTTCCACCATAATCGCGTTGCTCACCGGCCGTTGTTGTGTTGTTGTGAATATGTTTTGGATCGTTGCCGTTGATGTCGGTGGCGTGACAGTTGCCTGCCTAGACTGCTGTGATGTCGAGGAGTCTGCTGGTGAGCTAGGTCTTATTGTTTCGTCTGAGTCGTCTGAATCCGACCCGTCTTCGTATGTCTTCAAGCCTCTAAGCCTCGCGATTCTGTCTAGTATCGGGGACGACTTGGCGTATCGTCCACTTTCGTCTCGTTTTCTCTGCTGCTTCTGCTCTGCCAGTTTCCCTGCTTTGCTACTGCTGCTTGGTTCGAATGCTGCTCTCGTCACCACGTTGTGGTATGTCCGCTCGCCCGCTAGTGGTAGCTGAATGATGCTAATGATAATGTGACTAGGTGACATGATGGCTGATCCCACTACTACAACGTTTCCTCAGGCGTGACCGTGCGAATCTCCACGTAGTCCAGCAGCCACCCAATCCGGTGGTGTGGGATATAGGTCGCCCTCGTTTTGCCTTCGAGATTGAAGAGACCGGGGCACGCTGCAAGCACGTGATGAAAGCCGTACTCCGACTTGGACGAGACGCCCATCTCGCGCCGCCGCCGCCGCGGCGGCTGGGGTTGCTCGGAGTTGGACATGGCGGTTGGCTTTAGGCGCGTCACGAGGGTGACGCCGCGTGTGCCGCTATTTTGGTGTACACGCTGACGCGTGGGATACTCCTCACATGACCGCGTTCATGATGCGGCCTAAAGAACTCGATGTTATCTCATGGACTCAGCATAGATACTTTAACGATCGGTGGTGGTATTGCTAGCAAACGCTGCATTCACATCAGAAAAAGCGTTTCTTGCAACACCCAGACCATGTCCTCTTTGGGCATGCACAACCGCGCAGCTAACTCTTCTTGCAGCGCCTCGTTTGCCGCAATAACCAGCCCTTCTTCGGTCAGATTGTTGCTGAAGTAGACAAAGTGGAGGTCCGCCAAGTTGCGCTTCTGCAGGTCGTAGCCATACTTTCCGAGCTCAACCATCCCACAGTCCGCCCTGCGCATACACTTCAGTCATCGACAGCCTGGCTAGCCCGGAGGTGAACTTACCCCTGCACGTGCTTCATACAGCACGCCTCCACCGCCTGGTCCATGAAGTTCGCGGTGTGGCCCGGCTTATGCCATATATCCTCCGGTAGGACCACCCGCAGCTGGTCGTGGCTGAGCAGCCACCCGAGCCGGTAGTGCGGGAGCCACTTACTAGTATCCCGCGTCTCAGACTCGTAGTTCGCGAGGCCCAGGCACGTGGCGCGGACGTGGTCGAAGCCGTATACCGCCTTGGACGAAACACCTATCTGGCGCCTGTGGATTGTTATAAGTCTTCTGGGCAACCAGAATCCACAAACGGCATAGTAGACGTAGAGAGGATGGTGGTTTGACTTGAGTGGGTGTCACAAGTGCCATTGTGCGTTTGTGTGGCCGACGCGTGCAGCTTACGTCGTTGTGTTGGACAGGCAGTCGTGGGGTCTGTCGCTAGACTCTGAGTATATCGCTGATGTTGACGAGGTCGGTGGATGTTCTCAACTTGAAACCAAGCACTTAGTCTAACTTGAAGCGCTGTACGGTCACGGTCACGGCGAAGCGCGGGGCGAGGCTGATGGTGTTGGCAGTGCGACGATGTACTTACTGCTTGGAACAGTACGAGGCACGTTGCCAAGTTGCTAAAGAGGTCAGGTTCCAGTCAATACCACCACATGAGAGCAGGAAAACAAACGCAACATCAGTGTGACTGCTCGAACATCTCGGATCAGAGTGATACAAGCCACACCCACACAATAACCACACTTCTTGTTCTTTGCAAATGCCTTCCATCTTCAAGTGGGCCCAGCTCAACCCAGGCATTTGATTCAAGGAATACCCCAAGAACCCGATGGACCAGGCGCCCAGCCGATACAGAACCCTCGTCGACCTCAACCACGATGTCCTCCTCCTAATATACCAGCTTTTGCCCTTCGAAGAGCGTGTTATCATGTCCACATTATCTCATCGTCTAAGAAGTTTGCTTCTTCCTCGAATCTTTCGGAAACTGCGTTGGCCACCAGGCATTGTTTCCGAATTCCCGCCAGAAACCCTCCTGCCATTCGTACATTGCGTTGGTTTTTACTCAAGCAGATAGCAAACTCATATCTCATCCAGGGACTTCAATCTTTCTGGTCACAGCATCCAGTATTTTACCCCAGACATGCACAAAACCATCGCGTCTCAACTCCAGGAAGCCTTGCCCACAATGAAGCTCCTCGATACATTTGTCTTGGCTGAGGATGCGAGGGGTGGTATATGGTCAGAGCTACTAGACGCTCTCTCCGCCGTGCCTAGGCCGTTCAAGCTGGTGCTTGACTGCTATTGGGACCCCGATGACGACCAGGATCCGCTCGTTTTGGCACCAAGAACCTGTGAATTGAATCTAACCGGCTTTACGTTTCCATTCCCAATCGTATTCGACGAGTCTGGTCGGAATGTCAGCCGTCGACCACCAGATGCTTGGGACTCGGAGGTCAAGAATGTGCGAAGTATTTTCGCAGCGTCATCAAGCACCTTGTCATCGGTGTATCTTCCTGGGGAACTCTTTCATGCTATGCAGGGTCTCATCTGGGATGCGCTTACTGATTTGTGTTTGGAGGGCTTGTGGCCAATTTTCGATAAACCCTCGAGCCCAGCTCAACTCGCCGACAACAAACCTATTACATCATCGACAGAGAGTTCTGAATCAGTTTCGGCACCCGCACCTCCCATTTCCAAGGCAGACGAAGAATCCACAGCGCCTTCCAATCCCTCCACATCGGCAACATCAACCTCTGAGTCCGAGTCACCACTAACAACTGGCCCAGTTGGAGGGGCTGCAACTTCGAATGAAACTGCTATCGCCGCAGTGGAATCCCTACCCCCACCTCATTGCTCTCCCATTCTCTCAGTCTTAGAAGCGATGCCAAATCTCCGTTTCTTGGATTTGAGAATGGTCCATCACGGCGACGACCCACAACCCGTCGGGGCATTGATTTGCTCTGCTGATGGTTCGTCCACTCCTGCCGCTCCGGATACGTTCCTTCGGCATGTGAAGCGCTTCCAGGCCACCTCGCTTTCGATGGATGACCGCATTGTCGACTTTCTTCCCCCAACATTGGAGGTGTTATCTTTGCCGATGTTTCCATATATGCTTCAAGGCAACACGCTGCGGGCCGTCCAATCACCTTCAGGCCTCCTTGCCCAACTCAAAAAATCTTCCTTTCCAGAGCTCATTTCGCTCACGCTATGGTACTCCATCGCCTCATTGGAAGATTTGGAAGATGAAGAACCGTTACTCGATTTTCTCTCAACGGCATTTCCTTCTGTAGAGATTCTAGAATTAAGCAGGCGATGGGAGGCGCGGGTACCAGCGCTCCAAGGCCGTTGGGACGCGCTTGTGAGTGCATTTTCTCATGATTTCCGTATCTTACTCATTTACCAGCCTGTCGCTAAAAAGCTCGCCTCCAACTTCAAATGCCTCAAGTCGCTGATGTTCGACCTCGATCTGCCCGAGCGATACGGGCGTCCGCCCGTTATCCTCGCTAACAGAGAATTCCGCGAAATGGTTGTGCGACTGCATTCGATGGCCGAAGAGATTGCCAATGTGGCGCCATGGTTGCAGCGGATTGGACTGTACCGAGAATTCGGTCATGACCCACACTTGTTTTGGGAGACGTGGAATGTGGTCCCTGCTGCTGATGGGAAGGTTGGACTGGATAGACCGCCGCCACCAGTGAATGATTCAGTTTTCTACTGACGTCTTTATCAACGTTGTTATTGTCCTTCGATGTACTTGATTTTATGCGACATTTACATTCCCAGGGCCTGAAGAAATCTGAGGTACAGTAGGCCCACAAAAAAGTGCGATGAAATAACCGCGAAGGCGCGCGTTATTAGACAGACAGAATAGATCTATTTGTACTCACATGACCGCGAAATGTAATCACGTCCGTCCTTGGCTTCTCTCTTTATGCACCACAAACTGAGCATCCCGCAGAGTGATCAGTATTCGCGTGTCCTCCTCAACTATAGGTGTTGGCGCTGGTGTTGCAACTGCCGCCTTCTTCCCCGTGTAAGCCCGTGCCCAACCGCCTCCTGGATTCGGAGCTGGTGAAGGTGTCGCAGGTGTTGATGGTGTGGTCGTTGTCTTTATTGGCTTTGCAGCAGCCGCAGCCGCATTCGTTGCATTCATCCATGAATATTTTCCTCCAATTCCCGCTGCCTGACTCGCCACCGCATTGCTCATCTTCTTCCTCACATCTTCCGACATATTTCTCGCCGTCACCCCCGGTCCGTCTTTCTTCTTTCGCTTCTTCCCGCCCTCCCCGTCGTCCTCGAAATCTCCACCCACACCCCCCGCTTGCGCTTGGGCCGCTAACGCTGCAGCATGTGCCGCCGTCAAATCCGCCCGTTCTTTCCTTTCCCGGCGCAGTTTCTGCTCCTCTTCCCTCTCCAATTTCTCCAAGACTGCCGTCTGCTTCCCCACATCACTTCTCACCGCCAGACTCCACATCGGGGCGCCCTCTGCATATAGCGCCGGCCTATCGAACTGCGTGTCTGTTCGGTGGTTGGCAGCATCACGCATTTGCTTGACAAGCTCCTCGAGTCGGACGCGGAGGGCGGCGGCTAGGTATGCGGCGGCATTGTCGGGTACACCCTCGGTCAGCTTGTGGTGAGCAGCGATGGCATCGACTCGTGATTTGAACGCGGATGGATCGAAGAAGGGGTTTAGTGGCCCAACGCTGGAGGGTGTGCGGTCCAGGTTAATCCGCTGCTGGAGGACTTGTTATTGGACTGTTGAATGCGAGTAATGAGACGTACAGAGTCGAGGGTAGTCGCGCTGGAATGTATAAGTCGGGCAAAGAGGTGAAGAGTGAGTTTTACGAGGAGGAGGCTTGCAGAGCGGGATCTATAGGAATGGAGGCTGCATATGATTAGAGTGGGCGCCCCCGTTTGCGATAAGACGAACTAGGATCCCAGGTTTGTGCCATCGTGGCCGGAAGAAAGCACGATTCGCGTGTTGTCACACCATCATCTCATCTCTTTCCATCATCTCATCTCTTTCCATGTCCGCTCAAGCAGCAAAAGAAAAAGAAAAGGTGCTCTTCTCCGTTTTCATCCACCCCACTTAACCCCCCCCTGTAGGGCAACGCTGCCTTCAAGGCAGGAGACTTTCCGACCGCCATTGGACACTATACAGCCGCGATGTTGGCTGACCCAAATTACACGGACCCGACATTCCCACTCAACCGGGCTGCGGCATACCTCAAGCTTGGGAAGTATGTGAGCCCCTTCCTTCTCGTTGTCTGCCAGTTGTTTGACTTTGTTAGATTTGAGGACGCGGAACGCGACTGCTCAACCGTCATCAAACTCAACAAAGGCAATGTCAAGGCACTATTCAGGCGCTCTCAGGCGAGGAGCGGGATGGGAAGGGTCGACGATGCATTAGAAGGCGCGTTTAACTCGCCTGTTTTCTCAGAGCTCCCTCATTTTCTGACTTTTCTTGATTGTAGATCTTCGAGAGGCATTATATCTGGAACCTGCCAACCAGAGTGTAAAGGATGAGCTGGAGAAGCTGGGGAAGATAGCAAACACAGCGGCGAGGGTGCTAATTTTCAAAATCCACTTGCTTGACTAAATGTTGTCAGAAGTCCAAACTTGCTGTTCCTCGAGATGTCTCTTCAACACCTACATCGTCAACAGCATCGCTGACGACAGCGTCAAAAAAAGCAAAGTCTTCGTCGAAACCCTCCAACGACTTGATGACTCCTGTGTCTTCGCGGCCACTCACTACATCTGGTCCTACCCCGTCCACTTCCGCTACAACCCCGAAACCCAAACCCAGCTCATTCAAAGAAGCCAAGGCCATGCGGGATACGACCAAGCCCTCTTATGGCGGTGGAATATTCAGGGCATCTGGCGAGCATACGCTGTTTACGCCACAACAAGCGGAAAAAGAGGCGGAGAAGATGAAGGCGATGGAGAGCAAGCTGACCGAAAAGAAATCGCTGCTCAAGCCGGTCCCGGCGGAAAACCCAACACCAACAGAAGCCCCAAAAGCTGAAACCCAAGTGGAATCATCTGCTCCGGAAGAGGCCACAATAAAACCCGCTCCACCTTCACAACGAAAATACGAAGGCAAGACGCCGAGTACGCTGTTTGAGTTTACGCGGGCGTGGGAGGTGACTGAGGACGATGGTGTAAGGATGTCATTGCTTTCTGTGAGTTTTCGCGCATCTACATGTCCTCTTTTCTAAACATATTCTACAGCGCATCCCACCTGCCAATATACCGACTTTGTTCCAGAGCTCACTTGAGCCAGAGACATTTGTGCAAGTCGTGGACGTCTTGGCAAGCTCCTCTGAAGCCAAAGAGCAAACAGAAGCGTATATGCGTGCCTTCGAGCGGGTCCCACGATTCGCTACTGTTGTCCGGATGTTGAGCGCAAAAGAGCGGGAACGGGTGAGGGGCTTGTGGGACACACTAGGCTTTGTGGGGGGCGGGGAAGGGAAGCAGAGACCGGAAGGATTAGCAGAGGTCTGGGGTGCTGTGTATCGGTGGTGACAGACGCGGTCATGTGACCTGATTTTTCAAAATTTACTGCGCTTTTTTTTTTGCGATGGCATGACTACGATGGCCTTCGAAGCAACTACGCGCATACTGACGTGAATTCAGGACTAATTTTGTCTTCACTAGCCACAATGTCAACGATCCTCATCTCTGTCATTGTGCCCGGGCTGTTACAGTAGCGGGAGTTGGATCAGGGACTCCAAATCCACGGCTTTCGCAGTGTTTTCGTCGGCAGACAATCTCTGAGGTGGAGCCTTTTGTACGCTCATATCCACAGAATTTGCACGATCGTCGCCTTCCCCTCCCGCGCTCCACAGGCTAAATTTACGCCCGTCTAAGTCCTGAGCACATAAAAGCGCGCCGAAGAGCCCTGAATGCTCAGAGCAAAAAGACAATATTTCCCAGGTAATGGGTGACGACACTCTTGAGGCTGTCTGACTATTCTCCAGCTTAACATCATAATGAACCAACTCACCAGCGTCCTCCTCCTTGCACTCGCCCTTGTTTCGGGGAGCACGGCAAGTGCCATTGGACAAAGCTCGCTCACTAAACGCTCCTGCGATGGTCACGCAGTCGAAAGCTGCTGGTCCGGTCTTCCTCCCGGCGCAGGTAGTGGGTGCGCGTGGTATTGCTGCAACGACGACAACGAGATTTTCCTTGGGCTCAATTGCGGAGCCAATGCCTGCAAGAACTTGGCAGACGGCGCCGTTGGATGTGCTTGAGCGTCGAATATTATTCCCCCAATACACGTGCCAAGAGGATGGAATTATCGTGTCTGAATGTAAATTACGGACAAATAAATCGAGTTAGATGCCCGAAACTTGTTCTTCGCACCACTTCCAAAGCTCTGTGCCATTTGCTGGGTCGTGGACAGTTACAGGAGCTTCTCCGAGGCGGGCCCACGGAAACAAGTACTGTGAATGTGTTGAATAGATAAGATTAAAACAAGATTCATTTCGTACCTTCCCACCCAACAATTCTCCCTCCTTAGTTGTGCCTGCATATAGCGATGTCAGTGCGCCCATTGGGGCCGGATAGACAACGAGATATTTCTGGAAAAAATCATAAATCAGAAACTGACGCTAAAAAAAGTCGACATACGAGTAGAGTAGCTGCAAATCCTGGCAAATAGCGCCCAAGATTGGTGTTGATATTCCCCGGGTTGAGCGCAACCGACACGACGCCCTTGTCCGCGTATCGGCGATGCAGCTCGACGCTCATGACCGCGTTACCGAATTTACTCTGGTGATACAGCCATGCCGTGCCGTATTTCTCGCGCTTCGGGCTCTCCTTGAAGGTCGCAAAGTCGAACGTCTTGGCGGGGAAGAAGTGGGTCGAGAGGGAGGATGTATGGACGATACGTGCGGGTTTCGCAGAGGCGGTCGCGGTGGAAATGAGGGTCGGGAGCAGCAGTTGGGTGAGATAGAAGTGGCCGAGAACGTTGGTCCCGAATTGCAGGTCGTATCCTTGTGTAGTGAGCATGTTGGTTGGGGGACGCTGAAAGAGGTTGGGAAAGGGTTGTTGAATGGTTGAACGAATTACCATAACGCCTCTAAGTATATTGGGTTGGATAATCGTAAACTTGGCCTGGGGAAACAACGTACCCATTGTTGAACAGAACGTTCAATTGGCTTTCTTTACTGTGAACACGTCAGAACAAGTTCTCTAGCTAACGCTTTGACACACCTTGTAAACTCTTGCGCTGCGCGCTTGATCGACGGCAGGTTAGCAAGATCGACTTCCAAAAACTCCGCCTCCCTGCCTGTTTCAGCCTTCAGGTCAGCAATAGCGCTCTTCGCATTCTCTGGATTCCGAGCGGCTAGGTAAACTTTTGCGTTGCGCTCCAGCAAGGCCTTGACAATTTCCTTGCCGATGCCTAATAATGATGAGCATGGCAGTAAGTGGAGCACACCGACGCGTACCAGAATTGCCGCCAGTAACGAGCATGACCTAGATTCCTAGTTAAGATAGACTCATGGCTAAGAGCTTTACCTGGCCAGTCAAATCAGGTATATCCTTAGTGGTAAACGTTGCCTTGGGCGGAAAAAACTGGCTCCATGTCGAGCCCATGGGTGGCAAGTGGGTGCCAATACAGTCGAGCTGAACATTTAAAGTAGAACACGTTCAATTGCAAGTTAAGCGATGGACCGAAGAGCAAATATGTGCTGACACATCCAAGACACATCGGTCCATCTTTCTTGACAGCTAATTTTAGGTCAGCTTCTGAGTCTTTAACAATTGTTTTTGTGCCCTCAAGTCCACCAAATTGGTCGAACTAACACGGCGGGCGCCGAAATTCACACAGATCGTTATAATGACCTGGATGCTGCCGAATGGCCACGTCTCCCCTCCCCTCCCGATGAGCGCTCCGCTGCCACTCTAACCCTGGTCCATCAGCAACAGCTATCTAACCACCGGAAAAGAACGCTTTTTCTAGAACTACTGGCGAAGTTGGACCGACAATTGGCTGTAGCGCAAAAATTTGCCGAGCAACGTGTGGTCGATGGAGTTTGGTGTTTGCGTACATATGCGAGCTGAGCAAATCAGATATAGGGCGAGGCCGGTTGTCAATCGGTATCGCATTGTCTAGTTGCGCAATTGTCTTGCGGGCAGTGTCTCGAGTGAGGGAAAGGGCGCTCGGAAGAACGGAGACGTAGTGGCTAACAATCCCGTGAGCCTTCATTGCACAGCCAGCATCCTTGAGTGATAACCCGGCCAACTCGAGCACAATGTTCACTATACTAGCGGGCAGCCACGTCCCCCGCTTCGGGTTTTGTTCAAGCGCTGAATCAAGTTGCTGGACGAGTTTGGTTTGGAGGTGGACAGGGAATGAAGTCGACGAATCGCCTTGGTTGATCTTCAAGAAGAGTCGTCGGAGGGTGTTGAATGCCTCATATGGCAGAGCCGCTGCCGGACTGCCAACAAGAGTGGAAATATAATCCAATGTCAGGGAAAACCCAGCAGAGTTCAGCTGTTGTTGGAAGGCTAGAGCATATTCTCGTGCTTCCAAAGCTAGCAGTCGCTCGTCATGAGCGGAAGAGACAACAACCTGAATGAAGTCGTCGAGATGATGACACAGACCGTCTGCGACCATGAAAATCACAGGCGCAGCGGTGTGGTCCAACGACACAAGCAATTGCTCGAAATTTTGCAGCTGTCGTTGGATGTTCTTTCTCAACACTTTCGTCCTTGGAACCGCCCATTCGGGATTTTTTTGCGACGCTATACGCTGATGCGACCAATGACCGGATTCGATGAAGACACATAATTCGCCTTCCATAGTGGCGACGAGCTCAAGGAAGAGGTCGAGTAAACTTCTCGCGACAACCGACGCAGCGGAATCAGCCAAATCCGAAATGACTGAAATTTGAGCTTTGACTGCTTGGATATTTATGAGAGTTTCTTCGTCAAACGTCAATGTTTGTCGAGAGGGCTGTGTAAAGGGTATGGACAGTGGTACGGCCATCATAGTTAGAGACCAGATGGCCTGTAGACAAGTCATTGCACGGTTGGATGCGACGCTGAAAATGACAGTGCCCTCGGCGCAGGTTCCCAAAAGGCGTGGAATTCGATGGCGTAGACTGACTATGGGGTTGCGGTCGTGAACGAGTTGGTGAAGCAGCAACTTGGCGCTGTAGTCGAAGCCGGATATCATGTGAGGGATGTGCACCAAAAATGACTCGAGCTCGGTGTCTTCGCGTAGATGGGACAGCGTCCACCGCATAGCCTCCAGGTCCCTCTCGTCACGTTCGGAGGATATTTCTGTCGCATCTGCTTCCCTAGCATGTACCATGGACTCGAGAATGGTCCCTGAAGGTTTGCTCTCTTCCCGCGAGCGAAGCAGACCCAGCATCCAAAAGATACGCCACCAAATAGCGGATAATGGGGTCTGATATGGGCAGTTGGTGTAGAACAACGGAAGGAATGTGACGAGGGCGTAAAGGCTTCCGCAAAGAATCAACAATCCCAAGACAAGATTGCTGATTGCGATGTTAATGGGTCGCAAGAATTCCACAAGCCCAGCAAAAAACAGTAAGAGCGAAATATGTAGCAGGCTTGGGATGAGCTCTGCAAGCGTGTTCATCTACTCGGATCACGATTAGTAGGTCAATTTGTGTTTAGATATGGACCACACATGGAAGATTCGGATTCCTTGGTGAAGGTATGCGGATATTCTCGCTCGTTTGTGAAGAGCGGACCTGCTTTCGATGGAGATTAGGTAATTTCGGGCCCACTGTGTTGAATGAGTTTATGTCCTGCATACGGGAAGCAGCAAGAACGCACAGTGTCAACCATTGTCGCGCAAAGGGCGCATATCAGACTAAATGCAAGACTGGAGAACCAGAATATGTTGCATATCAGTGCTGATGTCGGAGGTTGATTGCTGGAGGTGCTGGGGGTGGAGAGTGGAATTGGTATCGTTGAGTTGGTTTGTGATAGCACCAGTTGGGTCAATTGCAATAATAATAGCTCGTTAGGCTCCGTGGGTTCCGGTGTTAACGTCCGATAGCTCTCAATCAAGAAGGTGGTTAGACTACTTGAAAAGAGGCCCGCCTGGAAAGGTTAGGCGCTGACAGTCGACGAAGCGCCAGGGACCCACGAATATCAGAATCGAGCTCATATCTCCCTGTTAATGAAGTAAGAGTCTGGAAGGCCCCCAAACGCATGATAGAACGCACTTTCCACTGCTCAGCCACTTTACGATTGTGGGAAGATAGCATCTTCACATAAACGCCCCACACATTCTCGCTTGGGTCATCGAGGGGCTCACCCGAGCCACTGGAGAGGGATGGGTCTCTCGCGGTCATGATGGTTTAAGCTGGGCTTCTTGAACTCGCTTCGCTTCACGTCAAGATATATGTTTGTTTTCATAAGACCAGTAAGTTGGCTTGCGAGGGCTGGCCCGTCGGATTGTTACAGTTTGAGACTCTAGCGGAGGATAATAGAGAAGAGTCCTTGAGAGCATGGTGGTAGTTGGCTGTGATACTTGCGGCGGTTTTTTTTCAGTCACGGGTCAGAACGGTCAAGAACGGATCATGATTCTGCCGGTGCATGATGTCAAGCACTACTACATCATGATATTACAAACCATGTCCAGAACCACTGTCAGTCCACATACTAATAGGCGACACCTTTGCTGAGGACCGCTACCGGGTTATATATAAACAAGCTGGGGCATGGCCGGTCCATATCACGGTAAAACGGATGAAGATACAGCACTAGAGTGCACTTGTCATCGTCAAAATTCCTCCCTAACAACTTCTCAGACATTCAAGTTGTAGGAACGTTTTGCGCTACGCTCGAGTCTCAATAGCTGCCAGTATCGGATCCTGACGATCACCATAATCTGAACTCGATTCGATCTGACTCGAACGAAGAGGAGGCAACTTGGATCCCTGTCTTGGTCCTGTTCATCAGGTCGCCTCTCTGCGAAAGCGCAGTCTATTATGAGCCCGGTGGCTTGCACCCCGTCCACATAGGCGACACCTTTGCAGAAGGCCGCTATGAAGTCATCAATAAGCTGGGTCATGGCTACTCGGCCACTATCTGGCTTGTCCGAGTCCACGATTCAACAACTACGAAGTATGCTTCATTGAAGATTCTCGAGGCTCGCAGATCAGAGTCGCCTACGGAGCTTGCAGTCTTGAAGCATCTCGAAGCCACGTTTAATGATGAAGAAGAGGGTAGCAAACATGTAGTTCGAATGCTCGACAATTTCGGTGCTTTTCATTCTTGTTTTACCGTTGTGCTAACTGACATGAACAATCGCAACACAGTTCACCACGGACCGAATGGAGCCCATCTTTGTATCGTGCAGGAATTCCTCGGGCCCAGTTTCGCGCTAGACATTGAGCGTAACTGTGGTTCATCTTACCTTCCTGAGAGCACATCCAGTCGGCTCGTTGGCCAACTTATACTCGCTGTCACCTATCTCCACAAACGCGGAATCGCACACGGTGACCTCCATGCCGGCAACCTCCTCTTGTGTCTTCCCTCTTCGCTCGACCCAGACCTGGACTTGACCACAGTAATCAGCAATGACTGGATGTTGCCCTCCGAACCGTCTCCACACAAACCCCGGTATCTCATTGTGCCCATTTCAAGGCGTCTACGGACCCCTCTCTTCCAAGCCTGCATGGCAACACCATCCATCAAACTCTGCGATTTCAGTGAATCTTATATGACTGACATGGCCGACCCACCCCCGTTAGCTTCCCCGGGATTCCTCCTTCCGCCAGAAGGCATTTTCGGTGAACTGCCGCATGCCACCCTTGCAAGCGACATCTGGGCAGTCGCTGTCGCCATTTACCAGGTGCTCACGTCCGGCTGTCTGCTGTTCTACGAGACCGATGGCACGGTATTGGAGAGAATGGTCTGTACGCTGGGAAAGTTCCCCGAGCCGCTGTGGTCAGAGTGGGCCGACCGCGCCGAGTCTTTCGACGAAGAGGGGAACCCCATCACGGACACGTGCCCGAAAAGCTCTCTTCGCCGGAAAGCGAAGGGTTGGACGTCAGATGAGCACAAACTCTCTGCATTGGCCGCGATGTTCGAGACTATGCTGCGTTACGATGCAGAGCGCAGAAGTCCAGCTGGGGATCTCCTTCAGAGCGAGTGGATGACCAAGTACTGCCGCCCCTACATGTGCGACGACGTTATCTTGCCGACTGAGCGCGTCAAATTGATAAATAATGTTACATATCGTACTTACTAATCCTCAGAAGGCTGGTAAATTCAGAACTACCTATAAACTCTTTTTTAGTCGTCTGCAACCACTAGTATGCAGGGTTTCCCATCGAGCAGTCAACCAAGACCATTCTTTCTTAACTCCAGTTGAACGGATTAGCAATGCTACCGCAACTTACGCAAGGCATACATGAATGGCCAACACAATTTTTAGGTCGACTTGATATAAAAATGGTCCAAATAACCCTTGTATGTCTAGAGTTGTAAAGCAAACGAAGAAGAGAAAACAAAGTCCTCTGATGCCTTTGCAGCTCTAGGCTGCTTTCCCTTTCTCCTTCGACGTTGATGGTGTAGATTTCAATTCGGACTCAGCTTGGGCCGAAGCTGAGTCTGAAGAGTCAGGCTTCTGGGTTACGTCACTTTCGCTCGCCGGCAACTTCTCTCCTGGACGCAGGTAGTCCTTGGGCTTCAATGTCGAAGGCATCAGCGCCACAGGCAAGAGCCAAGTCGTCGTAAGAACGACTCCATCGCCTTAATATCCTCAGCTTTGCTCAAAGTAAAAGAGATAACATAAAACCCACCTTTGTCCCTCTCCTTTATCGCCTTCCAACTCCAGGCAACAAACACACCAACATATCCAAGATACGGCGCCAACCGCTTGAGCAACAGCATTGCGGGCCGGACTTGTGGTGGAACAAGCATCATTGGGACCTTGTCCAGGAGGTATTTGAGCGCCGCGATGAGCATTGCCCCGCGTTTCGCTGCAGATAGGTGGGTGTCGTCTAACTTCTTCATGACTGGGGGAGGGAGATATAGGCGGTAGCCCCACCACATAACCTGTAGCGAAACCTTGGTCCGAGAGGGCACCCAATGAACATGTTGTCGAGCCTTTTGCTTCTTTGCCCGGCTGGGATTCGGGGTTTGGGTAGGAGGAGTTGTCGGGGGCTTGTCAGTAGCTGGAGCTGGACCAGATGGTTTAGCAGGCTCTGGCTCTGGCTCTGGCTCGTCGAAGTATTCGAGGACCATCTCTGACTCCGCAATCTCGACTTCTGTGTCCTTTGTTGGCTCAAGTGGGCTATACATCATCACCCCGCCATCTTCGCGGTCATCCTCACTGTTGCTACTCCCCGCAAGATGCCCGTGTCGCTGTTTGAGTTGTTCAAGCATAGAGAACACACTTTGGCGGCCCAACGAGGTGGATCCACCCATGACACGCTGATTTGCCAACAGCTTCACCAAACGTGGGTCGTTTGCGACAGACGGCGACAACGGCGGGCCATTGGGGTCGACAGCGTCCGTGGTGGGCGGCGGAGGCAGCGACTCGATAAGGGTGCTAATGCGTTGCGCAAGTTCACGCGGCTCAGGCATATCGTCTGGCTCTGTTTCGTCGATTTGCTGCTCTGGCGTGGGTGTCGTCCCGGAAGCACCTGCACCATTGTTGAGGGTCTCGTCGAGATTCCAGGACGGTGGGGGCCATACGATAGCGGGGCGGTTGCTTTTGCTTCTACGCAGTGTTTTTGAGCGGATGAAGGCAGAAATGACTTCTGTTGTTGATGGTCGACGTTGTAAGCCGCTGTTGGTGCTCGTAGCCGCAGATTCTGGGGAGAGGGCGTTGGAGGTCATGGCTGTACGGGACAAAAGAGGTGGTGGTGCGCATTTTAGAGGCTAGGGACATGGCAGGTGAGTGCAAATGACGTTGATCAGACCGTCAGCCAATGTTATCTTTCGCATCTTCTTCTCGTCTAGCATCTACCTAGACAGTGTCTCCTGCCGTCTTATATCGATCCTACAATCATCCATTCATGTGTTCAAGTTATCGTCAATCTGGATGTTGAGCATCTACCTAGTCTTGCTTCGGAAAAGTGTCTCCAACCGTCTCATATCACTCCCACAAGAGTCCAACCTTCTTGCCCGCCCAAAATCAATTATCACTGCTCGATTCCCGCAAAGCAACACATTTCCCTCGTTGATATCGTCGTGGACAACATCAAGTTCGCGAAACAACTCGATTGCTTTGGCAAGCTCGACATATGCCTCTGCTGCGACCGCTTGAGCATCCCTGATTGCAGTTCCTTCAATATGCTCCAAGACAATCGCTGGTACCTCAATAGCGCGGTCTTCGATGACGATTCCACGCCCCAAGAGCCTCGGAATAGCTGTCCCTTGCAAAGCAACCAGTCGGTCGTAGGCCTCGCATTCGTCTCTGAACGAGGCCATACTCGTCCGGTAGAAAAACTCCTCCCAGAATACCGCCCTGTCTCCGTCGTCATCAGCCCACAAACACTGCTCCAAGCTGTCGGGAAACGACCCCGCCATCCGCATCGACACAGCCTTGCGCTCGAGCGCTGCCTCCCACGGGTAGTCCGGCCGGTATTGGCTGAGCACGAAGCGGTCGTTGAGATAGCGCGGGTCGTACAGCTTCACAACGACCTTCTTCTGTCGCGTTCCGTTCGCGAGGAAGACAACACTCTTCGTGAATGGGAGAAACGGGTGGATCACGGTGAATTGTTCCTCCTCTGACCCCACGAGCCGCAGTCTGACCACACTGCCCGGCTCGAAGGCCATTGGTCGTCGTCAAAGGAGAGCGACGGAAGTCAAGTTCCGTGCCGAGTCTCAGAATGCTAGGAGACATCGGCGATACCCAAAGCTTGTTATCTCAACCTTCTGTAGACGCCGAACAAATGAACAAACAAACCTTCATCAGAAGCCTCAACAGCTCAAGCTACACGCTCAACACGGAAGAATGCTACCAGTAGCAAAATAGCTAGCTCAAGCTACCGTCGATGCGGGACACGGAGGGAAGATGGGCATCTGAACCCTGCTTCAGGAAGAACAACGCTCGGGTCAAGATGAGCAAGCAGCGCCGAATCACCTGTCCGTGCCATAGCTACCTGCAATTCCCTATCACGCCGTCCGCAATCTAACCCCCACGCAAATCTCCGTTCCTATCCGTCTTCCGTCTCCGCATTCATACTGCATTCATTTACTCAGATCTACCCACACTGTTCCGACCCTAGACTTGGTTGCGGTGTTGCGACATTCTTATTTGCATTCATAACTATGTGGTACGATAACGAATCAAGCGGGTTCTTCGGTGTAATACAGGTTTGTGTTGTGCGTGCAAAAAGGGGGAGATATGCGATGGGTGCGATGCAATAGGCTACAGGGTAACGAGGACAGCAAGAAAGACAAAAAAACATGGACTTCTATGGGCCATAGCAACCCATGCAGGCCGCACACGGACAGGGTGGTATTGGCTCCTCCTGATATGCCAGCGGGAAGACATCCGGGTATGATGCTGTCGGAAGCCCAAGCGCGAAATCGAGTGGTGATAGAAGTGTTGGCGGGGCAGGCACCGAACAAGAAAGTGTTAATACTGGGCGCCGTGGTATGGTTGATGGTGATATAAATGGTGGCGAGCGTGGTGAATTGGGGCTGGGCGACCCGTCGGAAGCCTGCGAGGCCAATGCTGCGAGTGAGATGACGGGTATAATTGGTTTCGGCTGCGGTTGTTTGATTTCGAGGGTATATGGAGGGGGCGGAGAGATAAGCTGGGTCTGGGCAGGCGAGAGGCACGAAATTGGCGGGTCACATGGACCCACACTCGGCGCGTCATAACCATACGCCTGTCGTGTGTTGCTGGTGGTTGTTCCTGACTTGTCCACCCCCTCATCGTGCAACAATCCCTCCTCTATCGGCGAATCCAATTTCGTAAAGAGTAGTGGCGCGTGATGATATGCGGGAGTCAATGGCGAAGCCGAAGACGTGCTCGATGACGGAGAAATGGGTGTGTATTCGTCAAATGTGCCATAGTTTTCATAGGTCGGCTGATAGCAGGTAGCGACAGGAACTCCACTTCCGTCGTAGCAATCATAGGCCTCTTGGCCATAAGTCGCGTCGTAGGCGTAGCTCGATGACCAAGGCCGTGAGGATTGTAGTTCCTGCTGATTCTCTAGGTTATCGTAGGCGTTGGTATAATACGATGTCGCCATCCCAGAGTTCAAAGAGAGTCAAGTCGTAGTGGGGAGGGGAGAATCGAAGGTGGGTGAAAAGAGAAGAAGCAGGACGAGCGAGCGAGGTCTTTATTCGGGCCATGATGTGGGTTCTTGGTCGACTTTTTATTGGGTAAAGGAGAAGCGTGGAAGCTGTTTACGCGTGTTTGATCGATCCGGGCTTTTGACATCACGTCAATCCATCTTTAGCACTTCCATAACTGCCTCCGCTCAGCCCTTGCTCTGTTGCTTGACGGACGCTTTTCCCCCTGGCCCCCGCAATATATTTTCGGCCCCACTGCCCTGTTACAGGGCCGAGCAATTCTCCCGAGCAGCAGGAAAGCTACCAACTCTGTGTAAGCTGGAATCGTCATCGGCTCCGCTTCCCGTTTTCCCAAACCTTAAAAAAATTACGCGGATGGCAGACCTGAGACAACAAGGGACATCAACGCCCAAGCGAGAGGAGATGGAGCGCTTCTCTCAAATCATTATCCCTATCAAGGCAAGAGTACCTTGGTCCTTGTTGGCAGCGGAGGGCATTCGAAGCTCGAGAACAAAACCAGAAGAACCCAAAAAAGGTAATGTAAGCGTCAGAGCCCTGCCTGCCTGCGAGCCTCGTGTGTGCAACGCGACGGCCTAACAACAAAGCAACCCCAATTCCGCCTGCTCGCTGGAGCTTTGGCCATTTGACGTCGACTAATACTCCGAATTCCACATTCGCTTCGCCCACTCCATTCACAAACTCCGCCGATACGATCTACATCGCGACTAAATGACAAGCTTACTGACCCTTTGAGCTTGATTGCTCTGGCTGCTGCGAAAACAACTTGAAGGTTTGAGGCGATGAACTGTTGTGCCGTGCTCATCTTAGACTCTGTGACTGTCCGCAGCACCGGCAGCCCGACCTCTTCTCTTCCCTTTCCAACCTTGTTCCCGTCCCCGGCGTCAACAAAGCACCGCAATAGAGCACTCTTTCACAGGCCAACCCGGGCACGAGCGCTGGGCGCCACAACAAGAGATGCCCAGATGTTTTGCTGTGTTCAATTCTTCTTCTGTTCTCATGCTCAAGTGAACTGATTGACACCAATCTTATCGGCCCCAGCGAATTCTGGCAGGCACGATTCAGACACAAAACCGGCCTCAGCGCGGGCCCACAAGCCACAGAAACGGTTGTTGTCAACTAAATTATTGTGTCGTCCGCTATTCAACGCCATCGCGCACTTGCATCTGACCCCCCTCAGACGATCCGCTTCCGCCTCAGCCAAGAATAAGATAATGAACAATACGGTCTGTCTGTCTGCCAGACAGACGGCAAGCGACCAAAACACCCGTCCCAGGACCAGAATTATCAACACCGTCAACCAAGGCGAATCGATGGCCATGGATCCGACCGGCGGCGTCTCAACTGTCCCAAAATAATCTTTAATCCCGGGGCTGAATTCTGGGTGCCAGCAAGTTAACTTACAGACCTCAACAGTGTCCGCCAAAGCAGTGGGTCCCGATAGACAATACGATATGTGAACCTGGGACCTGGTTTTGAGCAATCAGCCCGCAAGCAAGTCAGGTCTAGCGCCATTCAGCTGGTCAGTAATAGCTCATTTCCGTCATTGTCTCCCCCACGAACATGTCTTCTGACTGTGTGTTCTCTCGTTGTAAAAGTGCTCAACTGCTCAGTTTCACACAAGGTCCATCGCGTGCTTTTCATATATTCCCTCCCTCGCCGACCAATACCAGGCTTAGCTATATTGTTATAGCCGCGCCGGAGCCCCGAGTTTCGATAGGCTCTTGAAAGTGTGCGGTGCGATTCTCATCTTTTGGGGTTCGTCAGCGGGAATGGGATTGTGATTTTACAGCTCAGCCACGATGAGGAAGAAGACCTCCACCATCTCTCACCCAGCCTTGTCGAAAAGAAGAAGTCGGAGAAGGCACAGGAAAGGAAGGAGAATTCCGAAAGGGCGGGAGAAGTAGATAATAACAACTTGCAAATAAATTAGCAGTTGGTAGTACAGCTAGCGCGGAATTGGGGGGTGAACGGGATGGATTGTGTGGCGGCTAGTGCACCAACTCGCTAAAGAACACGTACACAACACAGGGAAAGGGGGGTTTGCTCCGCGCTGCGAGGAAAGACTGGAGGGGAAAGACGATGGTCGTATTACAACGACGACGATACGTAGGGTTGGTTTAACATTCGAGACAAAACAGCACACGATGAATGAGAGAAATCCAGGGTTGTTTCTTGGGGGTTGATTGGAGTATTACGAGCAGATGTCGAATTGCGTCGTTTGTGCGATTTACTCGGCAACAACCATTCCGCCCATGGCTCGCTGAACCTCACGCATAGCCTGATCAACACCACCTTGAGGGTTTCCTCCAATGATACGTGGGCCGAGAGCGGGATGTCTAACTCCGAGAGCAGCTCCAAGCATTCGTTTTCCTGGGTCACCGATACGCGGTCCGCTGCCGATATCAGCATGCATACTAGCAGCGAGAATGGCTGGGTCAGAAGGCGGGGAAATGCCAGCCTGCCCCAAAGATGAGTTGATGAGCGAATTGAGAGTGGGGTGTGTCGGGAGGGAAGGGAGAGTGGGCGACGGTTCACGACCGTTGATGTGGCCTTCCGGAATGGGGATACTGGGAGGAGCATTGCCGCGCGAAAACGAGTTGGAAGGGGGTCTATTGGCAATCGGGCTGACTCCAGGGAAAGTGGAAATGGAGTTGGACCGCCCATTGGCTCGGGTTGGGTTCTGGCTGCGGGCGTTCACAGTCTGGATGACAGTTTGGGCATCGGACCCGTCATAAGGCTTGATGGTCGCAGAGACACCATCGGGGGACCTGAGAATAGGTGGAGGGAATGCAATTGTATGCAGGTAAGCACGTTTAGCTGAGTTTCATCGGTAAGAAGATAGATGAAGACTCGTCAGCAAACACTTACCGGTAGATGCATCCTGGAAAACAATCAGCAGGCTGGTGTCGTCTCTCCATTTGATCTTGAAGCCTCCATTGACGGACTCCCACTCTGCAAAAGCAGTGTGGATGTCCTTGGTCTTGAGCTCCTTCGGAAAGCCGGTGAGGAAGAGAATGCGAGTCACGGAAGCAGATAGGGCTGCGAGCGACGTGGCCATTTGCGAAGTGATTAGGAGGGCGTTAACAGATCAGGGACGACGTGAGGACAGGCGCACAGGTCGGGCGCAGACACTGGGTTGGGAAAATAATGCGAACGATGATAGAGTAGCAAAGAAGAGAGACGGTCACACCGTGACTCTTATTCACAAAACTCCTTCTGCGTTTCTTTTCGACAGAATGTTTGTGGCCTCTGTCTACCGTCTGGCTGTTCAATAATCTATCTTACTTCCCTTTCCTCCCTCTCCTCCCGCAAGTAGGCTTGATAACAACAGAATCAAGCTTAGTTGGCGCTGCCATTGCTTTGCGACTAACGCTCACTTCGTGAACTCCTGCAATGACCAGCCACCAACCAGAACATCCTGGGCTTCTTGTTCTGGGATCGCCAGAGACGTTATCATAACGCTCGCATTCTGCCGATTGTCCACCGTCTTGCTTTCCGCACATAATTTAAACCCAATCCGCGAGCTTTGCCTCTATCCTGTTCCTGCTCATCTTCCTCTGCAATGACGGTCCGCGATAACAACAGAACTTTCACCCTTTCTTGGTATTTTGATCGCTAGGAAGGTATGAATGATACTACAAGAAGTATGGCGAGAACCTACCACCGGGTCTACCCAATCCCTTTCTGTTGGATTTCTTCGGACCGCTTCATCCAGTAGACTGATGCAGCGCTGATATGCTAAAGCTATCGCCATCGCGTCTTGGTCGGCGGCATCGAGGTTTACCGCGACTTGGGCGGCAGCCAGTGCTCGGGTTATGGTTTGGTCCAACGACTCTGCAGGAATATAAGCCATTACTTCGTACACTATTAGCTTTGTACCTTGTCGTCCTTATATACATATTCCAAACAAGTTTTGAAGGGCAACAGAATCAGCGCCCGCCAGTTAGTGCGATCAACTCGTCGTTGTCACTCTTACAACTCCTTTCTCACTCACTCTCACCCGCAATTCGGAGTTGGGTTCATTCCGCGATGGACACCGACCTCGGCCGTATCTACCAAATAGTCCACGAGCTCAGCGAGCAGCTTGCCCAAAACCAAAAGACAACAGCCGCGCTTCAATCCCAGGCCACCGCACTAAAGGTACGTGTCTGTCTTGGCCTCGAGGCACACTTTAGACATCTTGTCGCAGGGTCAGGCCGAACAATCTGGCTCTGGCTTTGCTCTCAGAAGATTCAATACTGATATCGCCAATGGTACGCCTCATGGGCTGTCTGTCTTTGCTAACGCCGATGCAGAAACCTTCGAATCCGAGCTAGAGCGCATGAACGCGCACATTGTGATAGAAAACCAGACTCTTCTGCACGAGAACAAGCAATTGAGCATTCTTCTCAAAGAATACGAAGGCACCCTCGAGACAGTAATGGCAAAATTCCGCAACCACGCCCTTGCATCGCAGCAATACGAGCTGAACCTCACACGGCACTACGAAGCTTTGCTTCTCACTCGGGAAACACAGACCCTCTCACACGACCTTGCTTCCAGCTCCGAGATTACCCACTCCGTCCAACGCATTGCCCATTTACTGCGTGCAACTCTCCAAGTTATGGCCGGCGAAGACCCCGACCCAGAACTCGAATACGAGGCAGGCGAATACATCGACCCAAACGAGCTTCTTTCGCTTGTCGACGCTCTTGATAACCCAGAAGATTGGGCTGTCGAACGCGAGGCAGAGATTTCTCGGCTGGAGCAAGAAAATGCTGCGTTACGGAGGATGCTGGGAATTGATCCAGAGACCTTAGAGGCGAATGGGGTCAGTGTGGAGGTGGATCGGGAGCCGGCGCGATATGCCTTGATGTTGTCAAGAAGACGAAGCGCGAGTGGAGACGGGCCACGAATGTCTTATTGGGACAATGGTCAGGCTCAACAACAACAAACTCAGCAGCAGCAACAGCAACAGCAACAGCAACAAATGCAGCAACAGCAGCAACAACAACGGGCTATGGATATGCAACCAATGATGCGTGCTGGACAAGCAAATCGCCGACCGGGCATGTTTGGCGCTGGGGCGGGGCGGGGCGTTATTCCCGGTGCTATGGGAGCTCCTCCTCAAGGGCCAATGTGGAATCCACCGCCAACTTGGCAGCCCCCTCCCGAGTTCAGTCGATGACCGTTTATTCCTTATTTTATATCGTACAGTATACTTTTTTCAAGACACGGTCACGGTGGCTTGCCCGGAGCTGCTGAGCCCTTCCACTGCGACAATCTGCAGATTCATCGTCCCCAAATGCATCCCCAGCGAAGCCCAGGCGTTCACGTGATTTTGCACCGTCACCGTGCCGCTCGTCCGTTTATTCTGTCGCACAGAGAGGAATTGCTGGAACGTCGCGGTGCCTTGGATACTCGGCTGGTTGACCTGAGTGTGTGTGAAGATGTCGTAGGTGGACCCATCAGACACCACAGTGCCCATGTGGGTTGTGCCTGGGTTGGCGGTCCCGATGTTAAAGTCGTTGGCCTGCTCGTTGATGTAGTATTCGACGAGTGGGTTGGTTGACCATCCTACACAATTGAGGCTCGTTTATTCAACGAGGAAACTTGTGACTAACCATAAACCGACAGGATAGATGCCGAAGCGGGATTGGGCCCCCATTGCGCGCTGAATTTGATCACTCTAAAGCAGCGTTTAGCCTTCAACAGGTACGCAAGCTGCTGTAGACTAACCGTGAGGTCGAGCCGGGATTGAACCCCTGCCCGACCACAAAGTCGCCCGAGCCAGACCACTGCACTTCATATTGCCCGCCCGCGATGTTGTTGAACGTGACCGCAAAATTGCCCGCCACGAAGTTCTGCCAGAAGAAACCATCGAATGTCCCTTGGCCAGGGCCCTGCACGCCGCGGCCAGCAAGCGCAAGCGAGCTGTTGTTTGCGGGGAGAAACAGAGCAGATGCGCCGACGACCGTTAGCGCAAAGACAGCCAATAAGGAGGTGAAAACCATGGTGCTGCAGACCCGGATATTGGGGTTCCACTCAACCAATTACTACTCTTTTATACCGATTTTCGTGGGACCGGCCCTCGCTCGTTATTGGAGGAGAAATCGCGGGCCATTGGGGCAGAACGATGTCCACATTTTTTCGCAGCGTCTCCTCCGGGTCGTCTTGTCGCGGACCCCTCATGACTTTCATGTGCGCTGCCCATAGCAGTGAAAGTCGCACGGTTGCACAGTCATTTTTGGATGCGGTGGCTTTACCAAGGTTTCCAACTTACTTGCTAATAAAAGAGTGCTAGATCCTTGCCGGACCGGTGGAAGTGACGTCGTAAGTTTACAGAGTAGACAAGTACAAACCAAATGCCACTAGAAATACAAGCTTGCTGCAAACACAATGTCTCGCTTAATCTTAATTTGAGCTTCCTCCATCTTTTTGAACAACTCTGCATCTCCAATAACCCGCGCGGCGTCCCGTACTTCGCGACATGTTTCGTCCAACCGCGTTATGACCCGGACTATAGTCCCTTCCGCAATGTCTGTCAGCGCCGTGATCTGTTCAAACGGCTGCAGCACATATCAGGTCAACGTCACTGGTATAGTTAGACGCACCATTCCCTTTGCCCACTCATATACCACCTCAACTAGTCCGAACTTCAGACTCGAACGGAAATCCTCTGTCGCAACTTTGTGAAAGTCCTGAATCCGCCCCACACGGTCGCTAATGGCGAGAATCGCCTCCCTGCCCGTCTCGAGTTTGGGCGGTATCACAGGCTCTACCTCGGTTTTCTCCTGGAAGACAAAACAAGAAAGGAGCGCGACCACCTCCTCAGGCTCATAGCTTGCAAGCGTGTTTTCGAGGATGAGCTCGGTCAGAACGAGTTCGTTGACCGAGTTGATCTGCCCAGTTGGTCAGTCGCAACATTCACTAAACGCCAGCTTTTAACCCACCTCGCACGCTACGCGGCCTTTCAAAAGCACCGTCGAGTTCTCGTCGATAAACTTGAGTTCCTGTAACACCGCTATCCGCTGCTCGTAGTCCGGAATCAGCTCGAGATTCTGGTCAGAAATGGCCAGTTTCAGATTCGCAATGTTGGCACGGAGAACTTTTTCCCCGTGAACAGTCGCATACTGGATTTTGGTGAGATTGATAAATAGAGAAAACACGCAAAACCAACATGTCTCTCAAAATCACCACACAGCAAACACTCGCGGCCCGACAACTTTTCGACGCGTGAGTTTCGAGCACGCAACGTTTCTTGAAACTCAAGCGACCGCATCCTTGCCCAGTCGACTTCTGGAATCACAGTGCTGGCGTTCCATTCGTCAACCAGACCTTGCAGAAGCGCGAGAGCCTCCCGCATGCGTGAAATTAGATGTCGGTCCACAATAGCATCCACATCGATCTAGCCGGGATTCAGAACAGATGGAATTTATGATTTGCTTGAATGATACCTTAACTGTCCGTCCAGTGATCATAGCTATGCTGGCGAGTGATACAGCGGTGACCTCATAGACCGCATCATTCACCACCAGAGAGTTTGGACTGGGTGGCCATTTCGGTGTCACAGCTTGTAAGTCCATGTCTATGCGGCAGTTTGATATTCATGAAGAGATGGAAAACACGGCTGAATCACCTCGCTTGCGGGTCTTCGTCTCTTGATCGACAAGCGCCAACACAAAATATGTTTTACTTTTTTCCAAGAGACCCGAATCTGAAGCAACAAGAGGAGCAGGCTTCAACAGGACCGCAATGTTCGATTTGAAATGCTACATTGAATAAGACACTCTTTCAAAACAAGTAGAAAAAAAGATACCGCATCTCGCAGGATAATAACGCGTCCCGAAGAAAGGAGTTTTGAACCCTGTGGATGACCGACAGCCATTCTGAACAGCTGTTGGTTTGCCGATACGATCGCAAGCGAATCATCGTAAAACGATTCAATGTCGGATTGGCATATATCGCAGCTTAGTTTCGCGAGCGAAGACAGCACCTTCTCACTCTGAGCAATCGTTAGCTTATTCTGAAAAACCGAGAGGGTCTACCAACCTCGAGAACTTGTTTCTGTTGTTCGGGCAACAGCCGCTGAGAGGCATTTTCGGAGAAGCTGCGTTTGATCATCTCCTCGACTTTGAGCGCCTCGACGCGCAGAAGATTGAGGATCATGTTATAGGTTAACCTGAACTGCGAAGAGAGTTTGGTCGGTATTCCCAGGATCATCGTTTGAAGGGTTGTTTGCTGTTGATTGTCAGAATACAGAGCTCAGATAATTTCAAGTTTGATACCTCTGGCAGAGAGTCGTTGGCCACAATTATCACAGTTCCTGTCGCATCAAGTCCGCGACGTCCAGCGCGACCGGCCATTTGCGTATATTCCCCAGGTAAGATATCGCGAAAGCTACGTCCGTCGTGTTTCCGTATTCCAGAGAATACGACACATTTGGCAGGCATATTTACACCCTGCAGATCGTGAACACAAAACAACGCGAAACGGGAAGGTTGACCATAGCGAAGGTTTCGGTTGCGAAGAGGATTTTGACTAGACCTCGAGCAAACAGGATTTCAACCACTTCCTTGACAAGCGGGAGAAGACCTCCATGATGAACACCGATTCCACGCGAAAGGAGATCTCGCATTCGAGCAATCTGCGGGAGTTTCTTATCGCTGCCTACTTTGATCAGTCGAAATAACTAGGATGGACAAGAGATTACCTTTTAAACGAGACAAGGCTTTCTCAATAGCAACATGGACTTCGCTTTTCTCAACAGAGCTCGTCAAATCGACGTTAGAAAGGGTGCCCGCGTTTTCTTCACAGCGCTTCTTGGAGAACGTAAACACGACGACAGGCAGTAATCCCTTCTTGCGCAGATGACCAACAAGATGCACATAAAGGTTCTTGTCTGCACCGGTATGCATCGTTCGCGGAGGAGCACCGCCACGCGCCACACCACGTGCAGGAGTTACAGAGCCTCGTCCACGCTGTTGCCCCCGTTGACCAGCGGGAGCGCCTCTGGCGCCGACACGCTGGACAGGAGGTAAGCCAGCAGCTTCACGTTCTTTGTCTTGTTTTCGACGTAGGGCTTCACCTGCATCCTTGTAGCTAGCAGAAAATATTAAACCTTAACCTCCAAAAAAAAGAGTCATGACAAACCCAAGGGCAACAAAGTTTCGTTTCGAGTCCACAATCTTGTACATTTCACGGCCAGCATAAAGATAATGTTCGAGAGGCACAGGCCGCTGGGCTGTCGAGATTACGTAAATATCCTTTTTCTTGGTCCGTCTACTACGCGTCAGGACAAAAAACGAAGTTGGTATGAGGTCGTACCCAACCCAATCAGCAAATTCTTTTGTATTTGGGACTGTAGCGGAGAGAAGGATGATGTTGACGTGGTCCGGTAGCATGATGATGACCTCTTCCCAGACAACTCCTCGCTTTTACTCCCGTTAGTCAAATTCCTGGAGAAGAAGAGCACGGACCTCAGCATCATTCACGTAGTGGACCTCGTCGAAAATAACAAATTCCACATCTCGAATAAGGTCTGCACCTTTGTACAGCATACTTCTCAGAATCTCCGTTGTCATGATTAAACAACTTGCTTCGGGGTTAATCTGCACGTCTCCAGTAAGAATACCGACCGACGAGGAGGAGAAAGTCTGTTTGAAGTCGCGGAATTTCTGGTTAGACAGTGCCTTGATGGGAGACGTATATATCGCGCTGAATGAGGTTCAGAGATATGGGCAGATTTTGAGCAAACACTCACCGTGTCATATGCTTTTCTGCCAATGAAATCGCATATTCAGCTACCACCGTTTTACCAGCAGACGTATGTGCAGCGACGAAAACCGAATCTCCCATCTCCAAATGGTAAACGGCTTGCTTTTGGAACGTATCGAGCTCGAAGGGATACTGTGGATGGTTGAGCAGGAGTACTTGCTAAAGGGAGGCCAAACCTTATGAGCCATTTCTGGGACAAGTTCGTGGAAGTTGGACAGTGGTGTATTGACATCGATAACATGGGCCCAGTCGCGCTTTTGAATGATTCGTTTTGGCGCTCGTCGTGAAGGCTTGACTGGTTTCAAATGGGAACGCTACCGCCTGCATGAGCGGGAAGAACTTTGGTGAAGCTAAACATACGGTGGTCGGCAGAAGGTCGTCGATATCGTTTGCGGCACTGGATAGAGGCGGCTCAGATTGTTCGTCGAAAAATGCGTCCGCCTCAGCAGCCTCAAGTCTCATTAACGCCCATATCTTGACTGAACATGATAACTCACAATCTCGTCGTCTCTGAAATCACCACCATCGCCCAACTCAAGCAGGCTCTCGTCAACCTCGTCAGGAAGGAGCAAACCACGAGTGAACCCCGGCGGAATCGTCTTCAGCCCTGTTTTCGAACTTGATGCAGTACTTTCCGACACGACTACGTCCTCAAGGCCACCGGGCCAAAATGGAACGTGTCCTGAGCGCCCGCGAACAAAGTTTTTGGATGGCCCGGGTGCGCGATCCAATGATGTTGAAGTCAGGCCCGTTGAAGGGGGTACATTAGGTACCTGGAGTTGTTGAGTGAATCGTAAAGGAAACAAAAGTCGTTTTCACCTCTACATGGCCAGTGACGCGTCCGTTGAGTCCAGTCCTCACAAAAGAAACACCGGTCGGCGGAGGCGATGGTGTGTAGGTGAGAAGAGAAGGTATGGACAGTTCCGGTTTCCAATGTCTAGCTTGGGTGAATTCTCCAAGCAACAATGCATGGATCTGGGGCCGCACAGTTGGTACGTTGGAAGCCAGTGTCGAGGCAAAGATGTCTTTGGGAGTAGGAGTTTACCCTCGATTTCTCGGTGTATGGCCTCTGGGGAAGGAATGCCATCCAGGCCGAGCTCTTTTAAGAGCTGAGATTTATCGCTAGCCGCGGAGTGGACGATGCTCTGGACGATATGTCTGTGTTCGGCGCCATTCATGATGGCGGAAAGCGCAAGTGCCACGAATTGATACCAACTTTGTTCGTTGTTTACTTTACTTACAAAATGCGAAAGTTCTCACTATTACTTAGATTCAGAGTTCTACGTGCTGCTATTCTTCTTTCCCCCTTTCTTCCTCTGCGGGATTTTTTGGTTTTCTTTCGACTGCCTTCTTGAACACTGATGCTTCGGTCCGAGTTGCCACAACTACAAGTACATCACCTCCCGCGACGGCGGCGACCGTAACCCACCATCCAGTCGCAATGAATAAGATCGCTCAACGAGCATCTGCTCTCCGCATCATAGCGCAACATCGCCTCTAACGCTAGAATCTCTTCCTTTACGTCTGTCCAAAGTTCAATTCGTTCCTTCAGGGAAGTCTTGGATGAGATTCCACTCAACCCTAACCAGGAGTCGACTTGGAGGACTGGATTTACGTCGTCGTCGAAAAACTTTTCACGATTACTCCAACTGCGCCATAGCAGTTTGCCCAGCGTCAAGACAATGGTCTCCAGAGTGTAGTCGTCATTAAGCGAAGAAAACAGAGAACCGCCATTGGTGAGAATTTGGAAGATTACAACCGCCAGTCCCCAGATGTCCGTTTGTAGAGTTGCGTAGGGTAAGTCACCGAGGATTCCTTCTGGCGGTCGGAGAATATGAGGGGAAGCAAGTGGTGGAGGCTCGGTCATGCCCGTCATGTACGACTCGCTGAAATCGCAAACTTTGATGTGAGGCTTGGCCATGCAGGATCGAATGAATTTGTTTGGGACGCGTTCACTGATGGGCCCGACAAGATACTTGGGCCTATGAGGAGAGGGCTTCGCAGGTAACCCGCATGTATCTCTTATTGGAGTGCCAAAATCGATACTGAATGAGGCGGGGATACAGAGAAGAATATTGCCAGTGTGAAGGTCGCCGTGTGCAATTCCACGTTTATGAAGATAGTCGACAGCGTGAAGAAGTTGGCCGGCAATTCGACGGGCCCTCGACTTGGAGGCGGCAGAATTGCCTTCGATTTTCATGGTCATACTGGGCCCAAGGAATTCCTGAACGATGCACAAATGTGATCCATTCGGTCCCTCGTGCACTGGAATGAATGTGAGTTGAGTCAAATTGTCATCAAGAGCCACACACCAAAATGGTCAAGCATTCGGACTATATGTTGGCTTCCCTCATCTTCTGCATCGAACGTAGCTTCAAGATGCTTCAAGACAATCAACTCGGTCGAGGATTCAGATCTATCAGCCTCTATGATCTTGAGTGAGACGTAGCTTGCAGTTGCCAGGTCGCGAGCGAGCCAGATGGTAGAAGAACAACCATGTCCAAGTTTGTCAATGACCTCATAGCGCCCTTCCGCAAATGTATCGCCTATATGGACGGGATGCAGGCCGCCAGGTTCGTAGTCCAATGGGTGTTCAAGTTAGGGCTGAGGTTTGACGCTCTGTCTGTGTTCGGCGCCATTCCAGTCATGATGGCGGAAAGGAGGAAATATCAGCAGCACAAATTGATACCAACTTCGTCTCATATTGACAGGTTTCGAACTTCACCATTACTCATTTTCAGAAGGCTCCACTCAGTCATCATCTGGACCAAAAGCGGATGTAGATGTTCTCAAACTAAAAAAAGCATTCACTATGCAAGCTTTTTGAACAAACAATTATTTGATTACACTGGTAGGTATGGGTAGTGGTGGGCCAAGGTCGCAATCGTCAGGGAAATATGTCGGCGTGTTTATTTTCAGTTTCGTGCGTTCTGTCGGCAAGATCACGTTGTCAGCCATATACGGACGGCAATATTTGGTCATCCACTCGCTCTGCACAAGGTCACGCGCCGGACACCTGCTCTCCGCATCGTACTGTGCCATCGACTCGAACATCGCCGCCAATGCCGAAATCTTGTCCAAATCGGTAGTCCAACACTGCAGATTCTCGGAGAACGTCGTCCTGCTGGCTGTGCCACTGACACCCCAAAAAGTCTTGGTGGCCGGGTTCCCCTCGTCGTCAAAGAACTTCGCGCGGTGGGCCCATTTGGACCACAGCGGCTCGGGGAACTTGCCCAGCGTAAGGACCATAGCTTCCAATATCCCGTCGTCAAGTTCAGAGAACAGCAAAAAGCCAGACGTAAGGACCTGGTAAATGGCGACAGTCAATGCCCAGATGTCGCTTGCGAGGGTGGCGTGTGGCAAATCGGTGAGGATGCCTTCTGGTGGACGGAGGATGTGTGGGGAGCCGAGTTCTGGTGGGTCGGGCATGTCGGGCATATAAGATTCGCTGAAATCGCACAGTTTGATGGACGGTGTGGCCATGCAAGCTTGCAAGAGGATGCTGCCCAGGCGTTGGGTAACGGGCTCAACGAGATACCGTGGTTTGTGTGGGGGAGGGTTCGGAGGGTAGGCCCCAAGTATGGCTGACTACTGTAGTGAAATCTATGTCTGGGTCCAGCGGTGAGGGTAGACACAGGAGAAGGTTCCCGGAATGGAGGTCGCCATGGGCAATTCCGCGTTTGTGAAGATAGGCGACAGCGAGAATAAGTTGGCCAACGAGTCGACCTGACGTGCTCTCGGGGAGGTAGGCAATACCCTTGTGATACTCGATGTCAAGCGCGAAGCTGGGCCCAAGTAGTTCCTGGACGATACACAGATGGGCTCCATTCGGTCCTAGATGCACTATAACGATTAGATCAATACCGACAGTCTCGCCAACTTGAAGAACACACTGAAATGGTCGAGCATCCGAACAACATGTTTACTTCCCTCTTCCTCTGCATCGAACGTCGCTTCGAGATGTTTCAGAACATGAAGCTCTGTCGGCGACTCAGATCTACGAGCTTCAAGAATCTTTAGTGAAGCGTATTTTGCAGTTGTTGAGTCGTGAACAAGCCAGATGGTGGACGAGTAGCCATGTCCCAGCTTGTTGATCACCTGGTAGCGGTCTACAAAGGTGTCGCCTATGTGGACGGGGTGCAAGCCACCGGATTCGTACTCTCTTTCATGCTCGCAGAGGGAGTTAGACATGAGCGAAACTTTGGATAGGAGGGCAGATCAGGGTTCCGAATTTCCGCCGGACCACTGAAAGTGCCAAATACGAGTGTTTATGTAGTCTTGACTACTAGGACTAGCTTATTATAATTAGCTAACTTACCAGTGCGTGCATCTTCGATCTTCGTGCTCCACCCCAGGCCTACGCCTTTGAAAATAATCAGCTGTCCGTTAGAAGCCAGCCAACGATGATGTCTTTGGGAGAGGCAATTGCAAGTAAGCACTCAATTACTAGGAGGAAGAGTTTGTCCTCGATGTGAGAGGGTATTCCATCTTGATTCCATCTAGTGCTCCTTGAGGAGGTCTTCCGATAACTGTGATTTCTCCCTGGCGGTGGACCCAGTGATGCTATGGACAGATAATCTATCCAACATGCTTGCTATCCAAGAGTTGCTTTGCTGGCAAGCGTTACATGGTGAATTTCTAAATCATTTGACGGCTACCAAACTCGCGTGCAACTTCGTCGACGGCATAGGCGCTCACGGTGCGTTAAGGACACGAGGATCAATGACGAACCTGTTGACCCTCACCTTCCTGCGTTCTGTTGGCAAGATTACGTCGTCGCCCATATAAGGCCGGCAATAGTTGGTCATCCAATCGCTCTGAACAAGCTCACTTGCTCGACTTCTGCTCTGCGCATCGTACCGCGCCATCGTCTCGAACATAGCTGCCAATGCGGAGATCTTGCCCTCGTCCCTCGTCCAACCCCGCACCTTTTGGCGAAAGGAAGTTGTTTGGGCCTTGATATTGAATGCCTGGATGACCGGATTCACTTCCTCGTCGAAGAAGCAGGCGCGGTTAGCCCATTTGGACCAGAGCGGCTCAGGGAGCTTGCCCAGCGTAAGAACCATATCCTCCAATATCGAATCGTCGTATTCGGAAAATAACAGACCGCCAGACGTGAGCAGCTGGTAGATTGCGACAGCGAGGGCCCAAATGTCGCTCTCGAGAGTAGCATGTGGCAATTTGGTGAGGATGCCTTCTGGTGGACGAAGAATATGTGGGGAGCCAAACTTTGGTGGGTCAACCATGTTGGTCATATAAGACTCGCTGAAATCGCATAGTTTAATGTACGGTTTGATCATGCAAGACTGTAACAGGTCGCTACCTAGGCGCTGCGTAACGGGCTCTACAAGATATCGTGGCTTGTGGGGGGAGGGTTCAGAAGGTAGCTCTCCGGTGTTGCTGACAACCGTGGTGAAGTCTATGTCTGGGTCGAGCGGTGAGGGCAGACACAGGAGAATGTTTCCAGCATGAAGGTCGCCCTGGGCGATTCCGCGTTTGTGAAGATAGGCGACAGCGAGAATAAGTTGGCCAACGAGTCGACTTGACGTGCTCTCGGGAAGGTAGGAGATAGCCCAAAACAATTTGACGTCCAGCGCCAGACTGGGCCCGAGGAGCTCCTGAACGATGCAAAGATGTATTCCATTCGGTCCTTGATGCACTGTTCAACCATGAGCTTGGTATTAACCCTCTCAACGAGAAAGCAAACAAAAGTGGTCGAGCATTCGGACAACATGTTTGCTTCCCTCATCCTGTGCATCGAATGTTGCTTCGAGATGCTCCAAAACATGGAGCTCTGTCGGTGACTCCGATCTACGCGCTTCAAGAATCTTTAGTGAAGCGTAATTGGTGGATGTCGAATCGCGAACAAGCCAGATTGTGGATGAGTAGCCGTTTCCAAGCTTGTTGACGACCTGGTAACGGCCGTCCGCAAAGGTGTCGCCTATGTGTACGGGATGCAGACCACCGGGTTCATACTCTTCCTCGTACTCGTAGACGGAGTCAGACATGAGGGATGACTATTAGGAGGCAGATCAAAACTTTTGCCACTGGACCGATAAAATATGAAAGAGACGCACGATGTAAAAAATTTCTACTGGAAATGCAAGCTTGCCATCTCGTCTTGATTTGCAGGCGCGCGCCTCTTCCTTCTGTTTGAACGACTCTCCATCTCTAATGTTTCCCAACGCCTATGACACTACTCGTAGGATGATATCTTCCGCAATATCTGTCAGCACAAAAGAACGGGCCAACGTCATGGTCATTTGCGCGCCTTTCCCTTCGCCTACCACTCCACTTACACTCGAGCACGCAAGTCGGTCCTCCCAAAAGAGGCACTGGTGGAAGCGATGGTGCATGTCTAGTCCTTGTTTTGCCATTCATGGTGGCGAAAAGCAAACATACTTCGGATCAGCGGCACGGATTGATACCTGCATGTCGTAGGTGAGGAAAGTTACAAACTGACGATTTCTACCGACGGCAGTGGCTAATTCTTCAGCTTCCCCCCTTTCTCCTTCCTTTATTGTGGCTATTATTCTTCTCTCTTCGAATGTGCACGACCATAAAAGTCCGCCGAGCTCGGCGGCTCAGCTCGCAAGACCGGATCAAGCGGAAGACAAGAACTCTTCTCGCTATAACGCAACAAAGGCTCCAGTATCGCCTCCGCGCCGGTTATCTCCCAAGGTTTGGATATTTCATCAAATGGTCAGTTTGCTTTAATTCGTTAATACGGACAGCCTGAACCATTGCACACTATACCGACAATAGCGAGTGCACCGTATATGGAGTATTTTACGCGGTAGTCTGAGGAGTAATGTTGACAATATTGGGTTGTATCTTCCTGCGCTCAATTGGCAAGACTACATCTTCGCCCATATACGGACGGCAGAAATTCTCCATCCACTGACTGTGCACGATGTCACTCGCTGTGCTTCTGGCCTTGGCCTCGTATCGTAACATAGAATCCAACATCGCGGTCAATGCGGGGGTTTGTTTCTCATCGCACAACCAGCACTCAACTTTGTTGCTCAGGGAAGTTACTGGGCCGATAGCATTCGGGACCGGGTCGGCATTCTCGTCCAAGAACTTTCCCCGGCCGGTCCAACTAACCCACAACGGTTCCGGGAACTTCCCTAGCACCAGCACCATGGACGCCAATATGTAGTCATGGTCGTCGTTGATGGAAAATAACCCACAACCACTTGTCAGGATATGGTAGATCGCGACAGCCAGCGCCCAGATGTCTGTTTCAGGAGTCGCGTGCAAGATTTCATCGAGAATGCCTTCTGGTGGACGGAGAAAATGGGGGGATGCAAAGCATGGTGGCTCGGTCATGCCAATCATGTACGATTCACTGAAATCACAAAGTTTGATGGAAGGTTTAGACAAGCAGGAGCGCAAGAAACTCGCGGGGAGGCGTGGTCCGATGGGGACAACGAGATATTGAGGTCTGTGAGGAGAGAGCTCGGTAGGCAACCCGCGAGCCTGCTTTATTGGTTTGCGAAAATCAACTTCGAGGTCGAATGTCGGCGGAAGGCAGACAAGTATGTTTCCAGAGTGGAGGTCGCCGTGAGCAATCCCACGTTTATGAAGATAGTCGACAGCGAGAAGAAGTTGTCCAACAATTCTACTTGCCGTAGCAACTGGAAGACAAGAGTGACCATCGTACATCACGATGTCGACGGCGAGTGCAGGAACAAGGAGCTCTTGAACAATGCACATATGAGCTCCATTCGGCCCTTCATGCACTGTGTGAAACGGAGATAAGATCAACACCACTTTCAATCGCAAAGCGTACCAAAGTGGTCGAGCATTCGAACTACATGTTTGCTGCCCTCCTCCTCCGCATTAAATGTGGCCTCGAGATGTTTCAAAACTACGAGTTCTGTCGGAGACACTGTCCTACGGGCCTCGAGAATTTTTAGTGACGCGTAGGTGGCAGTTGTTAAGTCGCGAACAAGCCAGATTGTTGAGGAGTAGCCGAATCCGAGCTTGTCCATGACCTCGTAGCGACCGTTTGCAAAGATGTCGCCGATATGAACAGGGTGCAGACCGCCAGGTTCATAATCGAGTGGGTGTTCGCAGTGAGGCGAGGGGTACACGGAAGTCATCCAGTCCTCGAGTCACCCACGTCACGGCCTGTCACGTTCGATACTTGGCAGGAAATTCTAAATTTTGTTTCCAAGGTCCGAGCAACTTGGAGTTACTCGACTTGCAGGAAGCGTTATCCATTCCAAGGCAAACTTCCACGAGACTGTGAAAATTTGTTCAAGTTGGTGGTGACGTTCCCGGACTGAGGTGTGCTCCAGAGCGCAAGTGAGCAGGTCGTGAAAAAAAATGCAGTATTCGGATGACAGATTTGCTTCCTCGTCCCATGTATGAAAGATTTAAAGTATCCTTGAGATACTTTAGGACACCCAACTCGGGAGATGCCTCTGATCAGGTGACTAGGCCGATCTTCAATAAGCACTGGTGGTAGAGCTCGAGTAGAGTCGCGAACAATCCAGACACTGAGACAGTCGATGAGTGACCTTGAGTAACCTTGTCCGAGCTGCCAATGATTGACCTCATAGCGGCCATTGGTGAAGTACTTATCACCAATGTGGATAGAATTAAATCCTTTTGGTTTGTACCAGTAAGCATTCCGTCGACATCTGGCGTATTGACTTGGCAAAGCCACACAGAACACTAAATCCAGCCACTTGTTTCCTTGTCGTTGTGGAAGTTCAAGAAAGAGAGCGGTTACATCACCAAATTTGTCCATTCCACGTAAGCCCTTCGCTGATCAGGAATCAGTTACAACCTCGTCACAACCTTTCCGAAGCCCTTCCTCACCTCAACAACTCCCTTACCAATGACCTGCAACTCTGTTATAACCCTTACGCCTACTACAAACCATGTTCACACCATACAAACTCTCAAAAAGATATACAGCTCAACCGAGTAGACACTTTAGCTCAATGCATTTTCGCAGACGAAAGAGTGAAAAGGGGTTGAATTGACAATGTTCTAGTACTGCTGAGTGCGAGAGAGAATGTAAGTCCAACTGTGAGATACGGTGCTACGAGGGAGAGCGATAAAGAGAGGTAACGGCGCCGTCTTACGCCAACACTTGAATACTGTCGGATGAGATTTCGATGACCTCGCGGGACATATTCAGCGAATCCATCGACACATCTCCAGCATCGGGCTCCGAATTGTCGACTGTCTCGAGCGCATTCCGCACCACACGCATAAGATGGTTGAGAGAAGCGATACTGTTGCATGCTTTTCGACTCGCTTCGGCAAGAGCGTTTTCGGCATTGTGAAGGCGCAGCTGGGTGTCGGCAAGATAGTCTAGGATGTCGTCCTTTTCGGTGCGCAGGTGAGCATTTTGCGAATGGGCTCTTTCAAGCTCGTTGTACAGATGGTTAGACGTCTTTTGGAGAAGCTGGCAAAGTCGTCAGTTCAATGTAATGCGGGGCAGATGAGAATATGAATCATGTACCTTGACTTTATCAGTCTTGGCAGTCAACACCTTGCGCGTGGTATCCAGGTCTTTTTCCAACTGTGTTTGTCGCGTGAGTGAATCACGGGAGTTCCGCTCGAGCTGCGCCTGCCGCTCGAGAGCGTTATTGAGCTGGTATTCGAGATGCTCCATTTCCTGTCGGAGATCGTGGTTTTCGTTCTTTTCCTTCGTAGACTCGTGTTGCAGGAGAGCAAAGTCGAAAGTAAGGATGTCGTGCTTCTCGCTCAGCGTGTCGAACCTGCCGAGGAGTGCCTGGTATTCAGCCAAAGCTACCAAGGTGTGTTGAAATCAATGATAGAAGACATTTGGTTCACGTACGGATGATAGCGTTGCTGTCCTCATTGCTAGTTGTGTTCAGGGCTTGTCTGACAAAAAGGTCAATAGAGCCAAAAAAAGAAGGACTGAGATGCCGCACAAGCGGGGGAAGACAGAGTCGAACGGGCGTTTCAGAGCGGTCTGTCGCAGCGCCTGGGGTGAATAGACTACCGTGCTGAGCCTGATTGGAGGTGTTTGGGGTTGGGGTGTCGGGAGTCGGCGCGGCATAGGAAATAACACGTCCCATTCGACGATTGTTGAATTGGGGGAGCTGAGCAGAGTCAAGAATGTCGGAACTGCTGGTAGACATTGCGAGGGGGAGTGAGGATGTTGCAAGGCAGCCGATCCCTGCTTTATAGGAAAGCCCGTGAGATTGCCGCTGCTGCATGAGTGACGATTCGAAGCATCACGATAGTTTGGAGCAGGTCTGTGACACGGTTGTGACAGGAGTCACAGTCACGACAATTTGCAGGAGTCACAGTCACGACAATTTGGAGTAACGCGTCTGGAGCGGAACGCGTTATCCCATGTTATAGCAACTTTTGAACATGTTGTAACAAGCAAACACAGGTCTGTTGTGTAGCAACTATAGTACGTACATAGACAGGGTGAGTCAGAAGAAGAAGGAGATTATTCCGCAAGCTGTAGCTGATTTCGTATCGCATCATCTCCCCAAACCTCTTCCCCTTCAATTGCCTCCTCCGAGTCGCTTTCTGATCCTGAGCTCGAGCTCACTCCGCACCAATCTGGATCCTCTATACCCTCCTGCTCCTCATTCATCATCATCGCGCTGTCGTCAGTGACAGCTTCTTCGACAACACTTGAGGTAAGCGGGGACGCCACCATCCTGAAGGTGTGTGGGCGTATCTTGATTCATCAACTCCGTCGCGTTGGGTGCATGGTTCTCTTGAGCTGTATCATCTTCCGCTTGCTCGCCTTGGTTACGGTCCCCGGAAAGTTCGGCTTGAACGGGCACTATCTTTCGATGACCGACCACGTTGTCATGATAGCGCATTAGCATATCGCGGTCAGCAACTCTATCAACAACAATGAGTGATGAAGAGAGTCGAAGTTAGAAGAGCAGCTCACAAGTTGACATAATAGAACAACCAGTCCTTATCTCCCATACGCCTGCCGAATGACTTGGGTGGTAGGTACTCGTTGGTGTGGCCGTGATTAAAAGCAGGGATAAGATGAGAGCCCCGGACAACATCTCGTGGATCGAGAAAATTAAACGCGTCTGGGCTCTGATGCGGCATATACTGGAGCCGGGGAAACCGTTTGACTTTGAAGCCACATTTGTATGTCATATCTCGTTGAAACCAACGAACCCAAAGAAATTCAAGGCGTTGCGATTTCCCGGGAACATCAGCCAGCAACACATAAGCGTGAAAGATTCCTAAAATTTCACCATACCAGTATCGGTGTGAATCCACAGGATCTTGAGCATGGACGAGAAAGAATCGACGAGTACGTGGATTCAGGACATCTTGATCTCGGCGCACATCGTAAGTCGTGTAGTTAACATGCATGGTTGCATGCGTGTATAGTAGATCCTTTTCGATGACGACGTTCATTAAATCTTGCTGGGTAAATTCGACTTGGTCAGCGTTCGAGTCGCATAGTCGATGACGCAGATGAGATTTCAGTTTTCGAACGAAGTCCTGCACTTCAGTTGCTAGGAGGCTCTAGAGAAGGAATTGGAAGCCGCACCTTCAACGCAGGATCAGGTACTGATGCACGGTCGATATCCTTAGCTTACAGTCAGTTGCGGTGATCATGAAAGGTGGTTAACATTGACACCTACCATTCGCTCTAGGCGAGGCCCATCGGCACCAGAATCTGAGTCACTATCAGCGTCGGATATCTCAGTGTCGACTAGATCCGAGAGACGCCAAAATGATCTCTTTGAGTCGGAAATATAGTGGTGTTGTTCGGGAGGGACGTAGACCTGTCCCCAATGGGTTTTCTGGGGATGCAAAGCAGATGTTAACCGCTTCCTACGATTATCAGGTTGTTTTCCTTTCTCGGTTGAGCTGTTGGTATTGGTCGTCATCGCAGCGCTGCCTCTGCCCCCGCAACGGCTTTATTCTCCAATTTCTTGTAGTGACGGCGCCGTTCCCACATTGCACGTATGAGTCGTCGACGGTGTTCGTGTTTCGCAATCTGGTGGACGTGATCACGTTTGTTGGTTCGACTGTAGAGATATTTCACCAGACGATGTGCAAGCTCGCCCTACAGAGGAGTTTGAACATGGATAAAAAGGAAGCCTAGAACGTACAATTTGTGTAGATGTTGAATCTGTGGTTCCAAACCGCACTATTGCGTCTGGATAGTCCGGCAATGCATGCAATTTGTAGGTTATGAGATTGAAGGGCTTTTCGACCATCTCCTTTTGCTGCTTGGTTTTCTTGGCGGGCGCTTTCGGTAAAGAGCCAGAAGGCACTGGCAATTCTGTGGGCAAATCCGCAGTTGCATTGGAGGAGACGGGTTGAGGCGGCTGTGCGCGCGACTTGCTCTTCCCCTTTGTATTTTTTGTTTGAACGGAAGAAGGAGGAGGCAAAGGAGGATTCGGGACGGAGGCAGGTGGTTCAGTGGGTAGTGCGGCAGAGGTAGATGGAGCTTTTGAGGCTTTTTTAAGACGTCGACGTTCTTCACGAGGAAGTTCATACGTCTTCACGTTGGCTGTTTCTCGGGAAAATCGTCGAATCGATGTGAGAAGATCTCGGGTGGCAGTCCGAAAGAGTTTAACCGTTGTTGTGGTATGCATATACGAAGTTTCGCATAGCCATGCCAGACTGCAAGCTCGAAACAAAGCTGATCTACCAGCTTTTGATGCATGGGAAACAAGCCTTCAAGAACAGGGAGAATGCACTGCATTTCATGTTTACGAGGCAACATGGAGATGTAGAAGGCACACCTGTAAAACGTCCTCAAAATTTCTTGCTGCTGCATATTTCATCTCGGAGACATTATGCCCAAAGGCCCTGATTCCGGAACGACCAAATGGCTCAATCTGGCGGAATCTGTGGGTTGAATTAATAGAGTTCACCCATGATCTGCCGGTTTTCACTTACCGTGCGTCAAATTCGTCAATGTTTTTGAAGGTTTGGAGCATACGGATCAAGTGGATGGTAATTGCCTTGACGACTCCCAACTCGACTTCATGCAGGAGGTCGGGAACAAACAGACTATAGAAGTTGAATGGTGTTTTCTCGGTGTTGAGTTTTGAGAAGGCGTTCTGAGTTTGGCGATAAGCACGTGAATATATCTCTGAAGCTTGACATACGCGGACCGGAACCCAGGAGTTCGGTTTGAGCATGTTGTCAATAGAGGAACCGGCAACAGCGAAACCATTATCGAAGATAGCTTTGCGCGCGTCTTCGATAATTTCACGCCGATGGTGATCATCCACCCAAAGCACTTGCCGTCGCTTCATATCATTGACAGTTCCAGTTTCAGAGATTTGCGACTTTGCAATGAAACAACGAGGACAGGGATGTCCACCTAAGCTTCTGATTGTAGCAAGAAGGACCCTGTTCAGTTATCATCAACAAGCAAGGAAAACAACTGTGTTGGATACTGACTTTTCTGGATAGTCCGCACCGTAAATGAAGAATCGGGGGAAAATTAGACGCACAATGCCATCCCAACATTTTATCTTGATTCCATTATCGTATGCGTCCATGAACTCCTCTGAAAGCAAAAGCTCCCATATTCTGTGCATTAACTCACGTTTAAGATGTCGGTAAACGTCGTCTGCCATATCCTGTCCAAACTTTTCTCGGTATTGATCGCGAATAGAGTCGGGGAGCTTTAAGACTGTCAGAACAAGAATTCCTTTGCGAAAGATCGTACAGTTGGAAAGTATGCTTGATGGAAGCCTGCATTCGCTGATGGCTTGCCTCGAAATCCTTTTGGGTGGTTTCCAAAAAATGTATAGCCTGGCCACAGCGAAGCTGTACCAAACTGAGCCAGATGGGTGGCGTCAGACCACTCCATAATGGCGACGATGATACTCTCCACTGGATCTTCTGGGGATTGTGGAGGGGGAGGCTGCGGAATGGCGTGATACGCCTCGAGCATAGCTGCTGAGGTGTAGAGTTCCCCGAAAACTTCCTCATGGTCAGGAAGCAAATCGGGAAGGCCACATTTGTCCAACGGGGCGTTCATGTCGACTAATGGTATATTGGGCGTTGTTGGCTCACTGAGACCAGAGGTTGGGTCAAATCTTAGTGAGAAGGGAGTGGTGTGGAATTGCTGGAAGAGTGGTCCTTGTAACACCTCCCTGATCGGGTCGAGAAGCGGTCGATAGTAGATGTCGGTAAGGGTGAATTCTGGGGCGTCCATCTCCTTTTGCTTCCGACCAGCACAGGGTAGCTTAAGCGACACACAACCACGAAGCCACTTCTCATTCACTCCTAATGGCTCGATTCCCCTTTTGTCCAGGTCGTCGAGGAACTTTTTGGTGGAAAAAGGAAGGGGCAGATCGTGTAGATTGACGCCATCTGATTCAGCCTCTGGATTGGGCCGAAGTATATTGTGAATGAGTCGATCAAAGCCAGCAATGGAGCCTGCACTCTCCTCCTCGATGTGATACTTCATCATATGCGCAACTGAAGCGTTGGGGAAGGGGTAGTACCAAGGTTCTTGTGGGGTTAGTGAGTCAACACCCCCTTGGGTCGCCAGCGGGACTTGATAAAGATCACGAATGTTAATGTGGGCGTCAGGATCGTGTGTTGGACGTCGGGGATATACTTTGTAAAGCCCGAATTCATTGGGTTCCGTTTGTATATACGTTTGGAGTGGTTTTGGCTCCGGTTCTGCGGTAGGTAGTGGTGCTATGGAGGAGGATGGTGCTGTGGAGGAGGATGGCGCCATGAATAGTGCTGGTGGTGCATCCTCTCCCCGTCGCCGCCTTATCCGAGGTGGAGGAGCTGGAGCAGCGTCGTTTAGTCGCGCCGGGGCATGCCGTCGACGGTTTGGCAGACCGCTTGGACGAAACTCGGGCTCGGGGGGTTCTGGTAAGACGGGTGGGACTTCGTCAACCTGCATCTGAGACGGCGCGTGAGAGGTTGCATCATAATTTTTCACTATGAAAATGTTCACCTCGACTTCGACCCGGAGGACCGAGAGCTGAAGTGGGATTTGACTGCAGCGCTAAGCGTTGATGGATATGCGATACAGACTGAATATGTAGAGCCTTGAAGCCAGGGCATGTTCGGTCGTGAACACGTTTTGCATCGGTCAGGTTCCGAAGTGGTTTGCTGCACAAGTCACATTTGTGTTGGGTCTTTGGCATGTTGACTGAGCAAGATACTATCCACTGGCAAGTCCTGTGCCATCAATTGGAGTCATGTGTAGAAAGCACGGCCAGCCGTTGTGTTGGTAGAATTCAGGTTGTTGATGATGACAAAGCAGCTCACTTGGAGATCATCACGACGTCAGGAAAATTCACCAGTTTCTGCACCAGCTTGACCTGTCTTCTGAGTGACCCAGCAACCATTTACATGGTCGATTTAGGTCTGTATTTAAATGGTCTTGAATACACAGTGACTCAGTCTCAGAAATCAGCCGCAGCACAGCCTCATTTGTCAGCACTTCTCTTTCCCTCCTCCTCCATCCTTCCGCTCGCCCACGAGCATTTGTGCTGTTGAATTCTACATCCATCAAATGGCATCTATTTCAAGTGTGTATGTGAAGTGCTTGGATTAAAGAGGATTGACAGTATTCTAGCTCATGACATTGTCGCAACTCAACTGGATGAGTTTCGTGCTGAGCGACTTCTCCTTCAAGACGATTTGCTCAACTTGCGAGATGTCAATGAAAGCCTTAATCTCATAAATGCGGCGCTCTCAGAAGCCAAAACACAAGCCGAACTACGTTTGCGAGCTGAACTGCAATCTCGTGCTGTATTGCAGGTTAAACTTCTCCATACAAAGTTTGACCTGGACCAGAGTCAAAGAGATATCCAAGAGAAAGTCCTCTTCATTGACGTGTGTTCTCCTTCATTGCTTGAGTCCCAGCTTACATCAAACTAGGCGCTCATGTGGAGTAATTGTCATTTGCGTCGGTCTCGGGACGATGTCATGGTCCATGTCGCACAGTTGAGCGCCGAAAACGCCGACCTACGACGCCAAATCTTCCATTACCAACAGATGTCGGAGTCTCAGACTTCCACCTCAAGCCGTCTCCAATCACCAACCGTCTCCGTCGCCTGATCCTTTTATTAGAGCCCCCCTCTTCAGTGTACAAGTGGTGTATATTTTGTTTGTATATTACCGGCATGATAATGTCCTATCTAAGTCTTCCCAGCCCATCGCGCCCGCCGTCCGACGTCCCGCCTGCGACCTACTCGTGACGAACAACTTGTGACCTACTCGTGACGAACAACTTGTGACGACAAGCGTGACGCCAGCCGTGACGCAAGCTAATTTTGGACTGTGACCAACGTAATCCGGTGTTTGACTGTCACTCAACCGACGCCAGTTGCTCTCGACGGAAGGAGGCAGCTCCCAAACACGATGACGGCTATGGTTATCCTGATTGCACTTTATCATTATCGCGAATCTTCGACCCTAGGCGTTACAATGCCGCCGTCACACTATAAACTGCGAGTCGCCACGACCTGGATGGTCGGCCTTTTTTGGCGGCCCTGCTTCCAACGCTCTTTTTCACTCCAAAACTTCTCAAACCTGAAGGGGACCGGGCCATGGATGGACATCGTAGACCGCAGGGATGGGGAGGACCACCTCAAGGTACGTCTTTGGCTATCCTTCTTTTCCAGCTAATGACGACAATTAGCTACTCCCACCCATCATACGTCGGACGAAGAACTCGACGCGTTCATCCAACGTGTGCTTGCTGACGCGGGACTACCTGTAAGTCTCTTCTTACTTCCAGTTCTATTGACTGACGCGACTCAAGGCTGATGTGAATCCCCTGCCGGTCATGCAGGAGCCTGGGAGGATGGATTATTGTGAGTGATATTCTGACATTTTCGCTTTGTTGTCGACCATTTTGAAGATGAGGAACGCGCGAGCGAATCCGACTCGGCCTTGTTCTCAGCTGGCGCCTCCAACTCCGCCTCCATCCCTGGAATGCCTCCCATTGGTCGCAATCTTCGCTCATTCAACTCTGGACAACAAAATTTACCGAACCTTCCATCATACTATCCAACGGTTCCAACCTATCATCAGGAGATTCGCTCGAACACCAACAATTTGCGTCTTCCTCGACCTATTTATCAAGGGAACATCCTTGCCGGTATGGCCCCCAGTCGTGGACCCTTTTCTCAAGCGTCTCGGGTACGAGCCTAATGCAGCCTATTTGTGTTATTGAAGCTTTATGTAGGAGACTAGGTCGGCCCCATCGCGGCCTGCAACTCAATCCGCATCGTCTTCTTACTCCGCTGCTCATTCTCATGCAGACGATTCGGCTTCGGTCAGCATTTCACAATCTGGGTCTGCGCCATCAAACTACTCGGCTACTCGTTCCCTTCCACACAACCTGTCTTCAGCCAGCGTTTCGCATACTGGGCCCGTGCGGTCTCTTCCGAGTCGCCAGTCAAGATCTCGGAAAGCCACCGAAGTCAAACGGGCGTGGCAAACAGCCCATTGCGCAGAAGCAACAGAAGCAAGCTGAGACTGTAGCGCCAACTGGATCGACGGAGACTCACTTGGATTGGATCACCGAGCGATTTGCACCCCACGACTATCATGGCAGGGCACGGATCAAACACCCACCGCCAGCTAGGCTCTCTACTGAGGTCTTCCACGAGACTTCACGTCGGTTCCAACAAGTATACCCAAAGCTCAGTAACATGCTCGACACAAACCGCAGGCCTCGCATCCCATCGCTTTGTTTACTACAACGCGTTCCCCTCGAATACGGAGTACGATAGCCGTTTCGACCCACTACTTTACGCGGCCTATGTTCATCACAACAAGGAAATGGAGATTGGTTTGTTTCTATATATTCCATTCCAAGCTTGGTGTTGACGAGACTCTGCAGATGGGTGGCAAAACGAAAAACCCCAACTCAAGATCTTTGTATGACACCATTTCGCAATCGCCCCTTGTTGTATTCGACTAATACGTTCATAGCTTACGACTGGGGAACTCCAATTATACGACGACTTGCTAACTCTGGCGGACATGATATGTTTCGAGCACTACCTTCTGGACATCCCTGAAGGCACGATTAATCCGGGAAACCTCGATGCCGTACTCCGACGAGGAGCGCCTAGAAGCTCAGAAAGATAGGGTCAAGGTTTTGCTGAAGAATGAGATGTTCTTGCACAAAAACCCGGTAAATTCGAAGTTCAAGTCGTTCGATAGGTTGCTCACATGCCAAACCTCTAGGACCAACCTCTCAACGGCGACACTCGATTCACTCATCCTGCCATTACGGAAATGATCGTCAAAATCACCCAACACAAACATCTTGGGCTCCCCCTCAGCGGCTATGGTATTCCACCTGCCATGGTGGCGCTGGTGGTGACCCTGGTATGGCTACTCGTCACCACAGACTATATTATCCTGATATCCTAACAGCTCGCTCAAGCTCTATACACCTTCGCTTATGGTAGTGATCCCATTTTGGACAACACGATCGTAAGCATTCTCGTTGCTGCGCTACACTGAGCGATAGTTGACTATTAGGTGTTTTATCATCGGGCTTTGATTACGGTTATTTCGCTGCTTTACCACGAATCCGTCGATGGGTTCATGTTCACTCGCCACCTTCTGAACCTTGTAAACGAACCGGGGTAATATTGTCTTTTACTATTGAGCCACAACATTCATAATTTATCTAGCCTGGTAAAGGAGACCGTCAAATTTCGAACCGATATCGTTCCTTTCGATCTTCAACTTGACGGTCTAGTGGCGATTTCTGTTTGATGGGAAGCGACAGAATCGGCATTTCTTCATTGACAATGAGATGAGACCCTTCGTTCAAGCATCTCAGTATTTTTTCAACATCAATTCATGAATTTTACCTGCGTTCGTTCGAGTAGCGTGATGGTGCAACGCACAGGTGTTTGACGACAATTTTGTGAGATGAAGATTGAAGCTTGTGATGATGTAAGCAAGCATCACATCATTTCTGTCCTCCACCTTCCAGCGTGCTGGCGCCCGTGTTAGGGTGAATCGGAAGCGCAGAGCGGGTGTTACCGCTGCTCCGAGGTGTTCCCAGTCTTCCAACCCTCTTCGCGGTCCATCTCCTCCTACACTCTCCGTCCTGCCTGTTCCACCGCCTCCAGTCCGACCTAGTATTGCCAATATTGCTGTCGATGGTGGCGCCATGAGGAGTGAGGATGACTTGACTTACAAGCTAGGAGACATTCTCAAAGCGTCCGCCAATGTTCGGAGATGTGAAAATGAAGGGACTCCCGCTCATGTCAGCTTCGAGTTTGAGCAACTGTTCCAGGTTCGTTTTGCCATCTAAATATCTGACTCTTTCTTACCTTTACTTGCGAAGTTCCACGTCGCGACTTACATGGACAACGATATTGCTGGCATTCCACAAGCGTTGCAAAAATCAGGACGCCCCGACTTCGATGGATCATTGGATTCTGGCGGCAGAGAAGTTAGTACGACACCGGGACGTTCTTCAAGACCTTGCGAAGTCAGAGGGGAACCAAGAGCTGTTGCTGGAAAGTGCATGGAGAACGACTCAATGGCTGGACCAGAAAGAAGCCCTTGAGGAGCAGATTAATCAGCTTCCCGAAGTGCCTACGGTGAGTCTTGTATATCGTTTTCATTCATGAATTCCTCTACTCACGAATGACAAGCCACGACGACGTGTCTTTGAAGCTTTCATCTCCATGCTCAAGCTTCCGGCAGCCCTGGATAAAAACGTGGAGTTTACTAAGATTCTTGAAGACGCTATGCAGCTGTCACTCCGCAAATGGGTCGCTCTCCCGCCTCAGCTTTCTGCTGCTCATGTCCCATTGTTGCAACACTTTCAACAATTCGTGGAGCTACAAGAGGCCGTCCAGATTCTCGGCTCATTGTCACTCACGACAGCGCATCATCTCGAGAAAAAGTCTTCCGATCTCAAGATGGTCCTCTTGAGATGGTCCTCCAAGCCTGGCGTGAACGGCTTCCGAATCATCACGATGACATAAGTATTTGGAGCGATTTGGTCGCTTGGAGGCAGAACGTCTTCCACGCCATCAACCATACCTATATTCCCCTCATCACAAATAACGGGGCAGGGAATAATACGCAGACGTTTGGATATCGTGGCTGCCACGAGACTGCCTGGATCATCAACCGCTTCGCCCACGCGGCTCGCAAACACGACCTCCTCGATGTTTGTTTTACGTCGTTAACGAAGATCTACACCCTTCCGAATATCGAGATCTCTGAAGCGTTCCTCAAGCTGCGCGAGCAAACCCGTTGTCATTATCAGAAGCCAAACGATCTGCAAGCTGGTCTCGAGGTTATCAATAACACCAACCTTGTCTTCTTCTCTGTCGTCAATTCTTCACTCTCAAAGGCATGTTCCCTGCCCGCTTCAAGCGCAACGAAGATGCGAACAATGCATTTGGACAGGCTGTTCAGCTTGAAATGACTCAGGCGAAGGCGTGGGCTGAGTGGGGAAAATACAACGACAATATGTTCAAGGAAGTACCCAACGACTTGTCTTATGCGGCCAACGCTGTCAGCTGTTACCTTCAAGCTGCTGGTCAGTACAAGAGCGGGAAAAGCAGGCCACTCATCGCCCGCATTCCCTGGCTCTGACAATACCCTGCCGATTTCTCGCGCTTTCGACACGTACAAGGGCGATGCTGCTATTGGTATTGGATCACGTTTATACCCAATTCATGCATGTCGCTCTCTGGTCGCGAAGTCAAACAGGCACGCTTCATCCTGCTGAATCTTGCTCGCCTTTATCCTCAGGTTCGTCAGCTTCAAGTGCACTTTTATAGACAAACTTAATCATCGATTCAGGCTCTTTTCTTCCCTTTGCGAACGACACGCGAAGAAGCCATGCAGCGCAAAGCACTTTTCATGCGTCAAACAGCAGGTCAAGTGAACATGCAGTACGTATACCAACGTTGACCCTCGTCCATGACTGACAATCATTCAGTGTGCCTCAGAGCGAAGAGACGCGGGCAGAGCTAAGTCAAATAGCATGGGTTCCACGCCAGGTTTGAATTATTGTTTCTTCCAACGCGGAAGCTCATCTTTCATTCGTAGATCATTTCTCCTCAAGCCAATAAGCCAGTCATGGGTATTGTCCAAGACACGCTTTGCGGCATTCGCAAATTCACCCTCCGCGATGCCTTCCTTGACTGGAACCAAGTTCAAAACATCTTGCTCTGGGTTCCTGATTGGGACGGACTTGTCCCAACTCCTGCAATCCTCAAGCCCAAACCTCTCTGGTCCGGCAAGCAGATTCTTAGTATGGTCATTCCTCGCGGTATCAACATCCTGCGTGGCGCTGAAGACAAGAGCAACAACCCCGTGTTCGACGATGGCATGTTGATTGAAAACGGCGAGATCATATTCGGAACCATGGAGAAAAAGACTGTCGGTGCCTCGCAGGGTGGCTCGAGAGAAAGAGCCAGAGGCGACTCGGCAGCTGTTCACTGGTCTACAGATGGTGGTCAACTACTGGCTGTTTCACAACGGCTTTAGTATCGGTATTGGCGACACTATCGCCGACAAAGGAACGATGGAGTTCATCACGAAAAAGATCGCGGAATGCAAAACTAATGTCGTGAACATCATCGAGGATGCCACACACGACAGGCTCAAGGCTGCCCTTGGTATGGCGATTCGACAGTAGTTTGAAAGTCTGGTCGAACGACAACTCAATCTCGCTCGTGATGACTCGGGTCAATTCGCACAGAAGAACTTGAAGGAAGACAACAATGTCAAGCAGATGGTGGTGGCGGGTTCCAAGGGTTCCTTCATCAACATTTCACAGATGTCGGTCTGTGTTGGGCAGCAGTCGGTCGAAGGTCGACGGATTCCTTTTGGTTTCAAGCATCGAACCTTGCCACATTTCACGAAGGACGATTTTAGTCCAGAGGCTCGCGGCTTCGTGGAAAACTCATATCTGCGTGGCTTAACGCCCCAGGAGTTCTTCTTCCATGCTATGGCTGGTCGTGAAGGTTTGATCGATACGGTCATCAAGACAGCAGAGACGGGCTACATCCAACGGCGATTGGTGAAGGCACTGCAGGATGTGATGGTTTGCTACGATGGTACGGTCCGGAACTCCACAAGGCTGGCTGGGGTAGACAGAGTCGTCTGAGGGTGCTGTGCTGAGGCTTATGGGACGATTTTCAGAGCTATTGTTGCTCTCAACGGTGCGTTATTCGGTGACTGATACATGCACTTACTCACCCAGATTGCTTTTCGCAGGCAAAGTTCTCCTCCGCCTCTAGTCTCCAGACACACAAACACCTCCTTGCGCGTATACCATCCGCAAATACGGCCCCGAGCAATTAGTCCCACATGTAGACAATGGAACTGTGCAAGGCTGGAACTCGGTTGTTTTGGACCATGACCGACTCAAAATGACTTGTGCGTTGGGCTACAGAAGTCCATGAGTTTTCAAGCTAATGGAGGCCTTGAAGCGAATCTCTACAACAGTTTGGAGGTTTTCAAGTGCGCTTTTAGGCCAGCTTTCTGAATTGTCAAGCTCAATTCTCGCAGTAGTCCTCAAATGCGCCACCACCAGCGCTATATTGTCTTTTTCTCATCCCACAACGACCTTTTCCTCTCTCTGACAACTATCTCTGCTCCTGTCAACAATTAAACACCAGCTGGCCACCACCGTCGTATATCGCCGAATATGGCGCCAACCCCCCTGCTCGAATAACTTCTCTCGGTGGCCTCTAACACTCGTCCAAACAGCTTCCCGCACCACACCTCCCATCGATTCATCACCCGCCGCTGCCCCAGAGCGATTCACTTGCCTCATTATTGACGTCGGCGATGCCCTCCTCCTCCTGCATCATATAATGCAGTCTTCTCCCCTCTGCTGGCCGTAAAAACGTACCAGTCGTGTTATAGAGGTCTCTGCTGAAGGCGGAGACTATGTACATCCTCCAAAATGCTGTCGCAACCCGCGTTTTAGCGCAAACGTCGCTGATGCGGCCGATAGGCCTTCCTCGTGGATCTGAACCTTTTTCGGCTCGAATAGCGGCTTCCCCAACATCTGTTCATTCTCCTTGACCGCTACCATCTGCTCTCCCGTCATTTGACGGGCCCGTTCTCGAGCTCTCGCCATCCCCTTCCTCAGCACCTTCATACTGTCCACATCTTCCGCCCCGTTCTTGCTGCTGGAGTTTAACAAGAAATTTAGCGGGACGGTGATCATCTGGAGATACGATATCGGCAGCTGCCGCTGCTGATTTCGACCACCTATATTGCGGAAGTGGTGAAATAACCCATATTCGCTGCCACAGCGGTCTAGGCCCCGTGGATCTCAACCAACGCCGTTCTCGAATGACTTGGGCATTCGTTGATCATGCGCGTTTGTCCCACCGCCACTACGCGGCCCTGTTCTCGAGCTCGGTCCTCCCTTCCTCGTCACATTGGTCCCTTCTACCTGTGTTGCTTCCTCGTTTGTGGCCCTCCTGCACCATGCAGGAAGCTTTTGTTATCAAGAAGGACGCCATACGGCCAGCGAATGCGTTTCCTTCCTCGACATCACCATGTCCGGCGCTTTTCATCCCTTCCCTTGGCGACTTGATCCAATTCGTCTACGGCGAGGATGGAATGGATGGTGCTTTCATTGAAAAGCAAGACATCGCAATCTTCGCTATGGACGACGAAAAATTCCGCCACAACTACCGAGTGGATGTGACAGACGAGAAGGGTGGTTTCATGGGTGTTCTCCAACTCGGCCTGGATGACAGCTCGTTGGAATTATTGGCCAAACTGGACGAGGAATACGCACAACTTTCTGACGACCGCAACCTGCTGCGAACCTTCATCTTCCCCCGTGCTGACAACACGACCAACTTCTATCTTCCCGTCAACATGCAGCGCATTATCCAAAATGCCACCCAAATTTTCCGTATCGATCGCCGCCAACCTAGTGACCTTCGGTCAACCTTTGCAACACATGTCCACGAGCGGTTTTATCTAGCTCGAGAAGCATGTTGCATGAAATAGAGTCTAAATTCAACCCCGCCATCATCTTGGACAAGCTTGCCATTCGGTGTCAAGTGCTTGGCAGAGGGGCAGAGGGGACAAAGACGACGAAAAACGTCGAGAAAATACCTTCTTGCGTCAAATCGAGAACACGATGTTGGACTCAGTCAAATTGCGAGGTGTGAAAGACATTCGGAAGGACCTTTTGGCTGAGCAGAACGAGGTCGTAACCGAAGAGAATGGCAGGATCGCTCTTCGCAAGTGAGAGGAATGAGTTTTGGAGACGGAGAGTTCAAACCTCAAGACTGTGTTGTGCATCGACGGTGTTGACTTCGAGCGCACATACTACTCCAACCATCATCGGCGTGTGTTGAGTAGCGAAGTCGCTCGTGCGACTATCTTGAAGGAGCTTCGCTATCGAGTTCGATACGTCCACTACCAAAATCTGGCGATTCTTTGCGACTTGATGTCCCACGAAAGGTCTCGGGATAAACTCTCGACCACTTGTTACTATAGGATACCTAGCTTCAGGCTTCTGGCAAAACCCACTGTAGATTCACAACGACTAATTGCCAGACCGTGACTGTGTGACTGTGTGATTGTGTGTGACTGTGACTGTGACCATGAGGCTGGTGACCAGGAAGCGCCTTCCACCAGCGCGATGTACTACTTCAAGTTCCCCGCTCCTCGTAACGCCCTCAAATTCCACATATAAAATGGTCCGACTGGGAACGCCAAGTCACAGCGACAAGTGGGCCCCCAGCCTCACCTGTAGGCTGAGCTGGATGACCACCGTGGACAACTTGCAATTATTGGCCAACACTGCTATCATAGTTACGACCGGTCCGGCGCCACTCGTAGTCCCTCCTTCTCTTTCTCCTGAACATGAACGCTTTGTGAACGACATCCTTATGAACCTTGGCTTCTTACCCAGAGCGTCACCACCTGGTCCAAAGAAACGACGGCATGGCCCACCACGAAATGCGTTCGCAATCATGTGTTCCGAGTATACAAGGTCTCATACTGATTTGTTCTAGGTCCAATAGAGGGGCATACCAACAAGTTATTGACGCTGCCAAATTCACACCTCGTGGCGCCCGACGCGTTCTGGGATATGAGAAGGGTGTTAGAATACGGATGCCTGAAATCTTTTCACCAAGCTGGCGCTGACCGTCTCCGGGACCTGCCAGCGAGGTAATCTTGCCAATTGCTGAGAGCACACTTTAACTTTCATGCCCAGCGAGTGCGCGGAGCATCACGCCAAAGTTTTTCACAACCATCTTTGCAACTTGCCGGTTTGACGTCCTTCCTGTTCTTCAACAACTGTATTTCGACTCGAAAACAAATCCGGGACCATGGAACGTACTGGGAAACCGTGTAGGTCCTTGACTTTACTGGCAACTGAAGTATTTACATACCCCACAGCTTGCAAGGGCTGCACGCGATGCCCGAACACAAGATACAAATACCTTCAAGAATAATCTCCGGATTCTACTGCCCGTTCATGGCTCTGACTTTTTTTATCCGCCTCTCGATGTTGGATTGAGTAAATCTCGACGCGGTCTCGCTCACCCACAGCTCCGCATGCTGATCATGCCATGGAAAGATCGGATCCATTTCCCCCCTTTGGTGTATGCTCAACCTGCAGGGTAAAGCTCCACTGCTTCGTTGCTAGCCTTTTAACCTTTTCTTTCAGGCCACCGATCCCTCTTTCGTAACCCTTCTGCTTTCTTCAATCTACCATAATTGACGCTATCTATCAGGACTGAAGCTCAAGTGTAAGCTCAATTCTTCATTGTTCTAAATGAACACCTCCTCCCAGAATTAATCAGAAGATCGTTGAAAATGTGTATACACCATCATCCCGCCGGTTCCCATCCTTCTGTTACGGAGATGGAGATTGGGACCCACACTCATATCAATGCAACCTATTCAGGACTGTGTCTATCGTCAGAGTAACCAACTGCTCTTGCCTCCGTCATGTTCTAATCATCAACGAGGGAATACGACTCTTGTTTATCACTCGATCAGACGCCAGCCATGAAGTCGATCAAATTTCAACAGGCTGTCTCGCATCGATCCACAACACCTACAAAGTGACCGCACATATGGTTGCTTATATCGTTGTACAGGTGGCTTACAGGTTTACGGGGGCTAATAACCATCTGACTCTATTTCAGATACGGATAGCTATCAGCAGTATTCCTCAGTGGGCATCAAAGGAGAGCAAAAAGTACAAGTTCACCGATCTCTACAACAAAACCATTCGCGCATTCGAAGACGACACAAATCCCCACTTGCCCAATTGGGGGAATGAGACTTTGGAATGGCTCACAGAGTAATGTGGTCTGCCATTGATCTTGCTGTTGCTTACTTGGCTTAGACGCGCGTTTTCGGTGAGATCGAGGACGGCGTAAACTCAAATGACGAGGAACAATCAAGTGACGATGATGAGGCGATCGTCCAAAGACGTCGTCGTGCTGCATCAGAGCGTCTTCCAGAATCAGCATCAGCAACCTGAGTTTCGTGCGTGTGTCCTTTCTGCTCAACTCGTCTTTAATCTTGTTCCCAGGTTTCTCCACCGCCATCTCCTTGCCCTGTGGAACGAACAACAAGTGTCATTATTTCTCGAGCTGTTCACTCGGTCGGGCTCTTCTGCTCTCGTATCCTCGTTGCGGTTTCTTTTTAACCACTCACATCCCAAACTTTCACGTATTGCTTGACCATTGCTCACGCCATTGTATATGTACAAACTAGAGAACCATTAGATACGACTATTATGCCCTACACGCTGCAATGAATTGTTTCTGCGAAAAGCGATTGAACTTGCCTGCAATGCTATTCACAATTCAGAAGCGTTGTTGGCGCTCGTGAACAGGAGAAACTGGTTGTATGTGTCTCAAAGCTTTTGATAAGTTGTGGACATCTGCTACCCTTCTTGGATCTGACAACTATACCTTATCCTTCAGACAACAAACAAGTAGTGACAAGACCTGCGCCAACTTGCACGACCCAAAAGCCCATGCAAGGCTATGATACCTTGTAGCTGCTTTCAAGACCCTTGCAACATCTTTCTGTTTCTAAGATCCCCTTGCATTGCCCTTCTCGACCATGCATGAGGCTTACGAGCGACTATAGCAACTTTTCGGGGTAGCAAATATATTGTTAGACGCTAATAAGGTCCGTCCCAATTTGGTGATGTAACGTGACTGATTATGTACAACTTCGCGTCTCGCTTCTTGCGTTGATGTCGAGAAAATGAATACAAGGCAAAACTCCTCTTATGTCGATGCGTCGACGGTCTGGGAGATCCGCCGCACTGCCAAAGCCGCCCACGCGCGCGGGCTGCTAAATGCAACCAAATGGTCCGTTGTTTGCCAACCAAATAATTCCAACCTAACAAACAATTAGGGCTCTCGACCTTCTCCGAGGAATAAATCCCGAGTTTCGCGCACAGCCGGCAACAACTCCAGCCCCATTCATACCCGAAGACGAAGAACTCGAAGCAGAGATGCTCAATCTGGCGCGTCTTGCCATCAACGAGAAACAGTTTCCACGGGCAATCGTTTTGCTGGACGATGCGAATAGCGCGAGAGGCTTGTTTATGAGGACATACTGCAACTATATCGTGAGTACATCCTCTCACCGATTTGATCACTAAGTCGCGCAGGTCAGCGAGAAACGCGCGTTGAAAGAATGGCACGCGTTGGACAACAAGTCCGTCATTCTCCCTATGTTACACCCATACTCAACGCGATATAGACGGCAGCAGCCTCCGAAACCAGTGAACAACCAAGTCGCGCAGCTGTACCTTACGGTGGAGAATGCAATCGATCCGTGGTTGTTGTTCTTGTGAGCTGACCTACTGTTTATGCCTGAGCGTTTTAATCATGTTGCGTCTAGGAAAGCGTTGTTACTCTTCCGTCTTCAACGTTTTGAAGAGACAATCGACTGTGTTTTACTTTCCCTTGAGACAATACCGTGGAACTGGTCGTCCTGGATGCTGCTAGTTGACTGCATACATGACCCTGAATCGGTGAGTGGCATGTTTTCTTTTAATCTTCACTAACACAAGCAGTTAAGCTCGCTCCTTGACCGCCTCCCAATCCCTGTTCAACACCCTGCTGTTCAGATGTTCATGATCCGCATGATGAATGCCCTCAACACGTTCGCTGCCGACGACATCCCGACATGCAATCGCCTGCTTAGTTCGCAAATGTTTCCCAACTCTCTGTGGATCAGAGCACAGTTTGCTCAGGGCCTTTATATCATCCATGACTATGAAGCAGCCGACCAACAATTCCACCACATTCTCAGCGCTGATCCATACCGTATCGACGACCTGGAAATATATGCCGATATTCTTTATGCGGTAGAAAATAAGGAGAGATTGTCTTCCCTTGCACAGTTTGTTCTCATCCTTGGCAAGAACCGACCAGAAGTGAGGAATAGGTTCTCGATAGTGTTGCTAGGAATGACGTTCGTTCACAGACGTGCTATTTGTTGGGCTGTCATTATTCGTTACGCGCAGAACACGAAAAGTCTGCCAGGTACTTTCGACGCGCAACGGAATTGGACCGGACGTTTTCGCCTGCCTGGACGATGATGGGGCTTGAGTATATTGAGATGGAGAATCCGCAGGCTGCCATAGAGTCCTTTCGCCGCGCCGTAGGTATGCATTTATGGCTTTTTTTTGGATTGCTATCGCGTGCTTACGGTGGCGGAAAGATGCGAACCCGAAGGATTACAGAGCATGGGCGAGTATGGGCAAGGCCTATGGCGCGTTGGGGATGCCATGGTATGCGCTATATTATACGAAGCGCGCTTTACATCTGCGGTGCGGGGAGTTGATTGAATTTGGCCGACAATTATCTGACTGCGTTCTTTAGACCTCACGAAGCGGAGTCTTGGGAAGACCTTGGACACATCTGGGAACTCGCGGGAAAGTAAGCACTGTTGACGTATTTTGGGCGGCTAGATTATGACCTATCTTCAGACCTGAAACGGCCATCGCCTGTCTAAAGCAGGCTCTAGAATCTGAAGCGCCACATCCACTTCAGATTTATCTCCGTCTGATGCAGTTGCTAATCACTGTCGAGGACTTCAACGCAGCAACATTTTATGCGGAGGAAGCTGTTGCCACCGGCCAGGCGCAAAATGTCCCGGTTGAGCAGTATGCGAAAGCGATGATGGCTGTGGCAGAACACCAGGCAATGCGACCTACGGGTGACTGGGGAAAGGCTCGGGATTACCTGGAAAAGATAGTGGCTCGTGTGGGCGATGAGGCAATAAACAAGAGGGCGCTTGAATTGTTGAGCTTGGTGAGGACGAAGTTGCTGATGCGGGGTGGTGTTTAATCTTTCGTAGTTAAAACGAAGCGTTCGATGACTTGGTTTGCACGACTAGTAGAGTTGGCAAGGAATAGTGTCCTACATGGCTAGCGTCAAAGTGCTGTGGGCCTCGTTGCGATGGATGTTCTAGGGATTGTTGGGGAGTCTAGCGGTGCCTTGTTGTTGTTGAACCTTGTGGACGGGAGTCATCAGACAGTCACCGTTTTGCTCAATATAGGTCCATCTGGCTGGAAAGCAAGCTTTCTGTTCAAAGTAGATGGGTATGAGGATAGATGAAGGGTGTGCGAGTTAAGCAGAAATGGCCGGGCGATAACGACCACCGAGGCCAAGCTGGGTCCATCCATGTCGCAAATAGCTACGTCAACAAGCAGCACGGTTAATCTCATGCCCAGATCTTCTAGGCCGGCACTGCGTGCCGGACGTAATGCGGGGACATTCCATCACACATCAGCGGTCCTAGAAGTGGAGGTGGGTCTTGTCCGGATTTTAGATTAAAGATGTCCGGTTTTGGCTGAAATTCTGTCCGGATTTTTGGCCGGATTTGTCCTCGAATTCAATTCTGTGATGTGACTGCTGCTCCTGCTCTATATGCCTTACCTCGAAGACCCCTTGGATTACGAGCCTGGCGGGCTACATCCCGTCCATATAGGTGATACGTTTGCAGCAGGGCGTTACGAGGTCATCGACAAACTTGGGCACGGCTGCTCTTCCACCATCTGGCTCGCTCGCGACCTGACAACTGCAAGCTACGTCTCACTCAAGATTATAGAAGCTGATAGATCGGAATCGTCGACTGAGTTGATGGTCTTGAAACATCTTGAAGCAACGTTCGATGCAGAGGAAGAGGGAAGCCAACATGTAGTCCGAATGCTTGACCATTTTGGTGTGTCTCTTGATGACAATACTGACTCAACTCACATTCATTTCAGTGCACGAGGGACCGAATGGATCACATTTGTGCATCGTTCAGGAATTCCTTGGGCCCACCCTGACCACCAAAATTGAAGCCAATTCTGCCTCCTCTAAGCCGAAGGCCCGTCGAATTGCTGGCCAACTTCTTCACGCTGTCGCCTATCTTCATAAACGTGGAATCGCACATGGCGACCTTCACACTGGCAATATCCTTCTCTGTATCCCCGCCTCACTCAGTATCGATTTTGGCACTCCAATAAGAGATACATGCGGGTTACCTGCGACGCCCTCTCCTCATAGGCCGAAATATCTTGTTGGACCCATCATTGAACGCGTCCCAAACAAATTCATACGGTCCTGCCTGGACAAGCCTCACATCAAAGTGTGCGATTTCAGCGAGTCGTACATGACGGGCATGACCGAGCCTCCACCACTTGCTTCCCCCCATATTCTCCGACCGCCAGAAGGAATCCTCGGTGACTTACCCCACGCAACTCTACAAACGGACATCTGGGGACTGGCGGTTGTAATCTTCCAAATTCTTACCAATGGCGGTTCTCTGTTTTCTTCGCTTAATGACGACTACACTCTGGAGACCATCGTCTTGACGTTGGGCAAACTACCCGAACCGCTGTGGCGCAGTTGGAGCAATCGTGAAAAGTTTTTCGACGACGACGTAAATCCAGTCCTCCAAGTCAACTCCTGGTCAGGGTTGAGTGGGATCTCATCCAAGACTTCCCTGAAGGAAACAATCGGACATTGGCCAGTCGCAAAGGAAGAGATTTTGGCATTGGAGGCGATGTTGGAGGCGATGTTGCGCTATGATGCGAAGAGCAGATGCTCGTTAAGCGATCTTGTTCATTGCGACTGGATGGTGGGTTACGGTCACCGCCGTGGGGGGGGTGATGTAGTTGTGCCAACTCAGACGGACGTGGACCTAAGCATCGGTGTTCAAGAGGGCGGTCGAAAAGAGGGCAGTCGAAAGAAAACCAAAAAATCCCGGAGAAACAAAGGGAAGAAAGGGGGAAAGGAGAACAGTCGCACGTAGAACTCTGAATCTGGGTAATAGTACTTGAGAACTTTCGCATTTTGTAAGTCAAGTAAACAACGAACAAAGTTGGTATCCACTTGCGCTTTCCGCCATCATGAATGGCGCCGAACATAGACAGATCGTCCAGAGCATCGTCGACTCCGCGGCCAACGATAAATCTCAGCTCTTAAAAAGAGCGCGGCCTGGATGGCATTCCTTCTCCGGAAGCCATACACCGAGAAATCGAGGATAAACCCCTACTCCCAAAGACATCTTTGCCTCGACACTGGCTTCCAACGTACCAACTGTGCGGCCCCAGATCCATGCATTGTTGCTTGGAGAATTCACCCAAGCTAGACATTGGAAACCGGAACTGTCCATACCTTCCCTTCTCACCTACACACCATCGCCTCCGCCCACCAGTGTTTCTTTTGTGAGGACTGGACTCAACGGACGCGTCACTGGCCATGTAGAGGTGAAAACGACTTTTGTTTCCTTTACAATTCACTCAACAACTCCAGGTGCCTAATGTACCTCCTTCAACGGGCCTGACTTCAACGTTAACATCATTGGATCGCGCACCCGGGCCATCCAAAAACTTTGTTCGCGGGCGCTCAGGGCACGTTCCATTCTGGCCTGGCGGTCTTGAAGACGTAGTCGTGTCGGAAAGTACTGCATCAAGTTCGAAAACAGGATTCCGCCGGGGTTCACTCGTGGTTTGCTCCTTCCTGACGAGGTTGACGAGAGCCTGCTTGAGTTGGGCGATGGTGGTGACTTCAGAGACGACGAGATTGTGAGTTATCATGTTCAGTGAAGCTATGTGCGTTTATGAGCCTTTAGGCTGCTGAGGCGGACGCGTTTTTCGACGAACAATCTGAGCAGCCATTATCCAGTACCGCAAACGATATCGATGACCTTCTGCCGACCACCATATGTTTAGCTTCACCAAAATCTCTTCCCGCTCATGCAGGCGGTAGCGTTCCCATTTGAAACCAGTCAAGCCAGCGCCAAAACGAATCATTCAAAAGCGCGACTGGGCCCATGTTATCGATGTCAATACATTCCACGAACTTGTCCCAGAAATGGCTCATAAGGTTTGGCCTCTCTTTAGCAAGTACTCCTGCTCAACCATCCACAGTATCCCTTCGAGCTCGATACGTTCCAAAGGCAAGCCGTTTACCATTTGGAGATGGGAGATTCGGTTTTTGTCGCTGCACATACGTCTGCTGGTAACACGGTGGTAGCTGAATTTGCGATTTCATTGGCAGAAAAGCATGTGACACGGTGAGTGTTTGCTCAAACTCTGCCCATAGTTCTGAACCTCATCCAGCGCGATATATACGTCTCCCATCAAGGCACTGTCTAACCAGAAATTCCGCGACTTCAAACAGACTTTCTCCTCCTCGTCGGTCGGTATTCTTACTGGAGACATGCAGATTAACCCCGAAGCAAGTTGTTTAATCATGACAACAGAGATTCTGAGAAGTATGCTGTACAAGGGTGCAGACCTTATTCGAGATGTGGAATTTGTTATTTTCGACGAGGTCCACTACGTGAATGATGCTGAGGTCCGTGCTCTTCTTCTCCAGGAATTTGACTAACGGGAGTAAAAGCGAGGAGTTGTCTGGGAAGAGGTCATCATCATGCTACCGGACCACGTCAACATCATCCTTCTCTCCGCTACAGTCCCAAATACAAAAGAATTTGCTGATTGGGTTGGGTACGACCTCAGACCAACTTCGTTTTTTGTCCTGACGCGTAGTAGACGGACCAAGAAAAAGGATATTTACGTAATCCCGACAGCCCAGCGGCCTGTGCCTCTCGAACATTATCTTTATGCTGGCCGTGAAATGTACAAGATTGTGGACTCGAAAAGAAACTTTGTTGCCCTTGGGTTTGTCGTGACTCTTTTGGAGGTTATGGTTTAATATTTTCTGCTAGCTACAAGGATGCAGGTGAAGCCCTACGTCGAAAACAAGACAAAGAACGTGAAGCTGCTGGATTACCTCAAGAAGGGATTACTGCCTGTCGTCGTGTTTACGTTCTCCAAGAAGCGCTGTGAAGAAAACGCGGGCACCCTTTCTAACGTCGATTTGACGAGCTCTGTTGAGAAAAGCGAAGTCCATGTTGCTATTGAGAAAGCCATGTCTCGTTTAAAAGGTAATATCTTGTCCATCCTAGTTATTTAGACTGATCAAAGTAGGCAGCGATAAGAAACTCCCGCAGATTGCTCGAATGCGAGATCTCCTTTCGCGTGGAATCGGTGTTCATCATGGCGGCCTTCTCCCGCTTGTCAAGGAAGTGGTTGAAATCCTGTTTGCTCGAGGTCTTGTCAAAATCCTCTTCGCAACCGAAACTTTCGCTATGGTCAACCTTTCCGTGTCGTGTTGTGCTGTGCTCACGATCTACAGGGTGTAAATATGCCTGCCAAATGTGTCGTATTCTCTGGAATACGGAAACACGATGGACGTAGCTTTCGCGATATCTTACCTGGGGAATACACGTAAATGGCCGGTCGCGCTGGACGTCGCGGACTTGATGCGACAGGAACTGTAATAATTGTGGCTAACGACTCTCTGCCAGAGGTATCAAACTTGAAATTATCTGAGCTCTATATTCTGACAATCAACAGCAAACAACCCTTCAAACGATGATTCTGGGAATACCGACCAAACTCTCTTCGCAGTTCAGGTTAACCTATAACATGATTCTCAATCTTCTCCGCGTCGAGGCGCTCAAAGTCGAGGAGATGATCAAACGCAGCTTCTCCGAAAATGCCTCCCAGCGGCTATTGCCCGAACAACAGAAGCAAGTTCTCGAGGTTGGTGGACCCTCTCGGTCTTTCGGAATCAGCTAACGATTGCTCAGAGTGAGAAGGTGCTGTCGTCGCTCGCGAAACTGAGCTGTGATATATGCCAACCCGACATTAATTCGTTTTACGATGATTCGCTTGCGATCGTATCAGCAAATCAACAGTTGTTCAGAATGGCTGTTGGTCATCCACAGGGTTCAAAACTCCTTTCTTCGAGACGCGTTATTATCCTGCGAGATGCGGTATCTTTTTTTCGGCTTGTTCTGAAAGAGTGTCTTATTCGGTGTAGCATTTCAAGTTATAATTCGCTACCGGTGAGGGTCTTTGAGTTGGCCGTTCCCGTGTGGGACCTATGGCCTTGATAACATAACATAATCGAACATTGCGGTCCTGTTGAAGCCTGCTCCTCTTCTTGTTTCAGATTCGGGTCTCTTCAGTAAAACATATTTCGTGTTGGCGCTTGTCGATCAAGAGACAAAGACCCGCAAGCGAGGTGAAACAGTCGTGTTTTCCATCTCTTCATGAATATCAAACTGCCGCATAGACATGGACCTACAAGCTGTGACACCGAAATGGCCGCCCAGTCCAAACTCTCTGGTGGTGAATGATGCAGTCTACGAGGTCACCGCTGTATCGCTAGCCAGCATAGCTATGATCACTGGACGGACAGTCAAGGTCTCGTTCAAGCAAATTCATAAATTCTACTCTTTCTGAATCCCGGCTAGATCGATGTGGATGCGATTGTGGACCGACATCTAATTTCACGCATGCGGGAGGCTCTCGCGCTTCTACAAGGTCTAGTTCACGAATGGAACGCCAGCACTGTGATTCCAGAAGTCGACTGGGCAAGGATGCGGTCGCTTGAGTTTCAAGAAACGTTGCTTGCTCGAAACTCACGCGTCGAAAAGTTGTCGGGCCGCGAGTGTTTGCTGTGTGGTGAACTTGAGAGACATGTTGGTTTTTGCGTGTCTTCTCTATTTATCAATTGAAAGGCCGCGTAGCGTGCGAGGTATGTTGGCGTTTAGTGACTGTTGCAACTGACCAACTGGGCAGATCAACTCGATCAACGAACTCGTTCTGACCGAGCTCATCCTCGAAAACACGCTTGCGAGCTATTTTCTTGTTTTATCTTCCAGGAAAAACCCAAGGTAGAGCCTGTGATACCGCCCAAACTCGAGACGGGAAGGGAGGCGATTCTCGCGATCAGCGACCGTGTGGGGCGGATGCAGGACTTTCACCAAGTTGCGACGGAGGATTTCCGTTCAAGTCTGAAGATTGGACTAGTTGAGGTGGTCTGCATATTATTCTTACTATACCAGTGACGTTGCCTGATATGATGTGCTGCAGCGCTGATAGACATTGCAGAAGGGACTATAGTCCGGGTCATAACACGGTTGGACGAAACATGTCGCGAAATACGGGACGCCGCGCGGGTTATTGAAGATGCAGAGTTGTTTAAAAAGATGAAGTTCAAATTAAGATTAAGCGAGATATTGCAGCAAGCTTATTATATCTCTAGTTGATTTTCAGTGGTATTTGGTCTGTACTTGTCTACTGTGTAAACTTACGACCTTACTTCTACCGGTCCAGCACTCTTTTATCAAGTAGGTTGGAAACCTTGGTACAGCCATCACAACGTTAACCCACATCAACCTAATCGTCGTCACCCACTAAATCATCGCTCTCACTCTCAAAGTAGTTGACGTCAAACCAACCCTGCTAGGGCAGAGAGCAAGGTCATTGGCAGCACAGCTGTACGTGTTAGCATCAACTCTGGGATCTGATGCATGATGTCGGATCATGATCATCGGACACTGAGACAGTACACGAACAAACAGACCCTAGGTATGTAGTACAGTTTACTGGTATTCAATGATATGCTCACCTTTGTCCAGTCTATTTAATTCAAATTTGTCAGTTATCTATGGGTATTACTCAACCCCAAACAATACTATTATTATTAGTATCGTTTGGGGTTGAGTAATACCCGCGAAGCACTGGCCAAATGAAGCGGGGCGACAACCTTAAGCTTTCTCCTCGTACTTGACCCTCCATCTACGAAATAGCCCCCAAATGCCAGCCAACGGACAAAGCCGCCGCAAGACTGTCGATGCCGCGGTCCAATCCATAATAAAAAACGACAGAGAAGAGTCCAAAACCACGATCATCCGCCAAATTAGAGAGAAAACCATCCTCTATTCACACCCAATTTCCACGACGACTGGCGAAGCGACATCGGGCTTAGCCGTAATCGAAATCGTTCAAAAGGCTATCAGTGAGGGTTATTTCGGGGACAATAAGCTCATTCAAGTTCGGTGAGTTGACCACTTCGTCGCCGTAATGTCAGCTATATTTTCCAGAGGGACCCCTCACAACACTACGCGAAATCTGCCCAAACCCTCGCCCCGTATGACTTCCACTCCCCGAGCACGCAAAAAGGCAGCAAGATCCAGTCGACGTCCAGATCCTTATGGATTGCACTTGACCATCTCGTTGGATCCGGGGCTGAGACGTTCGAAGACCACTGCGCATTTATATATCGCCCCGATGGCCGGCGCCCCTTCGACAAGCTATGGTATTCGGGGGATAACCGTGGAAAGATCTGGGAAACGCATTCTGGACACGATGGCGCCAAAGCCTCTTGAAGATGTACTTGAAGAAGTCCTCGACAAAGAGCCAGCTGGGAGCCACAGAACAACAAAAGGTGGAGAGTAGGTATGTTGTCGTAATTCGGATTGACACATTTGCCTTGCTGATTCGGAGAACTCCAGATTGTATATTTTGGACAAGAAGCATCGGAAAGATGAGTGGGCTTGCAACGAGTAGGGTGTTGAATTCTTGGGTTGTTGTCCAGTTCGTTAGCGAGAGAAGAATAAATTAGAGCAAAGCGATGGTAGATTCTTGCAACTAGAGATATAATAAGCTTCCTGCAATATCTCGCTTAATCTTAATTTGAACTTCATCTTTTTAAACAACTCTGCATCTTCAATAACCCGCGCGGCGTCCCGTATTTCGCGACATGTTTCGTCCAACCGTGTTATGACCCGGACTATAGTCCCTTCTGCAATGTCTGTCAGCGCTGCAGCACATCATATCAGGCAACGTCACTGGTATAGTAAGAATAATATGCAGACCACCTCAACTAGTCCAATCTTCAGACTTGAACGGAAATCCTCCGTCGCAACTTGGTGAAAGTCCTGCATCCGCCCCACACGGTCGCTGATCGCGAGAATCGCCTCCCTTCCCGTCTCGAGTTTGGGCGGTATCACAGGCTCTACCTTGGGTTTTTCCTGGAAGATAAAACAAGAAAATAGCTCGCAAGCGTGTTTTCGAGGATGAGCTCGGTCAGAACGAGTTCGTTGATCGAGTTGATCTGCCCAGTTGGTCAGTTGCAACAGTCACTAAACGCCAACATACCTCGCACGCTACGCGGCCTTTCAATTGATAAATAGAGAAGACACGCAAAAACCAACATGTCTCTCAAGTTCACCACACAGCAAACACTCGCGGCCCGACAACTTTTCGACGCGTGAGTTTCGAGCAAGCAACGTTTCTTGAAACTCAAGCGACCGCATCCTTGCCCAGTCGACTTCTGGAATCACAGTGCTGGCGTTCCATTCGTGAACTAGACCTTGTAGAAGCGCGAGAGCCTCCCGCATGCGTGAAATTAGATGTCGGTCCACAATCGCATCCACATCGATCTAGCCGGGATTCAGAAAGAGTAGAATTTATGAATTTGCTTGAACGAGACCTTGACTGTCCGTCCAGTGATCATAGCTATGCTGGCTAGCGATACAGCGGTGACCTCGTAGACTGCATCATTCACCACCAGAGAGTTTGGACTGGGCGGCCATTTCGGTGTCACAGCTTGTAGGTCCATGTCTATGCGGCAGTTTGATATTCATGAAGAGATGGAAAACACGACTGTTTCACCTCGCTTGCGGGTCTTTGTCTCTTGATCGACAAGCGCCAACACGAAATATGTTTTACTGAAGAGACCCGAATCTGAAACAAGAAGAGGAGCAGGCTTCAACAGGACCGCAATGTTCGATTATGTTATGTTATCAAGGCCATAGGTCCCACACGGGAACGGCCAACTCAAAGACCCTCACCGGTAGCGAATTATAACTTGAAATGCTACACCGAATAAGACACTCTTTCAGAACAAGCCGAAAAAAGATACCGCATCTCGCAGGATAATAACGCGTCTCGAAGAAAGGAGTTTTGAACCCTGTGGATGACCAACAGCCATTCTGAACAACTGTTGATTTGCTGATACGATCGCAAGCGAATCATCGTAAAACGAATTAATGTCGGGTTGGCATATATCACAGCTCAGTTTCGCGAGCGACGACAGCACCTTCTCACTCTGAGCAATCGTTAGCTGATTCCGAAAGACCGAGAGGGTCCACCAACCTCGAGAACTTGCTTCTGTTGTTCGGGCAATAGCCGCTGGGAGGCATTTTCGGAGAAGCTGCGTTTGATCATCTCCTCGACTTTGAGCGCCTCGACGCGGAGAAGATTGAGAATCATGTTATAGGTTAACCTGAACTGCGAAGAGAGTTTGGTCGGTATTCCCAGAATCATCGTTTGAAGGGTTGTTTGCTGTTGATTGTCAGAATATAGAGCTCAGATAATTTCAAGTTTGATACCTCTGGCAGAGAGTCGTTAGCCACAATTATTACAGTTCCTGTCGCATCAAGTCCGCGACGTCCAGCGCGACCGGCCATTTACGTGTATTCCCCAGGTAAGATATCGCGAAAGCTACGTCCATCGTGTTTCCGTATTCCAGAGAATACGACACATTTGGCAGGCATATTTACACCCTGTAGATCGTGAGCACAGCACAACACGACACGGAAAGGTTGACCATAGCGAAAGTTTCGGTTGCGAAGAGGATTTTGACAAGACCTCGAGCAAACAGGATTTCAACCACTTCCTTGACAAGCGGGAGAAGGCCGCCATGATGAACACCGATTCCACGCGAAAGGAGATCTCGCATTCGAGCAATCTGCGGGAGTTTCTTATCGCTGCCTACTTTGATCAGTCTAAATAACTAGGATGGACAAGATATTACCTTTTAAACGAGACATGGCTTTCTCAATAGCAACATGGACTTCGCTTTTCTCAACAGAGCTCGTCAAATCGACGTTAGAAAGGGTGCCCGCGTTTTCTTCACAGCGCTTCTTGGAGAACGTAAACACGACGACAGGCAGTAATCCCTTCTTGAGGTAATCCAGCAGCTTCACGTTCTTTGTCTTGTTTTCGACGTAGGGCTTCACCTGCATCCTTGTAGCTAGCAGAAAATATTAAACCATAACCTCCAAAAGAGTCACGACAAACCCAAGGGCAACAAAGTTTCTTTTCGAGTCCACAATCTTGTACATTTCACGGCCAGCATAAAGATAATGTTCGAGAGGCACAGGCCGCTGGGCTGTCGGGATTACGTAAATATCCTTTTTCTTGGTCCGTCTACTACGCGTCAGGACAAAAAACGAAGTTGGTCTGAGGTCGTACCCAACCCAATCAGCAAATTCTTTTGTATTTGGGACTGTAGCGGAGAGAAGGATGATGTTGACGTGGTCCGGTAGCATGATGATGACCTCTTCCCAGACAACTCCTCGCTTTTACTCCCGTTAGTCAAATTCCTGGAGAAGAAGAGCACGGACCTCAGCATCATTCACGTAGTGGACCTCGTCGAAAATAACAAATTCCACATCTCGAATAAGGTCTGCACCCTTGTACAGCATACTTCTCAGAATCTCTGTTGTCATGATTAAACAACTTGCTTCGGGGTTAATCTGCATGTCTCCAGTAAGAATACCGACCGACGAGGAGGAGAAAGTCTGTTTGAAGTCGCGGAATTTCTGGTTAGACAGTGCCTTGATGGGAGACGTATATATCGCGCTGGATGAGGTTCAGAACTATGGGCAGAGTTTGAGCAAACACTCACCGTGTCACATGCTTTTCTGCCAATGAAATCGCAAATTCAGCTACCACCGTGTTACCAGCAGACGTATGTGCAGCGACAAAAACCGAATCTCCCATCTCCAAATGGTAAACGGCTTGCCTTTGGAACGTATCGAGCTCGAAGGGATACTGTGGATGGTTGAGCAGGAGTACTTGCTAAAGAGAGGCCAAACCTTATGAGCCATTTCTGGGACAAGTTCGTGGAATGTATTGACATCGATAACATGGGCCCAGTCGCGCTTTTGAATGATTCGTTTTGGCGCTGGCTTGACTGGTTTCAAATGGGAACGCTACCGCCTGCATGAGCGGGAAGAGATTTTGGTGAAGCTAAACATATGGTGGTCGGCAGAAGGTCATCGATATCGTTTGCGGTACTGGATAATGGCTGCTCAGATTGTTCGTCGAAAAACGCGTCCGCCTCAGCAGCCTAAAGGCTCATAAACGCACATAGCTTCACTGAACATGATAACTCACAATCTCGTCGTCTCTGAAGTCACCACCATCGCCCAACTCAAGCAGGCTCTCGTCAACCTCGTCAGGAAGGAGCAAACCACGAGTGAACCCCGGCGGAATCCTGTTTTCGAACTTGATGCAGTACTTTCCGACACGACTACGTCTTCAAGACCGCCAGGCCAGAATGGAACGTGCCCTGAGCGCCCGCGAACAAAGTTTTTGGATGGCCCGGGTGCGCGATCCAATGATGTTAACGTTGAAGTCAGGCCCGTTGAAGGAGGTACATTAGGCACCTGGAGTTGTTGAGTGAATTGTAAAGGAAACAAAAGTCGTTTTCACCTCTACATGGCCAGTGACGCGTCCGTTGAGTCCAGTCCTCACAAAAGAAACACTGGTGGGCGGAGGCGATGGTGTGTAGGTGAGAAGGGAAGGTATGGACAGTTCCGGTTTCCAATGTCTAGCTTGGGTGAATTCTCCAAGCAACAATGCATGGATCTGGGGCCGCACAGTTGGTACGTTGGAAGCCAGTGTCGAGGCAAAGATGTCTTTGGGAGTAGGGGTTTATCCTCGATTTCTCGGTGTATGGCTTCCGGAGAAGGAATGCCATCCAGGCCGCGCTCTTTTAAGAGCTGAGATTTATCGTTGGCCGCGGAGTCGACGATGCTCTGGACGATCTGTCTATGTTCGGCGCCATTCATGATGGCGGAAAGCGCAAGTGGATACCAACTTTGTTCGTTGTTTACTTGACTTACAAAATGCGAAAGTTCTCAAGTACTATTACCCAGATTCAGAGTTCTACGTGCGACTGTTCTCCTTTCCCCCTTTCTTCCCTTTGTTTCTCCGGGATTTTTTGGTTTTCTTTCGACTGCCCTCTTTTCGACCGCCCTCTTGAACACCGATGCTTAGGTCCACGTCCGTCTGAGTTGGCACAACTACATCACCCCCCCCACGGCGGTGACCGTAACCCACCATCCAGTCGCAATGAACAAGATCGCTTAACGAGCATCTGCTCTTCGCATCATAGCGCAACATCGCCTCCAACATCGCCTCCAATGCCAAAATCTCTTCCTTTGCGACTGGCCAATGTCCGATTGTTTCCTTCAGGGAAGTCTTGGATGAGATCCCACTCAACCCTGACCAGGAGTTGACTTGGAGGACTGGATTTACGTCGTCGTCGAAAAACTTTTCACGATTGCTCCAACTGCGCCACAGCGGTTCGGGTAGTTTGCCCAACGTCAAGACGATGGTCTCCAGAGTGTAGTCGTCATTAAGCGAAGAAAACAGAGAACCGCCATTGGTAAGAATTTGGAAGATTACAACCGCCAGTCCCCAGATGTCCGTTTGTAGAGTTGCGTGGGGTAAGTCACCGAGGATTCCTTCTGGCGGTCGGAGAATATGGGGGGAAGCAAGTGGTGGAGGCTCGGTCATGCCCGTCATGTACGACTCGCTGAAATCGCACACTTTGATGTGAGGCTTGTCCAGGCAGGACCGTATGAATTTGTTTGGGACGCGTTCAATGATGGGTCCAACAAGATATTTCGGCCTATGAGGAGAGGGCGTCGCAGGTAACCCGCATGTATCTCTTATTGGAGTGCCAAAATCGATACTGAGTGAGGCGGGGATACAGAGAAGGATATTGCCAGTGTGAAGGTCGCCATGTGCGATTCCACGTTTATGAAGATAGGCGACAGCGTGAAGAAGTTGGCCAGCAATTCGACGGGCCTTCGGCTTAGAGGAGGCAGAATTGGCTTCAATTTTGGTGGTCAGGGTGGGCCCAAGGAATTCCTGAACGATGCACAAATGTGATCCATTCGGTCCCTCGTGCACTGAAATGAATGTGAGTTGAGTCAGTATTGTCATCAAGAGACACACCAAAATGGTCAAGCATTCGGACTACATGTTGGCTTCCCTCTTCCTCTGCATCGAACGTTGCTTCAAGATGTTTCAAGACCATCAACTCAGTCGACGATTCCGATCTATCAGCTTCTATAATCTTGAGTGAGACGTAGCTTGCAGTTGTCAGGTCGCGAGCGAGCCAGATGGTGGAAGAGCAGCCGTGCCCAAGTTTGTCGATGACCTCGTAACGCCCTGCTGCAAACGTATCACCTATATGGACGGGATGTAGCCCGCCAGGCTCGTAATCCAAGGGGTCTTCGAGGTAAGGCATATAGAGCAGGAGCAGCAGTCACATCACAGACATCACCAAATTCGTCCGAAACCTGTGACTCGTTTTGACACCGAAAATTGATGGCAAGACCATTCCAGCGCCGTAAAAACCCTTGTTGCCCCTTGCAATGCACTTATCCCCACCATGTAATCCTAAGCAAACCATTTATCACCTAGCAAAACACTTGTTCACATTCGCTATATTTTCTGGCTACCTTAAGGCTATTTATGCAATGATCATGTCAATGAGACAAAGCGAGACAAACTACACAAGATTACCGAGAATAAAACTAATACCACAAATAGCTTTTTTGCTTGCATTTTGACTGTGGCAATTCCCAGTCCAACCACTGCATACCCAAATCAACCAACACCCAGATGTACAAGTGTCGGCGCTAACCAGGTCTTGCTGTCAGGGGAACCTCCCTTTCGGCCCCTCGGAGACGCCTCCGATTCCGGTTCCAATTCCGGTCCGGCCCTCCATCTCGCGCGCACAATCACCGATCCGTCAACGCCCTCCCAACGGTCGCCCTGGGACCTTGCCTGCGACGCCGCCCAGGCCTTCTGTGCCCGACAGCGGCAGCTACAGACAAGCAGTATATAGTCAGCTCCCTAGCAGGCGGACCCTTAGAGTTTCTTCTCTTTGGATCCTCCCCTGCTAGACCTTGATCTGGTCAGGCCGGCAGGAGAGAGCATCGGGACGGCCCATCTGGCGACCTGGGGACGTGGTGCAGGGTAAAGTCAAATCTAGAAAGGTTAGACAACGACCATCGGGCTTGCCGACGATTAAGGTGTTGCGCCTTTCGGAAGTATTCCAAATTCTTATGGTCGGTCCAGATCTCGACCGGATGCGCGGCACCCGGAGCCGTACCTGTAACTTTTAGCCTAAATACCCTAAGTACTGCTAGGCAGGTGGTAGCCTGCTGGACTAGCCATTGCTAATCGGAGTGTTGCCTGTATTACTAGCCTTTGCTAGGCCCTATCAACAGGGTAGTCTTACCAGGCTTCGGCAGCCGGCTGGCCCTTGATGGCTGTGATAGGAACATATTCTGATTGCAGTGGACCCAGGGATGCGGATTTTGATACAATCAGGACTGGATATCAGGTATATTTGATTGTCTTACGGCCTCGGCGGCATGCGGGCCACTGTCACATTCCAGTCACATTCCAGTCACACTCGTGACATTCTACTTAAAACGGGTTTTACTCTCTATTTCTTTGATGGTCAGGCCATTATCTGAGGGTGTATGTAGGCAACCAGTAGTATCTTAACTTACTTGTTGATCAGCACTCAAATTAATTGCTTGTTGGCCAACTTTGAAAGACATCAATGTTTTCGACCAAATTTTTGCTAAGTCCATTGGATCACGTGACCACATCCGACAAGCCTCAAGTATCATGGATATGTTCTTACTCACGTCCTGAGAGTCTTGTACACACATTCCTTTATAGCCAAACTCTCGAATAACATGTACTTTAGATGATTGCGCTACGGTCAGCCTCGACTTGCAGCCTGATATTCTCCAAGGCCCAAGTCACATCCTCTACTCCCTTCTCCCACGATTCCAAAGACGTCGCCTCTCCTTTGCAGCCCCACCAATACAAACTAACCACCACACTGATCATGCCATTTACCCCCGGACACAGTAACGCGCCCCAGGTATCCGTTTCCCCCTTCCCCTCCCTGGATAATGCCGTTTCATCTCCATCTCTTCTTGTGCGCCATTCCGGCTGCATGCTTGCCCACCAGGCCCACCACTGCCTACCAAAGATTGCAGCATTCGGCACACTGCAGTATCGTGGGGTCGCACGGCGTTTGGTCTTGATCCACCCACCCACTTGCTTTGGACGACGCTCGCAGCGCAAGTGGTTGCCACTGTCGAGCCATCCGTAGGATGCCTCCAGTAGGAGCAACACCCGTAGCTGTAAGATTTAGCCTAGCCTCCAAGGTACACCCAGGATATCCATTGTCTAGCCCGCTAGCTGCACACAGCCTGGGTGTACCTAGCTATCTAGCCTAATCCACTACAGAGAATCTCTCAATCAATAGCATCAATGATGGAATAAATGGTTATCTAATACATATTACTTATTCATTATGTATATATAATACTTTAAACTCCTTTTCTTCAGGCCGATGATCCGGTATATAGTTGGGAAAGCCTGTATCAATAACAATCCTAATTTGGACAAAAATGATGTATCATGATATAGCCATCAAAAGTACTGATGGCAATCAAAAATGGTTCCACATTAAAAATATTACTGAAAAGGGTGTGCTACCATCAGTCACATGATACCAGATAAGGTATAATAATATATTTTCTATAAAAATAATGCTTTGGCCCAGGGAGGAGCACTAGGCTAAATAACTAGGTACATGCAGTCTCCTGGCTGTAGCTAGAGGGCTAGGCAATGCATTTCCTAAGTACACCTACTGGTTTTAGCCTAAATACTACCACTACGGCTCACACGAAGTGCTGGATGGCGCCGGTATAATCATACGCTGCAACCGCGCGGCATTTGGGATGTCCGGGCTACGCGATGCATCATTATTATCATATGGTACTGTCGAGTAGAAGGCATACTTTGGCCACCGTCGGGTGGGGAGGGGAGCCTGGGGAAGTCAGCTCGTGGCAGAAAGCCAAAGCCATGAGAGGGGGGTTGAGCTGAGCGATCTGGCATGGGGAGGGGAGCAAAGAGCAGAACAGACGAGAAGAATCTGACTGCCCTTTTACGAAAAGATTGTGGTTGTCTTGGCACGCATGGTCATCAAGCGCCGTTTTGGGGTTGCTCTCCTGGATCTTGAGGCGACTAAGCTGGTGTTTGATCTCGTGAGCAGATCGAGTCGGTACGTATGGACCGAGACCCAGACAGGGTCACCAAGTGACCGAAAAGCCCAGATATTAGTGTCACTTTCGGTCGACACTCTACTGCGACCATGGACCAGCAACTTTCGGATGGCGTCAACGTCGACAAGGAGTTAGTTAGGCTGCAAAATAATCTGTTTAACGAGCTGACCGAAAAATAGAGATGCGGAAATACCCACCACACAAAATGCGGCTGCCATTGTCACTAACGAAGATGCTGGGTAAGTAACATGGCTTGTTAGACCGCTCTAGCAGTCTGATTTCTTGTTAGCGCACCTACTCTAACGACGAAGTCGAAGAAAAGGAAGGGAAAAATGTCGAAGGAGGAACGCTTATGAATAAATGCGAAAAACTGGTCGTCTGGGATTCGAGAGGATCAAATCCTGCAACCTCGTTGGGAGGAATACCTTGCCGCTCGGCTCGGTGGCACGACCGCCGCCTTCTTCACTTCCGTGCAAAACGAATTCCTGTATAAAGTTGGCTGGCGGCTTCCAGATCATGTCGAACCCGACCTACCTCTGCCGACATATGATTCAACAATGGTCCTTCCAAAAGAAACTCTTTCACCCACTGAACAGCGCGAGAAAGATGAGCGCATCGCTGTACTCTGTGCTGTGAGTTGTCGTCATTCGGGCCGGTCACACGCTGACTTCTTCTTCTCAGCGTATCATCCGCTACTACACGAATCGATACGACGGTCCCAAAAAGACCAGAAAGTCGTCGTCGAAGAAGAAGGGAGTGGGACAAGCGGAGGGGCCTGCCGCAGCGAAGACGAGCCGGCTATCCAAGGTCCCAGACGTTGAAGATGTCATCGTCTTTGTCGCCAACCACCTGGGACTTCCGCCTCCAAAACGAAAACCAGCGGCTCACCAGCTGTATATGTCGGAGAGTTTCGCGTCGGAAATTGGCCCAGAGGTGGCTAGGAGATGGAAGGCGCGTCTCCACGCGAAATCGACGCAAGCCGAGTTCGATGCTCCACCACCACCCGAGCTGAATAACAAGGTCGCTCTGGAGCTGTTCAATGCGATGGACCCGCAACGAAAGCAGGAGATAGAAGCTCGCGCGACCGCAATTGGGGAGCAAAACAAGACAGAGTACGAAACCCAGTTAAAAAACTGGCCACCACAAACTCCAGAGTTTCGTCAAGAGTACGTCAAGCGTGCTCCTTACTATTGAATATATTTCTAACCCGTCGTCTAGAGCACAAAACCATCTCGAAACCCTCCTCGATAGTCTGCTTCGAGCAATCGCGAAGGCGACGGGAATGCATATTTTCATGGTGATGGGCGGCCCAGTGCCTAAATGGGGCGGGGATTTGCGGACTATCCAGTGAGTTTCCAATTTAAAGAAGGGCATGGACACGAGCTAACTGTACTACAGACTATCTGTTGGTGTCAACCATGCTTCCGTTCCCGTTCCCTTCCCTGAATGGGACCCAGCACATTGGGAACGAGAGATCGTGTCTAAATTCAAGAGTTACTTGGAAACCGCTTTCAGTATGTGCCATTTTCTCTTCCTCACTTTGACTGTGGAACTTAACGCGATGAACAGCATTCGAAGAACGCCTCGCGTCTGCCCTGGTCGTCGACCCGGCGTCACTTTTGAACGACCCCTCGCTGCTGCAACTGGACAACGAACAGCCCGTTGCTGGGCCAAGCTCCGTCAAGCCCGTCGACCCGGCACAACTGGTCACCGAACAGCCCGTTGCTGGGCCAAGCTCCGTCAAGCCCGTCGACCCGGCGCAACTGGTCACCGAACAGCCCGTTGCTGGGCCGAGCTCCGTCAAGCCCGTTGATGAACCCTTGACCAACGACGGGAGTGACGAAGAGAGTACCACCGAGAGCGACGACGGAAGGCGTTGCGAGTATCTCCTCCTACCAAAGGCGCAAAAACTACGAACGCCAACGGCTTGAAAACATTCGCAGAGGGCAAGAGCTGATGAAGCAACTGGACTTGTTGAATGCCGCGACCCAGCTGGTGCAGGAGAAGCCAAAGCCGCCAAGAACGCGGAAGCCCAAAGCTGTGTCCACAGCTCCACCACGTCGTTCAACCCGGGGTCAACAAGCAAGTGCTGCCGCTGAGATGGAGACATCGAGGGGAATGGAGATTGAGAAGTCGATGGAAGTAGATATGGAGGATACGGACATGGAAGGACCTCCCTCAAGCTATGCAGGAAGTGGTACCGCCGACGAATCCGATATCTCGACTTCTAACGATGAGATAAACATCGATGTGCCTATTCAACCGACTGAACCCAAGGGCGACGAGTCGACACAGCTCAACAAATCGGTCGATGGTGGCGAAATGACCCTTCCCAACGACAAGCCCGAGATGGACGTGTCCACCGAGCCTCCACCCGAAACCTCTGCGTCCAACGACAAGTCCCAGATGGACAAGTCCCAGATGGACAAGCCAACCCAGCCTCCCGCCGAAACCTCTCCGTCCAACGACAAGCCGTCCAACGACAAGCCCGACACGGACGAGCCCACTCAGCCTCAGCCCCCCGAAACCTCTTCCTCCACCGACAACGGCAAGAAGTTCAAAACCATTCCCCCGCCTCGTGCTGGCGGAGGAATGCTGCGAGAGCTTCTACGACTGGACGCGGCCAAAGCGCTCACCCCCATTCCCGACTGCCCCGAGATGTCCCCCATCTCAGGATAGCTCTGCAAAGTCTATGCCGAATTTACCTCGGTCAACCTTGGGGCCGCCTTTAATCAGATGCTGGCGAAGTATCTCGACTTGGAACGCGCATATAAATATGCAAATGGCTCTGGTCGGCTGGCCGCGGAGCATCGACCGCCACAACTAGCAGAGTGGATTCGACATAAGCGGATTGCTAAGCCCGCTTACTGTGGGATTAAAGACGTCGCGGCGTTTGCAAAACAGTTCTGGAGTTGGTGGATGGCACTGCAGCCGACTTGGAGGGGACTGACGACCGAGGGACGACCAGGCAGTAAGAAACGAGGCAACGAATCGTGGGGTGGGCTTGTGGCTCCCGGCATCAATGGTATGGTGACAGCGGTTGTGCTGGTGTACTGGTGGGGGTGCGCAGAGAAGAGCAGTGGTACATGGCCGACAGTCGATTGGCTTGATGCTGTCGCCGATGTCAGTGTCGTTTGCGAAGGCTTGCGGGAGGAGGCAGAGGAGGAGGATGAAGAGCCTCAATTGAAGAAACAGAAAGCTATGTAGTTTGATGTTGAGTAGCGTGAATATGAGCCATATTGTCAATCATTGTAGTTATGTTTTAGACTTGGTGTTCCTTTTGGACTTGCGCGATGGTGTCGAGAAGATCACATGATCTTAGACATGCACCACGAAAAAAAAATTAAGTCAAGAAAAGGTAATCTTATGAAAAGCTAAACAGGTAGAACAGGAAGCCACCCATTGAGGTTAAGGGGAGAAAGTGCTAAGCAAGCCACCCATGCACCGAGAAGACTCCATCACATGAGAATCACGCTAATTGACGGTGTCAATTGATGGATTGGATTGCCGGGACTGCCAGCGGCCAATATTGATGGCCTGAGTGGCAAATGATCGATCTGATCTACACGTCCTAATAAGGAAAGGACTGGTCTAGAATGCAGGCGGGCCGGGCAACAGCCACGCCGGCTAAAAGGCTAACAGCGTTAGCAGTTGCTAGGCGGCAGGAACTGCTAGACGGCGAGCCTACGGATATCCTAGCAATACCTAGGCTATTTTAGACTGTATATTACCTCTACGGCTCATGATAATGGTATCAAAATTCGATGTTGGGATGGTGTTATTCGTCTTGTTTTCCCTCGTTTCTTCATCTATGGGGCAGATTATCCTGAAAAGTACGTGATACGCTATCTTTTTCTATCAAGACTTAGTCCTCGCAGAATTCTGCTTGCTACTATTCGCAGCCTGGGCGGCCATCCTTGCCCACGTTGTTTCATCCAAAAACGACAAATTGCTGAAACTGGCACGGTGAACGACATGAAGCGACGACAAGTCATTCGAGTTGATGATCATCCTCGACGACAAACTATTGAGGATGCGCGTCAAGCTGCCTTTGAGAATGGTTTTGTTATTGGCGGTCCAAATTCCTCAGTTGATAAAATGTTGAAAGGGAGCTCCTGGGTTCTGGTTCGCGTGGGTCTTTGCTGAAACATCATTCAACATTTACTAAATATGCGGCAGAATGCGTTCACCAAGCTCAACACGGAAAAAACTCCCTTCAACTTTTATACGATGTTTGTCCCGGACCTGCTCCATGAAGTTGAACTGGGAGTTGCTAAAGCAATTATTACCCATCTAATTCGAATGCTCCAAACCTTCAAACAGGTTGACGAGTTTGATCAACGGCAAGCAGCAGAAATTCTTATCGGGATTGCCTTCTTACACTATTGCAGATTTCGGCAAGTTGAAACCTTTGGGCGCTCTGTTATCCGCACATTCGGTCACAACGTTTCGGATATGAAGTATGCAGCAGCTCGAAATTTTGAGGATGTACTACAGGTATTGTTGGAGGCTGAGCGCAGATCCTCGACCATTTAACTGACTCAGTTCTAGTGCATTCTTCCTATTGTTGATGGTCTATTTCCCCTTCACCAGCAGCTCGTTGATCAACTCTGTTTTGAATTGGCTCTCTGGCACGGGTACGCAAAGCTTCGAATGCATACAACGACAACTATCCAGCTATTTCGGACAGCAACCACAAGTCTTCTCACAACTATACGACGGTTCGCGCAAGAGACAGCCGACGAAAAACTTATGAGTTGCCTCGCGAAGAGCGTCGAAGGGCCAACCAAGCATCCAAGGCGGCGGCGGCGGCGAAAGCAGCAGCAGCAGCAGCAGTTACTGACCTAGCTGCACATGTTCAACCAACAACACTTCCCCAAAACCCAGTTCCTCCCGTTCCCCCTTCTCTAAGCTCAAGTGCCACATTAAAGACAAAACCCAAACCCAAACCTAAACCCAAGCCCAAGTCGAAGGCGAAGGCGAAGGCGAAGTCAAAATTGACAGGCCCAGCTGGTCCCGCGATACCGTTGGCGAACACAAATGGCAACGAGACACTCATACCTGGACTGCCAACGCCCATTGCCGACCACTCATCTGATTCAGCAACGCTGTTGGCAAACCCAGATGGTAACCTACTGCCGGCAGCTGGCCCATCGACACTCAGCACCAACCACTTGTCTGCACCAGCTGCCGCGCCAAGTTCATTGGCTACGCCTGGTTCATCGACTGCAAGCGCAACTCCCCCTGCTCCGCCCAAACAAAAGGGAGAAAAGGTCGAGAAGCCATTCAATTTAATCACGTTCAAATTGCACTCGCTCCCTGACTATCCGGATGCCATTCTGCGTTATGGAACCACCGACTTGTTTTCAACGCAGATTGTGGGTAATCTCCGACTAAATTTCATTCAGTTCTGAATTGTCCATCAGGGTGAGCTTGCTCACAGGCTCGTCAAATATCTGTACCGTCGCACGAACAAGCGAGATCATGTTCGTCAAATTGCTAAACATGAACACCGCCGACAGTTGATTCGTGCAATGTGGGAGAAACGAAAGTCCTATAAAGAGGCTGAGAGAAAAGCTGCTGAGAGAGCAACCGCAACAGGAGCTATCCCCCCACCGACCAAACAGCCAAGTGCTACTGAAGCAAGCAAAGCACGTCCGCAAGCGACAACAACTGGTGTCCACTCTCCGTCCCAAACCTCTATCGTCATCATATGGTGCCTATGTTCCTCCGGAACAGCATCATTATATCTCTGACTCAAAGAGATCGTTTTGGCATCTTTCAGACATCGACATGGAGGATGAAGAGGAAGCTTTAGATACTGGTACTGACGGGCCTCCCATAGAACCCATGGTGTGTAGACATTTCAGGTCGATGGTTCGTCTTATCAATTGCCTTACAGGAGATTGATCAGTCGTACTCCGATCCCGCACTCAAGGTAGGCGTGCTATTGTCCACTCGTGCATAATTTACAATGACTGCAGGACTTTACTCCCAAACTCAAGGCTTACTTGCGACGTCAACTTCTCGGCCTTGACGATGATGTTCAGCTCACTAAGGAGGATTTGCTCAATGTGATTGTGGAGAAGGATTTGCTTTATACTCATGCAACCATGAAGGTCAACTACACAACATACGATGTTCGTCAAGACCAGGACACATTGAATCCGCGAACCCGAAGATTTTTCATGGTTCATGCACAGGATTCAATCGATCCTCACCGTTACTGGTATGGCGAAATTTTGGGCATATTCCATGTCTATGTGTTACTGGCAGACCACCCTAGTAAAGCAAAGCGCATGGAATTCCTTTGGGTTCGATGGTTCCGACGCGACATGACCTACATCTGCGGACTCAAAGCAAAACGCTTCCCGCGCCTTGGCTACATGCCGCATGAGGATCCCGATGCTTTCGGTTTTGTCGACCCTCAAGATATTGTGTGGGGCAGTCATTTGATACCTGCTTTTCGCCACGGACGAACAACGGAGTATCTTCCTAAGTCTGTGGCTCGACCCGAATCTAGCAGAAACGAAGACTGGCGATTCTATTATGTCAATATGTAAGCCGCTTTCTCTACGCTACCTTATTGCACTCAGACTTGTTAGGGTGGTTGATCGCGACATGCTTATGCGGTACCATGACAATGTCATTGGCCATCGCAAGATTACGCCTCTCCAACTGTCGGACGACAGTCTTTCCACAATTGACAACAACCTTGCGGTTTCATCTGATCAGACACTGTTGAGCGAAGCAGTGGATGACCCGTCCTCAATAGAGGATACTACTATGCCCTTGATGCAGGTTAACGGGGATAACAGCGATTCAGAGGAGGAGGATGCTGATTGGCGTGGAGACACGATATTTGAACAGGACAACGAAGAGGCTGATAATGAAGATGAACCGTTGTATGGAGGTGATGCGGCAGTTATCAATCACCTTGGTCTAGCTGAATAGATCGCTCATAACTGCTCATTCGCATAATATTTCCAATTTGTTGACCCACCAAATTTGGTGATGCCGCCGGACATAAGTCGGATCTCGGGTCAATGAGAGCCGATGCCCGCCGCTCAACTTACTCTCAACCGTCATACTCGTCGAGGTACTATCCATTAACGAGGCCCTCACGCGTTATATGGCCATGTCATCTACCACCCTACCACTTAGGCTGCTGTCGCTCAATGAAGAGAGAGCCAGAAATTTCAAGAATTCAAAGAGACGAGTCGCTCGGGCCTCTGAGTTTGAATTCACAGTCATGCCGCAGTTGAGTATCCCTTCTCCGCGCACCACCGCATCAACATTGAAAACAGGATTCTCCTTGCGACAGTTGTTACGAGAACCAAGCATGCAAAAATATTTCATGTACTTAGACAAAGCTCTTGAACCAGAATAACTTGCAAAACATTCCATATCGAAGGCGCTGAGTAATAAGGGTGTATTAACTGTATGACTACCCTTTCCGTTCACGGCAAGGCTTGTAGCGAGTCTTCCAAGCCTGTTGCTAGTATCATAAAAGTGTGGCTAAGGATTATGTAGGTTAACTAGCACCTTGTCAGGGTTTGTCTGGACGAAAAGTTGTTACAGTGTTGTGACCAATTTGGTGATGTTATGTACAACTTCGCGTCTCGCTTCTTGCGTTGATGTCGAGAAAATGAATACAAGGCAAAACTCCTCTTATGTCGATGCGTCGGCGGTCTGGGAGATCCGCCGCACTGCCAAAGCCGCCCACGCGCGCGGGCTGCTAAATGCAACCAAATGGTCCGTTGTTTGCCAACCAAATAATTCCAACCTAACAAACGATTAGGGCTCTCGACCTTCTCCGAGGAATAAATCCCGAGTTTCGCGCACAGCCGGCCACAACTCCAGCCCCACCCATACCAGAAGACGAAGAACTCGAAGCAGAGATGCTCAATCTGGCGCGTCTTGCCATCGACGAGAAACAGTTTCCACGGGCAATCGTTTTGCTGGACGATGCGAGTAGCGCGAGAGGCTTGTTTATGAGGACATACTGCAACTATATCGTGAGTACATCCTCTCACCGATTTGATTACTAAGTTATGCAGGTCAGCGAGAAACGCGCGTTGAAAGAATGGCACGCGTTGGACAACAAGTGCGTCATTCTCCCTATGTGACTTACACCCATACTCAACACGATATAGACGACAGCAGCCTCCGAAACCAGTGAACAACCAAGTCGCGCAGCTGTACCTTACGGTGGAGAATGCAATCGATCCGTGGTTGTTGTTCTTGTGAGCTGACCTACTGTTTATGCCTGAGCGTTTTAATCATGCTGCGTTTAGGAAAGCGTTGTTACTCTTCCGCCTTCAACGTTTTGAAGAGACAATCGACTGCGTTTTACTTTCCCTTGAGACAATACCGTGGAACTGGTCGTCCTGGATGCTGCTAGTTGACTGCATACATGACCCTGAATCTGTGAGTGGCATGTTTTCTTTTAATCTTCACTAACACAAGCAGTTAAGCTCGCTCCTTGACCGCCTCCCTGTTCAACATGCTGCTGTTCAGATGTTCATGATCCGCATGATGAATGCCCTCAACACGTTCGCTGCCGACGACATCCCGACATGCAATCGCCTGCTTAGTTCGCAAATGTTTCCCAACTCTCTGTGGATCAGAGCACAGTTTGCTCAGGGCCTTTATATCATCCATGACTATGAAGCAGCCGACCAACAATTCCACCACATTCTCAGCGCTGATCCATACCGTATCGACGACCTGGAAATATATGCCGATATTCTTTATGCGGTAGAAAATAAGGAGAGATTGTCTTCCCTTGCACAGTTTGTTCTCATCCTTGGCAAGAACCGACCAGAAGTGAGGAATAGGTTCTCGATAGTGTTGCTAGGAATGACGTTCGTTCACAGACGTGCTATTTGTTGGGCTGTCATTATTCGTTACGCGCAGAACACGAAAAGTCTGCCAGGTACTTTCGACGCGCAACGGAATTGGACCGGACGTTTTCGCCTGCCTGGACGATGATGGGGCTTGAGTATATTGAGATGGAGAATCCGCAGGCTGCCATAGAGTCCTTTCGCCGCGCCGTAGGTATGCATTTATGGCTTTTTTTGGATTGCTATCGCGTGCTTACGGTGGCGGAAAGATGTGAACCCGAAAGATTACAGAGCATGGGCGAGTATGGGCAAGGCCTATGGCGCGTTGGGGATGCCATGGTATGCGCTATATTATACGAAGCGCGCTTTACATCTGCGGTGCGGGGAGTTGATTGAATTTGGCCGACAATTATCTGACTGCGTTCTTTAGACCTCACGAAGCGGAGTCTTGGGAAGACCTTGGACACATCTGGGAACTCGCGGGAAAGTAAGCACTGTTGACGTATTTTGGGCGGCTAGATTATGACCTATCTTCAGACCTGAAACGGCCATCGCCTGTCTAAAGCAGGCTCTAGAATCTGAAGCGCCACATCCACTTCAGATTTATCTCCGTCTGATGCAGTTGCTAATCACTGTCGAGGACTTCAACGCAGCAACATTTTATGCGGAGGAAGCTGTTGCCACCGGCCAGGCGCAAAATGTCCCGGTTGAGCAGTATGCGAAAGCGATGATGGCTGTGGCAGAACACCAGGCAATGCGACCTACGGGTGACTGGGGAAAGGCTCGGGACTACCTGGAAAAGATAGTGGCTCGTGTGGGCGATGAGGCAATAAACAAGAGGGCGCTTGAATTGTTGAGCTTGGTGAGGACGAAGTTGCTGATGCGGGGTGGTGTTTAATCTTTCGTAGTTAAAACGAAGCGTTCGATGACTTGGTTTGCACGACTAGTAGAGTTGGCAAGGAATAGTGTCCTACATGGCTAGCGTCAAAGTGCTGTGGGCCTCGTTGCGATGGATGTTCTAGGGATTGTTGGGGAGTCTAGCGGTGCCTCGTTGTTGTTGAACCTTGTGGACGGGAGTCATCAGACAGTCACCGTTTTGCTCAATATAGGTCCATCTGGCTGGAAAGCAAGCTTTCTGTTCAAAGTAGATGGGTATGAGGATAGATGAAGGGTGTGCGAGTTAAGCGGAAATGGCCGGGCGATAACGACCGCCGGGGCCAAGCTGGGTCCATCCATGTCGCAAATAGCTACGTCAACAAGCAACACGGTGTGAGATAGCAACCAAGGGGCCAAGAAGTAGTTTCTCTGAGGCTTTTGGTCGACCAGCCGAGGCCAGGAAGTGGTTAAAAAGCTTCCGTATTGTCGGAAAAAAGCGGGGAAGCAGGTGTTTTGTGCTGGGCGTTTTACTAGCCGGAGTTAACAGTGGGCGTCGGCCACGAGTTGCTGATGTCATCAACTCTTATCTCTCTCGCACAGCCATCACAGTCATAACTTATACATGCTTTGAGCTTCGTGGGGAGTTTTCGGCTACTCTTTTTTCTTTCATCCAACGATGAACATCTCGAGGGGCCGCGACCGCAATGTCGCGCTCTCCGCCACCGCTAGGAAAGCCAGCGAGGAAAGAGCCATCAGGGCTCGTCGATATTCGCGTTCTCCCAGCCCAACTTTCTCCACTGATCGCAAGACCCTTTCCCGCTCCCCCAGTCCATCCCCAACGAGCTCTGCTTCCCTTTCCCCACGCTCCAACTCCCCAACGCCACCACTAACACTGAGCGACCAACTTCACATCGCTTACGCGGCAGACGACCTTCATCTCGCCAAGGTCCTTCTCCTCCGACTACAGGGCATAGAAATCACCTCAGACAGCGACCCACGGATAGCAGCGGTCACTGACGAGGACTTCGACGCCCATTTCGTGCCCTACCGGCTGGACGAGACAGTTTCTATACCAGTGGCACCATCAAAGCCAGCGCCACAGCAGCGACGACAGCCTTCAGAAGACACGCGCAGGCGGGAAAATCTGAAGGACAAGGAGCGGTTGTGGGACATGGAGATGCGACGCTTTGCAGAGGAGAGGCTGCGACTGGAGTCGCTCAAGCGAATGCAACTCGACCAACAACGAGAACACGACCGACTACGCTCTATTAAGCAGAAGGAGGCTGCTGCTGCTGTTGTCGACTTGCGGAGAAGACGAGTGCGTATCTCTACCTGTTCCGTCCACGGAAGCATCTAACAACTGGTTTTGCCTTGTTTTGTAGATGAAACCGGCAAGAACACTAAACTTTGCGCTGGTCCCTGCTGTACCCCCTCCCCCTCCCAGATTCACCTACGACTTCCCCTTTACCCCCCGTGCTGCCCGACCACCGCCTGCTCCCAGGTTACCACCTGTTAATCGGCCGGAACTTCTCGATGAGACGCGTCAGCCAAACCGCGTATCGTTTCAGGATGTCCTCGCGTGCATGCAAGGCGATCTTTTCCCGTTAATACCCGGAGAACATATCGTACCACAGTCAACAGACCATGTCAAGGCCCGTCGCCAACTCGCCCTTCTCGAAACTCTGCTCGATTCTGGCATCACCATTACACCTCCAGATGACAAAGGCAAAGCTCGCGCTGTTCCTATTCGATGTACGGAAGCTATCCGAGCACCGCCGTTACCCTCACCATCCACATCGACGACTTCTTCCAGCCTATCTCGTGCAGGGTCGTGGCTGTCTTTTGGCAGTTCTTCGCGATCTAGCACCAGTACGGTAGCCTCCTCGTGGATCTCTGTTGAATCAGCAGTGCCTGTTATCAAGTCTCCGTCAAGACGACTCAGTCTCAATTATAGCGGTAGCGGTGTTGGTTCATGGTTACCTGGCGCTCGCCGAACTGCATCGCCTGAATCGCAGTTGAGTCAAGTTCACGTTCACGCTCTGGATTGCCGTTGTCGTGACTCGGCTCGGAGTCCAGCCTCGAAACATCCTCTGATGGATCCGTCTTTGACAAGTTCCCGGCAGGGTCATTCGACGCGTTCAGATGAAATCAAGAGTTCGTTGGCCAATACACTGGGTCGGCTAACGGCACTTGCGAAGACGATGCAGACGGCGTACGTTAGAGCCGTTGTTGTTGGCTATGGTGGGCCTTCGCCTGATTGGGATGAGCCTCAGGAGGAAGAGTATGATCTGGGAATGGGCTATCCTCCCCCCGCCCGTCAAGGAGAAGCCACGATTGAGCAAACCAACAAGCTTGCCTTCCACGGTGTCTAGCGCTGCCAGCGCTAGTCCGCTCCCAATCCGACCAATTGGCCTCCGTGTTTCGTCTGCCGATGTCCGCAACTTTGTATCAACCTCTCCGTCTCGGATAACCGAGAATGAAGAATCAGAAGAATCAGCCTTCACCAATTCTGACGACGAGCTAATCCCTAGCGCCACTCTGTCGCAGCTCGTCCCCCGGTCGCCGCGATGGGTGCCTACTCCGCCCGCCAGAACTGAACTGCCTGCCAAGCTGCCTTATGACCGCGTTTTCTCACCTCCTGCTCCGTTACCGAGAAGTCCGTGGGCAACGTTAGTAGCTGCCAGTGCGGCTGCTCGAGTTAGAGCTGGCGATGCAGATGTTGATGTCTGGGCCGAGAAACCACCGCCAGACATTACCGAATTGCTGTTGGATACCTGGGAGTACCAACCTTTGTTGCGCGACCGTGCGGTTCCCAACAGCGCCTTCTTGCGCATCAAGGCACTGAACAACTACGCGGCCGATGTTATCTGGGGTCATGCTTCGAGTGTGGGGGTCAGCGTCACCGCAATGCTCCCCCACGACTCCAAGATGGCCCAAGGAAGCAATGGTTGCACAGGTGCCCGGTATACGGTCCGCGGTCGGCAGTCGGCTTAGGTTTGTTTATTCTCGAGAGCGCGGGGTCGTTGTCTAGATTTCTATTTCCATCTTGCTTTTACCTCTCACTCGCTGCGTAGACGTCCATGCAGACGATGTTGTTGTACATATGACTTTCCCTCCCGTCCTCCTTGTTCTCCTCTCTTCTTCTTCTGGGTTTCGTGGGTCTACTTACGTTGTCAAGCACTGTACCATACTTTTACTGCACATTTTATTCCCTATCTACTACCCACACAGCGCACGTATAACGAACACACACATCATCATCTAATAGACTGCATTCATATGTCCCTGGGCCAGTTTTACCAAATTGGGAAGATTGGCAAAATGAGAGAGGTTCTCCTTGTTCCTCGTCTTCTCTCTGGGGTTGGTTTTACCAAGAGCGGCAGATGGCCAAATCGAGCCAGAGAACACCCATCTTCAATCTGAATCTCAGACGTTATCGCCTTCTATCATGTCAACGAGGGTGTTAGATTAGCCTCTTCGAGGAACAAAGCAGTGGGTCTGCCTGCCTCGTTGCAGTCAACTGAGCCTGACGTAGGGCTCGGACTCTCTTGAAGTCATCCCGTCGTAATGCATCCACAACTAGCTTCCGTTAGAGAGTAACCAAGCGGTCCAAAAAATATATGCTCTTTCGCAAGAAACGAAAAGGATGGCGAGTGTTAACATGACGGGCCAGCTAAAAATTGTTCAAGATACTAGGATTTTCTGTTGTGGCGTCAGCAACTCTAATCATAGCGCTTTCGAAGCTTAACCGATCGCTTCTTTCCTCCAGCTAAACATAGCTTGTTTTCTACAACGCCGTCACCCCAAACCTGCCCCTCAGCTCACCCCACCCGGGATTATTCGTCGCAATATCATGCGATACCCCACCCGCATACGTCCCGTTCGCCACCAGCTTAAAACTCGGGATGCGCCAATCAGCCGTGCTATTCCCGAGCGCCCACAGACTCAGACCGACGGTATTGACCCCGTGGTAGTCGAGGATGCCTTCGTGAACGGGGAACGCAGTCTGCGGCCCGAGGTTTGCGATGCGCTTGCCCATTTGCCAGCCGTTGACATAAAGCTGGGCTGTGGGAAAGACAGACACACTTAGCACGATAACTGAGAAGCCTTTGCGGACTAACCCCGGTATTGCCCTACGGCCGAGTCGAACACAAACGACAGCGGAATGTCGTAGCCTCTGGGAAGGTCCAGCACAAATGTCGTCCGGAAGAAGCCGACTCCAGGCCCCGCCAACCCCTCGGACGGCGTCCTTGTCTCCCACTTGGAGTCGTCATAGCCTGGAAGGTGCCAGCCTTTACGCTGGCTCAAAGTTGAGCGAGCGGGGAAGGAGAGGTTGTTGACTTACCTCGGCAAACAGCCCTCCTTCGTTGAATATCTTCCTCGCCATGTCTGGTGCGTCTTCGCCCATAAAATTCCCCGCGACTTTCCAGCCCGTAAACTGTTCATCGCGGCCAACCAAATAATAGCCCTGAATCCCGCGAGGCTGCTGTAAATCTCTTGCTCTTCCTCCCGGTGTGCAGCATACGATCATGCCGCTCAAGTCGCCGCCCATATTGCTACAACATCAGTAAGCCAACTACTACCAAACGGGACCACTCACTCGTGCAACACGACCACATTGTTCTCGCCGTCCCTCAGCATGTCAGGAGTAACAGGGAAGGAGTTGTTGTTCGTCCTCGTCGCACGGACATCTGCGGCTCCCAGGTAGTGCGTGTTGAGCCAAACCGATGCTGCGTAGTTGATGCCCCCCGACGACGAAATATTCACCGCCGTTGGGACAGCAAGCGTCGAGTTGTGATTGAATGTCCCGCGCCAAACGAGGTTCCCCGCATGGAAGCCATACATGTCGCCGTACAAAATCCACGGCTGGCCGTAGTACGGCGGAAACACGCTTGTCGTCGTCGTCTGGTCCGCCGGAATCATCCCAAAGCCGTCAAAGTCGGGCTGAACTTCTGGAAGCGAGTCTCTGAATTTCCATGTTGCGCTCTGCAAGTTTGGGAGGCTGACTGGGGGCGGGACAAACGAGATCGATGCCGCGAACACGCCATCGCTCATTTTCTTGAGGTTTCTCAGTGGTGAGCCGTTCCACTGCAGTGTCGAAAGAGATGCTGGCCCGAAAATTTGGATGGCAGTGCTTTCTGGCACGTCTCCCCACAGTGACAAGTGCGATCCTTGAAGACTCGCATTGCGCACAAGATATGGCCCGCTTATCAGAAGTGGTGTGGAAGCACCGTAATGCACGTAGTTGGAAAACGTGCCAGCACCTTGGATGCTGGGCTGCCAAAGACGTGTGGCCGCATCGTAGTCGGCAATGAGGATTGTAATAGGTTTGATGCCATGTTGTGGGGAGAGACGAACAAGTGTCAGGCCAGCAGCAGGCATGAAGTTGATCGTGAATGAGCTTGTGCCGCTCTGAATAGTCACAAATAAGAATCTATTCGCGGGAAGAATATATTCGTACCAAGGTTGTGACTTTCGTTGGACCAGCTGTAGACAGTCGCACTGGACCAGCCAAGTTCAAGGAGATCTCGTAGGACAGCCCGGCGTTTCCATAAACCACGAGAAGATCGGAACCATCTAGCTCCAGTGAGGTCAGGATGCTAGCAGTCGAATACTTCAATTTGCTCGATCCAAACACGAGATCCGTGCTGTTGGGAGGTAAGTTGCTTTCAACCGTTAGACAGAACACTGACGCAATCACGAAGGAATCACGGCCAAGCAGGGTGAGCGAAGCGTTGTTCTGGGGAATTGTAATGTTGTTCTGGCCGATGGTGTATCGGAAGTTGAGCGTTTCGCTGGTGAGCGTGAGCTACGGGGTAACAGAAATTAAAGAGAGCCCACTTTAAGGTAACGTTATTTGGCCGGAAGATATAGAATGAAGATCCTTGTGCTGGGTTTTTGAGGTGTGTCGCATACACTTTCGAAACAGTTGAATTGTCCACGACTATCATAAGCGTCAGGCAGTAAGAGAAAGAAGAATGCAGAGACCTACCAACAAGGTCGGTCATATAGAAATCGGGGAACGACCGTAGGAACAAAGACTGCAACTTCAATTCTGCATGCTTAGCAGTTATCTGCCGTTGTTCGTCGATGGGCGCGGAGTAGTCGTAAGAAGTGTATCCCTGTGAGTACGGTAATTGGGCCCAGGTCGTGCCTCCATAAACCATATAGAAGTTTTCTGCTGTGACACCGCTCGACCACATCTGGTGGTAGAAAACCCGCTGGAAGTTGGTGTTGATGAGTTTTCGACAATTTTCGTATCCTCCAGTGCTCCCCCAGTTGTCTGCTGACCCGCCCTGAAACTCGGGAAAGAAATGGGGTTTGCCAGGGACAACAGAGTCAAAATATGAGCGCCAATTGGTCACAATGTCGCGCCAAATAGCTGGGTTCGCATTGCCGCAGTTAGACGCGCTGAGCGGATACGCGTCGATAGCGTAGAGGTCGGTATCATTAACAAGATTCTGGAATTCACCAGGATCGTTGACGAATGTTGGGACTACGACTCCAAGGTCGATGGCGCGCTGTTTAAGCTGGCCAACATACTCGTTCTGGCCAGGACCTTTATTCGCCGGTCAATCGCTTTCAGTTACAAGAGAGACCGCAAACCATTGTAGTATTCGTTCTCTATTTGGAGCAGAATAATCGGACCACCGTTGGTGATTTGATTCCGAGCGACCAGGCCGATGACCTCAGTCCACTGCACCAGAATAAGAGCACGAAGAAGAAGAAAGGAAGCCAACTGGACCCACATAATCTTGCCATGCATCATGATAGAATGTGTCGTTACTTCGAAGTTCACCATTATACGGATTCCAAGGTGGATTACCGGGCAGCCAAGCTACGTGACCCGGTATTCCGCCACGAGATGTTTCGGAACTGGAGACATCAGAACCACGCACACTCAAAACGAGGTATCGTTTACTTGATATATGGCCCTGGACGAGCAATGACCCAGATACCTTCTTTCTTTGCTGCATCGAGAAATGGTTGGAAATCGTTGATTCCTGTCAGGTCCACAACGCCTGGTCGAGGTTCGGACAACCCCCAGTGGAAATACACAGAGATGGTGTTGAGGCCACCAGCTTTAACCTTTTGCACGATGTCGGGCCAGAGAGAGGGCGAAGGCAGTCGCCACATGTGAAATTCTCCAGACTGGATGAAGGTGCGGTTGCCAAGTAGGAAGAAGCTGTAGTCGTCCCATTCAACCGCTTGAGTAAGGCCATTATTCGACCGAGCAGCATCTGCTCCACTAGCTTTTGCGAGAAGAGCGACGAGGTGGAGTAGTTGTACGAGAAGAAAATGCATGTCGCTCAGGATTTCCAGGGCCGCCCCCATCTCGCTCAACTTAATGCACCTGACCCGACAGAGAAGCAGAGATTTTTAGGTGGCGGACCGGTTTCCAGCATCCGGGGATTCTCCGCCAATATTTCGTGGTGAGACACGCGTGCATTTATTAGGCCGGGGCGACGGTGAAGTGGTAAAGTAGTGTTAAGCACCCGAGTGCGAGACGGAGGACGAGAAATTTGGAAGGCGGTGTCACCGTGACGGTGACACCTTCACAGACCTTCCGTTCTTCTCCAAGTTATGGGCGATTGCTGGAACGGTTCGCTAACTTATTTGGCCTCTCGCAACGATGCACCTCCACTGCATTTCACGCCTGCCCAACGCCAAGTCGTTTTAAATGAGGACTCCAAATCTGATCTTCACAGGGGCTGCGCGCCGTGTTGTTGAAACCGTGCAATCAATCCCTATAAAATCGCTAGCAACGTCGATCCTTGACTTCTCACTTTTTCTTCCTCTTTCGCCCGCTTTTGTCTTCTTCTTTTCTGCACCTCGCCTTATATTCTTTCTTCTTCTTGGACGCCATGAAGCATTTTGCCTCCATCACCTTCTTCTCTACGCTCGTCGCGTACGTCAGCTGCCGTGCAGTCGACGTGAGCGCCAGAGGTGCGCATCTTTTACTTAATCCTCCCCAGGCCCTTCTAATCGTACTGTCTCTAGCTGCCGCCGGCACCTACCCAGCCAACTTCAAACCCAACTTCAAGAATGATTACAGCGTCACGATTAACAAGCCCATGTCCGTCGTCTTCCCCGTGCTGGGGACGAAGCAAGGCCTGAAGGAGACGGTTCTCCTCTCCAACATCGCTTCCAAGTTCGCCGCTGGCAAACTTGACACTGTCGCGGTCAGTGGGCCCCTGGAGAAAGCGTTCGTGCGGACGCTTCCATCAGGCCCCGCTGGCAAGGGCTTCGAACGCCAGGCCTTTTCTTACACGGAAACAATCAAAATTATCCCTGGCCTTGACTTCACCAACATCGTCGTAAACCTGGCTGGAACCTTCACATCAGACCCAGCGCGCAATGTTTCTCTCTACGAGACTACCTCTGGTGAGCCGTGGCTTCTATCTTTGCTTCTTGTTTTGCTCAACCTGCTGCAGACTCCAATGTCACCGTCCGCAAAACGCGCATCTTCACCGAGTCGAACGGTAAGACGACCGTGACAGAGCACATCGACGGCCAATGCGCGCCCATCCAGCAACCCATCGTCCAGCTCACTGCCGCCTCAGCACACAAGCAACAGATGGACTTGTACGCCACCCTGTTCAAGTAAACGACGACCTCGCTCGTTTTCTTCTGAAGTACCTTGACTGCGTAGTAATGAGAATATAATACTGCTCTCCTGTTGATTTATTCATAGGCGAACTACCTAATCAATTTGAATTTCCACTTTTTTTTCTTTGGACCATCGAGAAGAATTATTGCTACATAGGCATTTTGGATGCACTCGTTCCCGATCGGCTCGACGGCCTCGACTCTTCAACCAATTGCGCATATCTTCACTGTTCTCAACACACACGTCCATTGGTCATAGTTGGGCTTCGACTAATTTCTCTATCCCTCAGTCCAAGTACCCTCGCCTTGCTAAAAAAACATCTGTTGCAACTGTACACAACGCGTCTCCTCCCGTCACGTGACCAGTTCATTTTTCCCAGGACTGGTGTTTTCCCGCGTCCATCGCTGCATTCGATCGTCATTTCTCATGACTCAAAGCACATCGCGCTCGTGGCGTATATACCACGAGGATGGTGCATTCTTGATTCTCTCCAGTTGCGAGAAGTTGATTTCCAGTCCACAATGTACGTTCTTCTATTTACAACTGTTTTAACTTCGTCTAAGGACTGGGTCATAACAGGCCCTGGAACCCCAGCAGGTCTCTGCACACGGCCAACACAACAACTAGCCGTTCCCCACGCTCTACATCTTCCAAATCCCGACTTGGCTTCGACCATGTTCGCAAGATATCTCCCGGCCTCGCCGACTACAGAAAGAGCCCGGTGAAGCCAAAGTACTGCTTTGGGTGGCTTATGAGCGATGGAGAACTACGCGCAATGACACCAGAGAGCCTCCATTGGCAGGAAGCGCCGACAAGGTCCTTTGTTTTTTGTGCTGTAAAAGAGTGTTGTGCTCAGCATGGTGGGAGGTTTGTATCGTCGTTAAGGCTATTCACCATCTCACGGCCTATCCAGCTTCGAAGTTTCCGTGCACACACTAGGAAATTTTGGAACAGACCTGATGGGAAGAAGCCTGGTCTCCTTCACCTTCGTGCAGTTCGCTAACAATATGAGCTCTGAGGGTCTAGCTAGCGCGGAAGATAAGGTCATCATTGACTCCCTTACCACGCTGCTGAAAGCGGAGGACAATTACCCAGTATGGTTGTTGGACGATTATCGTGTCTGATTCGGGCGGCTCGCATCGGCTATGAGGTGGTTCCGTCCGAGGAAAATAATCTACAATGCACACAGCGCGCAAAATGGTAGAAATAGGTCATGGAGAAATTTTGTCATCTGGTGAAAGATCAACTGGTTCACCCCTATCCAGTCATGTCTTGCCTCGAACACCCATTGGACTACGAACCTGGCGGCCTGCATCCCGTCCATATAGGCGATACATTTGCGGAAGGGCGCTACGAGGTCATTGATAAACTTGGACATGGTTGTTCTTCTACCATCTGGCTCGCTCGCGACCTGACAACTGCAAGCTACGTCTCACTCAAGATCATAGAGGCTGATAGATCGGAATCGTCGACTGAGTTAATTGTATTGAAGCATCTTGAAGCTACGTTCGATGCAGAAGATGAGGGAAGCCAACATATAGTCCGAATGCTTGACCATTTTGGTGTGTGGCTCTTGATGACAATTTGACCCAACTCACATTCATTCCAGTGCACGAGGGACCGAATGGATCACATTTGTGCATCGTTCAGGAATTCCTTGGGCCCAGTATGACCATGAAAATCGAAGGCAATTCTGCCGCCTCCAAGTCGAGGGCCCGTCGAATTGCCGGCCAACTTCTTCACGCTGTCGACTATCTTCATAAACGTGGAATTGCACACGGCGACCTTCACACTGGCAATATTCTTCTCTGTATCCCCGCCTCATTCAGTATCGATTTTGGCACTCCAATAAGAGATACTTGCGGGTTACCTGCGAAGCCCTCTCCTCATAGGCCCAAATATCTTGTCGGGCCCATCAGTGAACGCGTCCCAAACAAATTCATTCGATCCTGCATGGCCAAGCCTCACATCAAAGTTTGCGATTTCAGCGAGTCGTACATGACGGGCATGACCGAGCCTCCACCACTTGCTTCCCCCCATATTCTCCGACCGCCAGAAGGAATCCTCGGTGACTTACCCCACGCAACTCTACAAACGGACATCTGGGGACTGGCGGTTGTAATCTTCCAAATTCTCACCAATGGCGGTTCTCTGTTTTCTTCGCTCAATGACGACTACACTCTGGAGACCATTGTCTTGACGTTGGGCAAACTACCCGAACCGCTGTGGCGCAGTTGGAGCAATCGTGAAAAGTTTTTCGACGACGACGCAAATCCAGTCCTCCAAGTCGACTCCTGGTCAGGGTTGAGTGGGATCTCATCCAAGACTTACCTGAAGGAAACAATCGGACATTGGCCAGTCGCAAAGGAAGAGATTTTGGCATTGGAGGCGATGTTGGAGGCGATGTTGCGCTATGATGCGAAGAGCAGATGCTCGTTAAGCGATCTTGTTCATTGCGACTGGATGGTGGGTTACGGTCACCGCCGTGGGGGGGTTGATGTAGTTGTGGCAACTCAGACGGACATGGACCGAAGCATCAGTGTTCAAGAAGGCAGTCGAAAGAAAACCAAAAAATCCCGGAGAAACAAAGGGAAGAAAGGGGGAAAGTAGAAGAACATGGAAACTATAGTCACCAATACTTGCCAGTGGGGTCTACCCTCCGAGCGTCCTCACTTAAGCCGGTGACCCGTCACTGGTCAGAGTAACATCAGTTTGACGTGAGTTCAAGCTTTCAAGTCAAGTCTTTCAGACACAAGAACGGAAAAGAACGCGAGCCAAAGCATCGGAGATTGCATTATGTACTACATCCACCAATAGCTGGCCGCTGGCGATTGTCCCCGACTGCCCGTGCCCACCAGTCTTACGATCTTCGACTCGGATACTGCGTCAACTCGACGGAACAGCCGAGGGGCGCGCATAATGTCTTGCGAGAGCCAGGAATTCAACCAACTGTGGGCGAGAACTCGACTAGGCTTCCCCGCTCAATCCTGCGCAAGCAACCCCCGGACCGGTCTGGAATTGATCCGGCTTACGCATTGTCTTGCCCGAGATCTTTCTTGAGGATAAGACGCGCTTGAGGTGGGGGTGTCGGAACGGGCAGCAGGAGGAGGCGTGGACAGCGACGTGCAATGAATCTGTGAGTAGGTCAGCCAGCATCCCATAACTTGTGATAGACAGAAGAAAGAAATAGTAGGTGGTGTCGTTACCCTCCGTCCCCACACCCGATATATTTTTTTTCTTTTTTTTTGTGTTTCCCTTACGGAGCCCCGCCCGCGCGTAGCGTTGGATTCTCACACGGTCACTGCACACAGGCCGATCCGAAACCGTAGCAATACGCGCTAAAGCAGTCGGGCTCTTGTCGATTCAGGCGCCTGGGCCAGATCGCTTTCGTAACGCGGATGGAGGATAAAAGACACATTGAAGACCAAGAACCGACCTCTCGTCTGAGATCAGTCGGCCGGTCTTCGTGTTTATTCCAGAGCCATAGTGCGCACTACTAACGTCGACCACAGGTTGTCGGTTCAGCTTGATGCACACGTGTTTGATAAATGATGATGGTGTGGGGACGTGGGAGGGGTGCTTGTGGGTGCGTGTGTTTGCGTGGAGAAATGGGTGGATAGCTGGCCGCCTACTCACATCGTAGAGGAACGCTGAGTGGTCGTTAGTATCTGTGAGAATGACAGCCAGAAGACACATACCAAAACCTAAGGGCGATGTGGTTGATGTTGTATGGCGAGGCATCTGCAAACTAGTGAGGTCTTGATCAACGTCGATGACAGCGACAAAACATACGATGAAGACAACAACAAAGGTCGTGGTCAGGTCGACGATGACCATGAGCAAGCTCAAGTCGAAGACAAGAGCAGAAGCATAGCTCAAAGTAGAGCAGTGAGTTAGAGCGAGGAGGATGAAGGTCGAAGGCAAGAGTGCTGAAGGAGGGAATCGTTCAAGGGCAGGCTTTTTATACACCAAACAAGCGCCCATTACCCCAATGTAGCATTCTGCGCTGACAAAAGAACGAACTGTCTAGAACAAGGGCAGTTGTTCATGTGGTCACTTGTGTGTGGACGCGTGTGTGGACGACCATACAAATTTAAAAGGCTGTTGAGCCCCAAAACAAGACAGAAGCTGATGGTTCGCGTCCACAGATTCCCTTCGATCCTCACCTTTTGCCTCACCCAAGTGACGAAACGTGTCTGTATACCTTTGCTTTGACTACTCACTCGTCGTTCTGCTTGCTAGTTTTTTGTCTTTTGCATCCTGTATTTTGTACGATCGGGTCGCGTAAGCCTAAGGCGCACTAAAAAAACAAGTGGACAAAAAAATGAGAGATGCATGCAATTTGCAGTTGACCGACAGCGAAAACCACATCCACTCCAAGCCATTCCAGCCCCACATCTGAATTTTTGGGTGTTGGTTGTCTACTTCCTCTTCTTGACGGTCGTGCTCTCCTCCTTCTTCTCGCCACCAGCAGGGGCCACTGGTGTGGTGTCCTTGGCAGGTTTGGTGGTCGATGGGCTGGCGGGTTCTTTGTTTTGGGGGACGACACAGCCGAACAAGGTGCCGATCATACCGAGCAGGGTGAGGAAAGCGCTGAAGAGGACGATGGCAGTCTCGGGTTGAGTCTTGGCGGCAAGAACGGGGTCAATCTTGGCAAGGTCGATGAACGCGAGGGCCTTGTTACGCAGGAAGCCAACGGGGTCTTCCTTGAACGACTTGGTCTCTTCCTCGTCATCGTCCTCGGCATCAGCGGGTTTGGCGGCGGCGGCCTCAAGAGGCTTCTTGATATCGAACGATTCGGCAGCAAGGGCTTTGGCGTCCTCGACTGAGTGGCCAATGTAGATGTTGTCGAAGAGGATGTCCTCAGTCATAGTCCAGAGTTCAATACCAACACCACCCTGACACAACATTATTAAACGCACATTCAACCAATTTTATTACTTACGATCTTGTTAAGAGATTTGACGGGTGTCAGATCCTCGTAGAAGTTGGGGTTGGCGATCTTGCGTGGAGCCCATTCACCCTTGTAGGCGGGGTTGTCGATGAATGGCGCGTACCACTTGCCTTTGTAAGCGGGGTTGGCCTTCATCGGGCTGAAGGACCAGTTAGACGGTAGGAGTGAGAATAATGCAAGACAAACCGTTTCCACTCGCCACATCCAGGAGCCTCAGCACACTTGGGGTTGGCAACAGTAGGTGCGATCCAGTCACCGTCTTCCTCGTCGTCCCACTCTTCGGGCTTCTCGGCGTCTACATACCGCATTCAGAGATATCATCCGCGCTGATGATGAAAGGCACATACCAGGGTCGGGGATGGTGCTGGGTTCGTTGTCGAGCCAGCCCTCAGGTTTCGTGGCCTCCTCGTCAACGATTTCATAAGGTGCCTCTTCGTCCCAGTCTGCGGGCTAGAATTTGATCGAGATCAATATAAGCTAACGAGGGATTTGTAATAACTAACCTTGGTGGCTTCGGGGTCCTCGATTCTCTTGAGGTCAACCCAGTCCTCGGGCTTCTTGTCCTCGGGGTCGTCGATTTCTTTGGGAGGGTTAACGGCGGGTTCGAAGTCCTCAAGCAGACTGCCAGATTTCTCGCTGGCGCCGTTGAACAAGACGTCGTAGGTATTGTCAGGGCTGATGACTAATAAGCAAATGAAAGAAACTCAATGAAATACCAACTTGATAATGAGCGTGTAAAGGTTAGTCAATTTCTCAATCGTGGGACGGGGAGGGAGCGCGAGATGCTTCTCCTCGTATTCGCCAGTCTTGGGAGACTTGTAGCGGAAGATGAAGTGGACCTGTGACAGGTGAGCAACGCGAACTCGTGATTCAATAAAACAGCAACACACCTTAGTGCCTGGGCAAGTAAGGTCAGGACCAAACATCACGACCCAGGGAGTGGTGTCGGAGAACTCCTTGCCGCTGCTTTGGAAGCCGTCTTCAAGGAGTTTGAGGTATCCACCACCGCAGTTACCGCCCTTCTGGTACTTGACCTCGTATTGGACGACAAGAGGCTTGGTCTTGAAGTCGATGGGGGTAGCAAATGGCGCAGAAATGGCGTGGTGGGCAGCCTTGCTCTTAGCAACAAGACCAAGGTCACCCTCAAGGACGGAGATGGATGGCTCCTCGACCTTCCATTCACCCACGTAGCTGAAGGTCTCGCTGCCAACTGGGGTCTTCTTGGTTGCCTCTGAGGGCGTCCAGCGTTCTTTCCAGTCGTCAGTGAATTGCTCGAGGAAGGGAGCCTTGATGGGAGTCGACTACGAATGTCGTGTCAGCGACGCTAGTGTGGGGGAAGTGCCACGTACTTTGAATAACGGTTTGGGTTCTTCTGATTGACCGAGGGCGCCAGTGGCGGCCAAGGCAAGCACAGAGAGCGCTACGCTTCGCATGATACGAAGGGCCGGGGACGAGAGTAAACAGACGGGGGAGGTGGAATGAGCTGGTAAAGCAGCAAGAGAAAAGTGTCAGGTTATAAGTGACACGGTGTGACTTCGGTGGTAACGCCGTAGACGTGGTTGGCCACGTAGGCTCCATCAACTCGGGATTCTCTGTCAGATAATGCGGTCATGTGAGTCCGACACATAGTCAATTCCGAGAAAGCCAGCCGAATTTTGCCCGTAGAATACATTGCTAATGGTAATAAGTAGCGACTGCGTCAAGCAGACGGTATACAAATAAAAATACAACAAAAAAAGGACTGCCACCTCACCAAAACTATATTTGGGACTTGAAATCCTGCCTTTCCTCCTTTGCTATTGCCGCCGCAATCTTAGCATCCTTCGCGCGTTGGACATGACTCTTCCTTATTCGTTCGATCATTTGGTTTGACGTTAAATCCTCATTCAGGTCTTTTCCGTATCCATCCAGAGCATTCTTTTGCGCTACCAGTGGGGGCAGCATCTCGCCGTCGTCTGTTCGTCGAACCTCTTCCAGTTCGATATGAACTGTAAGCTGAGAGGCGATATTGCCGGGAGTGTCACTTGAAGTGCATGGTTTTGAATGGCCGGTTTTGCTACGGCAGTCATGAATTGCTGAGCGGAGGGCCCGTAGGAGTGCCTTGAATGGGTAAGTAAACTATCAGAGTGGAATGGACCAATATACCGGATCAGAGACCGCAAGCAACGCATATATACTTGGCCGCAATCCGTAAACGAGGTTATCTATGGTTAGGGTTGGTATGAAAGAGGAGCAACGAACAAAGAAACTCACTGAGGATAGCAATGTTCAGGTCCTGAAGGCAATCAGTAGCTGACATAAACACTATGACATGTCGTACCTTCTCTGAGTCTATGGAGCCCTTCACAGACAACTATTGACCATGAGTAACAGTATCAACCTGGATATGAGAATAGAGACGCACATACAAGTCGCATGCGACGGTTAAACCATTGATGATAATGGAGGCCAGAGGGTAACAAGAGATCCGAATGATGACTGAACGATATAATGCAGCATGGTTGAGGGCTTTTGTCTTCGCATCAAGAGAGAAATTCATGCCGCCCGACTCGCCACCAAAAGAACCATTGCGAAGCTTTTTCCCGTGTAGAATCTACGTGGACTAAGTGCCCGTTTAACGACGGTGAGAATAGTAGACTGACCTGATGTCTGAACATGTAGCTCAACACGGTGCAAAACACGACAGACTCTCCCACTGCGGCAAGAAGGGACCACATCAGTTGTGTTGTAAGTTGCCATTTGAGCCGGACACTGGGGTCTGAGGCCGTCATCCAGCAGGCTTCGTTGAGGTCGTCCCAGCCATATTGTTTATAGGCAAATGGTGGAATGGTTACGCAGAGGGCTATGATTAAGGCGCTGAGGATGTAGTACTTCTCCATAACATGACCAGAGATTCCGTGTATCAGGACTAATCTATCGGGCTCATCAGTGTCGCAATAATTCTGAACGAAGATAGCGCACTGAAGATTCAATGCGATGCCGAATATCAGCCAACTGCTGAATTGGAGCGTCAACTATTGGAGCAATTAGCTACAGCAGAGGAGATAGAAGGAGAGAGTGAACCAAGATGAGCCATACAGAGAAACCACAGGCTGAACTATCCTGTGTCTGGAACGCACATACGGCTGTGGCAATTCCGTGCAGCATGTTGGCCGTGAGTGCATAGACCATCACCCGAAAGCTAACGCGGTTGAGATACGGGCGTGATCTTGGACGGGCATAGAGAAGGGCGATGAGCGAAAGCACCAGAAAACATAAACAAGCGCCAATCGCGGAGCCAATCCCCCATATCTGCCGTGAATGCATATGAGAACAGAATATTGAGAGGGTCAATAAGTAATGCTTGCCGCAGCACTAATGTTTATTAGTCCAATCGCAAGTAGATGAAACTCAGAACGCACGATGTAGTGGCGTCTTGGGCGGTGTAAACGAAGACCATCGGGGTTCGGAGAAAAGGGAGAGGTTTAACCTCGCGTTGCAACTACCTCATAGTCTGATAAATCCGGGTCGGTTTCCAGCGGTGATGAAACTTGGCACCACAGGAGCGGCGATGATCTCGTGTGGCATAGGCATTATTGCAAAATTGAAAAAGGCAAGGTGCCCAGGCCGTTTCATCGTGAAGTTGCAGTCTATAGTTCTTAGATTTCCCAAGCTCATGCAGAGTCAAACTATAGACCCGCGAAACCGCCTTCGTGCATGCCAGGTTCACTGAAACGTTGAGAAGGCGAAGTTGAAAGAATCCGTGTTGCTTAAAGGTGGAAGACAAATTAGTGTGACGTTCACCGTGACGTCGCACTAAAACTTGATGTGATCCACCATGTTGCCCTCGGAACTAGTTTTGGCCATTGTGGAAACGATATCTGAACAGGACCCACTGTTTCGCTCAACGCTACTCGCCCTGACTCGCGCATTTCCAGGCCTCCCCGCCAACCATCTATTATTCCAACGGATTGAACTAGACCATGCTGAACAAGTTGTTCACCTCACACGTCGCCTCGTCCAGTCTGACTGGCGCGATATCGTTAACTACACCCGCGAATTCAAATGGCACGGCTGGATGGTTGACGCCGACCTTATCGTCAATATACTGGCTAAATTTCCCATGTTACGGTCGTTGGACCTCTGGATCGGCACCCATTTCTCGCCAGAACATTTGACCGACATATTCCAGAAACCGAGACCAGGACTAGAGTATCTGTCTCTCAGGTTTCGGCCTTAGTGTGTTCAGCCATCCCGTGTTCGTTCCTTTCTCATATTGATGCCAGTGTGCAAAAGGCCAACTATCTTCCTTTTCTCAAGGTATTTAGTCGCTTATTTTGCATCATGCGACATTTAACTAGTAACAGGGTTCATTTTTTGACTCTACACTCCTTTGTCTGGCGAAATGGCCGCATACGACCCTTCCGACACTCTCCATTGTGCAGGATGCCATCCCAGAAAGCGACACACCCACTAAATTCGCGCAACCGATTGTCTTTCATACGCTTGACTCAAGCCTTCCAATTTTCTCTCAATCTGCCGTTCTATCGAACTTAACATCCCTACGCTTTTGTCTCCCGGCACGACCGATGGCGATACCGCTCACTAATTCGCCTAGATCCCTGCCTTCTCTAGAAATGCTCGACCTTTCGACATGCACAGTGTTTGGCGCGGAACTGACGGACACATTGCTTGTTAACCTCTCTCGTCTTAAACACGTAATTCTCGACAATGGCGCGCTACTCAGGGGAGAGTTTCACGCCGACGACTGGGCAGTTCTAGGTAAGGGCTGTGCTCTCGCAGGAGTCAAACGAGCCCGCGATCGCGAACGAAAGCTCAAACAGGCCAGGCTGGCAGCAACTGTCGAAACAGCACCACGTCAACCCCGTGCTGCCAAAGCTGGCCGCAAGGGTCTGAGCACGGCCAAGATATCTCTTCGTCCTTCGCCTCCAAGAGAAGATGCCACCCCCCACGTGTCTTCCACCCTTTCACCCTTACTACTAGCTAGGATACGTGTCTGGCCGGCTGTCCCAAGCCTTCGTTCGTTTGCAACAACATTGGCCCCTTCGGTATCTCCAACGAAACACGCAGAGATCAGGGAAAATTTTAGCCGTGGCTGGCGAGAGGGACTTGCGCAACTGATTCAGACCCGCAGTCGTCTATATCAAGCCTATCGTATGGGGTCTGCAACTGTTATGCGGTTTGCACAGGAACCGTTGGGGTCCTCAGACCAAGACAACGAGCTCAATGGCTTGGTTGAAGTCATAGAATGGGACGAAAATGTGGAAGAAATGGGCGTTCCCGTGTTATGTTTCGCTGGAAGACACAACGCGGCGGCTCATGAAGCCGGTTGCGCGCACTCATTCGCTTGGGAGGCGTGGAAGGAGTGAGTCTTGCGTACGTGTCCATAATCGACAAATACGACCTATTCGATCTTCCTCATCCGCTGTTCCGTCCCTTGTGCTTTCCTTATGAGTCAACTTGTCCCCCATTTTTTGGAGATGATCAGCTAGACGCCGTTTTGCATGAACGCTCCCCCAATCACAGGCAGCTCATCAGTAAGTCTGTGGACGCGAATCATCAGCTTCTGTCCTGTTTTGGGGCTCAACAGCCTTTTGTATGGTCGTCCACACACGCGTCCACACAAAAGTGACCACATGAACAGCTGCCCTTGTTCTAGACAGTTCGTTCTTTTGTCAGCGCAGAATGCTATATCGGGGCGATGGGCGCTTGTTTGGTGTATAAAAGTTGGTGCTCGAACGATTCCTTCCTTCAGCACTCTTGCCTTCGACCTTCATCCTCCTCGCCCTACCTCGCTGCTCTGCTAAGAGCTATGCTTCTGCTCTTGTCTTCGACTTGAGCTTGATCATGGTCATCGTCGACCTGACCACGACCACGACCTTTGTCGTCGTCTCCATCGTATGTTTTGTCGCTGTCATCGACGTTGATCAAGACCTCACTAGTTTGCAGATGCCTCGCCATACAACATCAACCACATCGCCCTCAGGTTTATGGCCATGGTATGTGTCTTCTAGCTGTCATTCTCACAGATACTAACGACCACTCAGCGTTCCACTACGATGTGAGTAGGCGGCCAGCTATCCACCCATTTCTCCGCGCAAACACACGCACCCACAAACACCCCTCCCACGTCCCCACACCATCATCATCTATCAAACACGTGTGCATCAAGCTGAACCGACAACCTGTGGTCGACGTTAGTAGTGCGCACTATGGCTCTGGAGTAAACACGAAGACCGGCCGACTGATCTCAGACGAGAGGTCGGTTCTTGGTCTTCAATGTGCCTTTATCCTCCATCCGCGTCACGAAAGCGATCTGGCCCAGGCGCCTGAATCGACAAGAGCCCGACTGCTTTAGCGCGTATTGCTACGGTTTCGGATCGGCCTGTGCGCAGTGACCGTGTGAGAATCCAACGCTACGCGCGGGCGGGGCTCCGTAAGGGAAACACAAAAAAAAAAGAAAAAAAAATATATCGGGTGTGGGGACGGAGGGTAAGGGTAACGACACCACCTACTATTTCTTTCTTCTGTCTATCACAAGTTATGGGATGCTGGCTGACCTACTCACAGATCCATTGCACGTCGCTGTCCACTCCTCCTCCTGCTGCCCGTTCCGACACCCCCACCTCAAGCGCGTCTTATCCTCAAGAAAGATCTCGGGCAAGACAATGCGTAAGCCGGATCAATTCCAGACCGGTCCGGGGTTGCTTGCGCAGGATTGAGCGGGGAAGCCTAGTCGAGTTCTCGCCCACAGTTGGTTGAATTCCTGGCTCTCGCAAGACATTATGCGCGCCCCTCGGCTGTTCCGTCGAGTTGACGCAGTATCCGAGTCGAAGATCGTAAGACTGGTGGGCACGGGCAGTTGGGGACGATCGCCGGCGGACGACTATTAGTGTGAATATGGATGTATCAGTACAAGGGCATAAACCAATCCCCGATGCTTTCAACCTACGCATTCTTTCGTTCCATTGAACTGAGTAGAAAATTGAACAACTTAAAACCTGAGGCTCCTTAAATTTAAACATTTGTCATTTGGGGTGGATTATTGGAGCACGGTTGGCCATTCGTTCGTTTTGATCACGGCAGTGGTTTCCCAGCGTTGATAGCTTCTGCGACCTGGCTGGTGTTGGGGCGATTTTGGGCATATCTACACACTGGTGAGTACAGATGATTAGTGGTCTTCTGGCCTTGGCTTGGCCTGAAAGCCATGGCTTTGGCCCGGCTTTCCGTGGCTTTGGCCTTGCAAATCATCAGGCCAGGCCAACTCAGCTGGCTTTGGCCTGGCTTTAGCTTGGCTTTGGCCTAGGCCATGGCCTCGGCTAGGTGTGATCCGGTGTTGTTGATCAGATGTTGGCATCAAAAATAATAGTGGATATTTAATTTAGTGTAGAAAGTGGTCATAAGGTAACCTGTAGAGCATCAATAAAGCCTTGACATGCTAGTAATAGCACTTCTAACCAACATATGACTAGCAAACTTCCTTTTTGGGAGTTAGATCAGCCATCAATGATCAGACTGAAAGCCATTGGCTTTTGGCCTGGCTTTGGCTTTCTAGACTCTCAAGCCAGGCCAAAGCCAATTTAGACCAAAATTTCTGGCTTGGCTTTGGCCCTGGTATCAAAGCCAAAAAGCCATGGCTTTTTGGCCTGAAGCCAAAGCCAGCAGAACACTACAGATGATTCAAGTTCATGCCCAGGCCGAGAACACAGAAATGAACGAATCACCAACCTTTCATAGCTATCGAGATACAACTCTTCTGTGCTGCATGTTGCCTTGAACGCGGCATGCCCAAACAGACGCGTTGTCCAAACCCCAAACTTCTCTCCTTCGGGCAGCTCGAACCCCCGATAGTGCTTCAAAACATTGCTCGCTCGAAACAAGTCTGGAGTATGTCAGTCCACCGGATCGGAAGAGAGGAAGACGACAAACATGGAGCAACCATCACATCGGTCAGGTTCATGTCTCCGCTTTCGTTCCAGAGTCCGAGCCCCACCGCGAGCGCCATTTTCTCGCCCACCCCAGTGGTGCCTCCGCCCCCGAGAATCTCGCGCTCGGCACGATCGAGGAGGTTGACAAGACGTTCCAGGCCTCGTCGAAGATCTTGCGCGGCTTCTATCTGTGCCGATCCCTCTTGGGCTTGAAGAAGGCGGTAAAAGGCGGGTACGATCGCGCGGTTCACGTGATCGCACTGGAGACGAACGAGGGCGCGGGCGTCTAAGAACATGAGTGTGCTATGTGAGACGATGTTAGATACGTACAGGGATCCTTGGGAAGTAGGCCCCGGCCGCCTGATTGGGCAGCAAGACTGTTCAGAACAGAATATTTCTCAGCACAGATACTGGTAGAGGGCGGAAGTTCTACTCTTCGAGGTACTCGAGAATGACTATGCTTTCATTCAGACCACGGGCAGGAGCGTATCGGTGCAGTTTGAGTCCGGGTACAAGGCCCTTGGGCGAAACCTCGAGTAGATCGGCAGGCTTCTTATACGGGTCAACCTCATCTAGCCTCCTAGTGAGATAATAGACGACGGGAGAGGCATTTTCACAATACTTGGTGAATGAGCTTTAGTGACATTCTCAAGAATCAGGTTACCTTACTCACCTCGTATGGCACTTGGAGGTATTCCATCGCTGCCCACACGCGCTGGACGAAGGGGCAAAAGCAGCTGCCAAAAAGGGTAATGTCTTGCGGCTCGGCGTGTTTCTGGGCCGTCTTGAGAGCAGTACCGGTGCATATGAGATGGTAGCTTTTCGTTGCGGACATGGCAAGAGGTAAGTCTCGGTCGTGGAGTCTGACATCATTGCTGCATCTTGTCCAATCAAAGAAAAGACATATCAAGCATTCAAGGGAGAAACCTGATCACATCGTTCTATAGACTCGTGGAAAAAGCTGAAAAACCCATTGAGCTAGAAACACTTTAGATAGCGAAAAACACGTAAAAATGGGACTGACATCGACTGATTGAGCTACCAAACAGTTCTTTCCACCAACCCCCCAACTATCATCGCAGTTCTTGTAGTTCCAAACATCAACCACTGTTTCCCCCGACGTATGCGTTCCGTTTAGCTCGACATCGACTCGGAACCGCTTTTCCTTGAATAAGTGTGGGTAGGCCACGTATGCAACCGTGAGGGCATCGTGGAGAGGCGGTCCATTCTCGAATCCGAATGTGCTGCGATATGATTCAGCAAAAAAGCTGATAAGGGTAGACAGTGTGTATCGCAGATTAGAGGACGCTGTCGGCAAACGTCCATCGGTTGTTTGTGAGGCGGGAGAGAGGAGGTTTGCGTGGATTTGACGCGTCACGATGGCGGTATGGGTCACATTTATCGGGATCATTGTCTTTTTTACAGGTGCATTGAGTACGATTTGGGCTGCATGGGCTGGAAAATGTATGAGAAAAAAATATAGATTGGTAAAAGAAATACACACGATCACACAATATATTGTATTCTGTGTGGAAGTCAGATATATTTGTCCAGGACAAGCTCGAAAATAATTACCAGCAACAGCAGATCGATTGCCCATGCCAACACCTCCACCCATGACTATTGGTTTGTCAGCAGCCCATTCACGGAAACCAACGAGTGCGAACAAACGAATTCTTCGATGGCCTCCAAGAGGTCAGGATAGACCGCAACGAACAGTGCAACGTTCGTCATGGGACCGCTAGAAATTATGGAGACCTTGTTGCCTTTTCCGTTGTCCCACGTCTTCCGCACAGCGGCAGAAAGGCCATCTAGAGCCCGCTCTGACTGTCCCGCAATCCAACGCGTGACATTGGGGTCTTCAGCGTCTGGAAATCCCTCGACGCCCCCCAGCCCATCTTCGCCATGAATCTCTGGATCGTGTTTGGCTGGTTTAAGAAGAGGCTTCGCCGCCCCAGGATATACGCGGATGTCAGAGTGGTGGGCAGACGCGCCGAAGGCGTGAAGACACCGAGCCGCATTTCGCAGGGTCCAATCGCTGCTGGCGTTGCCGTGAGTCTAGATCTTCGATAATTACCGGGAGAGAAATGGTGGTTCAAGCGCGGCGCATACGGTCGATATTCCTAGAAGCTTGATGTCAGGGCAGTGGAGCCCAAGTAGAAGCGCAGTCGCGTCGTCGTGCCCTGGATCGACGTCCATCCAAACGAACTTCATGGTTCAATTTCAAGAAGGTCACAAATGTCACATATGTGATGCGATAAGATGATAGATTGCATGCACAATTCGTAAAATGGGAATGAAGTTGAAGGGGTATAAACTGAAAACTTCCTCCAACGAGAAAAAAAGTCAAGTCAGAGCGTGCCAAGGTTTCACTTGTAATCTGAACAAATGTGACTGTCGTGACTTGTGACGAAAGCCACTCTTGCTTTCTCTCTTTCCACGACCACTACTCCCAGCCACCGGTCGCAACTGCCCCAGCAATGCTCGTCGACGTCTCATCAACCAGCCACTCGATCACCATCGCTGATCAAGCCTGCGCTACACAGACTTCAAGCCCACATCCCCATGTAGTCTCGACTTCTCTCAAGAGAGACCCCGACAGCTCGCGCACACATCGTTGTCTTGCCCACCAAGCAGCCTGGATAGAAAACTCGGTGGCACGAGGCAACGACTGCGGCGTCAGCATGTGCGGGAGGTAGTTTGACTTTGTCCTACGGGATTCCTACCTGCTTTAAAGCGACTTTCGAGTTGGAGGAGACGCGAACAGGCCACCTGCTTGCAGGAAGCCGATGATTTTTCCGGCCATATAACTCCTGTTGGTGTCGATAATTTCCGCTGAGTTATGTCCTGCACGAACCGCACGTGGAGAACTACGACGCTCTGTTGGGCCAGCGCCGATCATTCGCCATATCTCTGGGCATCTTCGGGCTTGTTCTAGTTTCTTCCTTCTGCGCTACTTTCCGCGTTTGGTGAGTTCCAATTACCTGTAGAGATCTTACGTGTTTTCGAGTTGCAACAACGATCGGGTCAATGCTGGTTGGTGTGAAGGATGGGAGGCAGGCTGACTAAAATGTGGTATGCTAGCAAATAACTTGTCGTCGCCCTTCGTTTAGCGCAAATTTACAATTATTTTGAATATACAAAAAGGTGATGAACAGATTATGATTCGATATTTACTTTCTTTTCAAGTTCCTCCGCCAACTCGTCTTCGTCCAATTCGTCCTCATCCTGACTAGCCCGTTTCCGTGCCCATGTACTTGGATGAACGTCCTGTCGGAAAGATGCATTAATGTGGAACTCCAGAATTCATCGACGCTTACGTAGTGGGCCAAGCCCAGACAGTCGTCCAACTTCCAACTGCCCTTCGCGATTTGCCGCTCGCACTGCTTCAGAAATTCGGCGGCCTCTTCGTACTTGGCTTTTGTTTGCTCCGAAGAGTTGATCGTCGCCTCCCAGATTTTCATGACTTTGGGCACTGCGTCCCGCACTCGGCGAGCGAGTGGCACCGTCAGCCGCAGGGGCGCGTGGCCTCTGAGGCGCGCTTCCAGGGCGATGCAGAGCATGTATAACGAGGACTCATCGTCTGTTGACAATGGTGAGAAACTATCAAATCTATGGTGGCTCAAGCAACCTGGGGGGTATGTCTCCGCTGACTTGATGTATAAGCGGGCGGACTGGTCGAATTCCTTCATCGCATCGAGCAATGCTGCTTCTTTCGCCTCCTCGTCTTCGATATTTTCAGAGCGGAGCGCGTGGTCGAGACCGCGTTGCATGTGAACAAAACCCAAGGCACTAGAAAAATAGTCGGTAACAGTCCTTGAGGTAGCTAGATGACTGACGAAATTGCCTCCGCCAGGGGGTACGTCCAAAAGCCGAAAAATCCACGGCCATTGAAGGTCCCTGGTCTCTCGCTCGCCTCGGTTTCGCGCTTGATCTCACTGGCCAGTTGTTCAATGTCGTCGAGAGTGTAAACACAGCCCGGACCAACAAGGCCAGCACGAAATAGCTGTGTTAAAGTGTGAGCGCAATGGCCGGGGTAATTGTGTTTACTGACACCCAAAAGATTACTCAGTCGTAAACTGCGAACTGAACGAACGATGGTCGCCTCAAAGATCGCGCCGCGCTCCTGTCAAGAGTATGCGTCAAAAAAAAGCCCATAAGTAAGTTAGCACCAGCACACCTCTTTGGGGACATGGGCATACGTAGACCGTCCCCAGTCAATGATTTCAATGACACGCTTGTAAAATTCGTCTGCGCTGGTTCCCATCCCCATTTTGGATTCCAAGAACGCGCGCCAAATCCATGCCCGAATAGTCATCGCCAATGCGGGCCGCACTAAATCCCAGCTCGAGTTTTGCAGTCGTTCCGGGACCTCCTTCATCAGTTCTTTTGGTCCACTATCGGTCCAGCCATTGCTAGCCTGGACTTCGATAACGGCTTGCGGGTGGAGGTCATGTGATGAACAGGGGCTGAGGATTCATCGAAACTTACTTTGTCGCCGAAGATTATCGAAGAATTCGGGAAAGTCAATATGGAAAACGCGATCGTCGCCGAGGATGGCGTTTGTTAGCGGTTCCAAGACCTGTTCGATGGATCAAATGGAAATCAACCGTGAATACAGGGTTTAACCTTGCCGGCAAGCATGATCATCTCTTGACCGTTCTCTACCTTGACACGCACTTTCTTGAGATTCGATACGGCTTCTTCGTATTCGAGATATGCTTGGATAATAACATGACCCTTCACAAAGCGAGCGTTAGTGCAACACAAAACGGCGGGGAACAAGACGAAAAACAAACGCTGCTTTCATACGGCAACTGATTAGCTTGAAACAACTCTCTGGCCTTGATCCATGGCACGATCTGTTGAGCCCGATGTGATGGCATCCGGTAGTGGTAGTCGCCTTGCGAAATTTTGTCCTCCTGTTTCGTCCTGGCGTCGTCAGAAGCTTTGGCCTTTGCCTCGTAATCGGCCTTGAGGACCGGGTCTGGGGTAAGCTCTGCCGCCGTGCCCCACGCACGGGAAGAGATTGACCACATATTAATTGCCTGTCGCCGGAATGAGTTGGAATATTGAGAATTTCGCTCCAAAAAACGCACATCCGCAGCAGTGCCTGTCCGAGTGTATGCCTTTACAAACGTCGGGTCTGCGTTTGTTGCCTTTCATGCGATGAGATTCATGAGAAACAAAGAAAAAGTCAACGCCACAGCTCTGTCGTACTTGTTGGCTATCCGATATCGCGTCGAGGTAGCTGAGGAAGATAAGTTGGGTGCAGCGTCCTGAATATAAGCTGACTCCTTCAAGTTGAGAGATGCGGCCGCCCGATTGCTGTAAAGGATCGCCAAAACCTTGCTGTCTGTGCAGATGTTGATAGCCTCTGTATACTGTTTGTACCTGCACAACGACATGAGCTTGGCTCACAAGCATATGGCCATTGGGTTTACGCGGCAGTGTATTTGCCTTGCTTGATGGAGTCGTTGCCCTCGAGCTTGAGGGCATTGACCTTGGATGCAGTGTCCATGATGGAGGGAGGCAAGCTCAAAGCAGTCGTTCTTTGTTACGTCGATTAGACTGGTTCAAACCCGTCAACTACCGGGAGTTTTCTCGGTTATACAACATTGGGCTTAAATATCGATACTTCACGGGGCACAATGTCTCTGAGACTTAGATATGCATGCTCACCATTCTTTATTGATTTTTTGCTCTGTCGTTGGCTGGGGTAAGTGGCGACCCTGAATCGGTTATCTTTTAACTTGCCGCTATCACCCAGCAAGCAATTCTACTTCTACTACTTCAAGTTGTAAAAGATGTCTTCCGTATTCATGTCTCTTCCTCCGAGTCGTTTGAATCATGAGCACCTGCGTTACCGCTTTGCAGAGCTGTCGGAGGGGCCACAAACTACAACGCTATTCAGAGACAAATTGCAACGCGTTTGAAATACTTCACATAATGTGGTGGCCCGCAGGATTCATCGATTGTCCAGATTCCTCGAGAAAGGTTGCGTTGACAATCCTCCAGGAAATCGGTGACTTCCTTGAGTTTAGCGGTAATGTGCTGGTTAATCTTGGCTTGCCAAATCTTCGAAACGACGGGAACCGCCTTGGAGATTCTACGAGCAAGGGGGAATGTGGCCTTCAACGACGAGCAACCGCGCCATTCAGCTTCAAGCGCAAGGAGCAGCATTTCCACGTGATGAATGTCGTCTGAACAGGGCAGCTAATATTATGTGTTGTTGACGAGTAAGGAGACAATCGTCACCTTCAGGGTAAGTTTCCGCCGCTTGATAGTAGTACTGGGCGGCGAGAGCATATTCGTCTTCGGCCTTGTCCAGGACTGGTGATTCTCCATTCGAATCCTCACCCAGCTCTTCCGAACGACGCTGAAGTGCAAATCCGCGACGCATATGGACCCAACCAAGAGCACTGTCAACGGGAGTGTAAGAGCGAATCAGATCAGGCATTGATCATGACAGCGCACGAAATTGCCTCAGCTAATGGATAGGTCCAAAACGCGAAGAACCCATAGCCGTTGAAAGCCGTCGGCCGCTCACTTGCTTCGGTCTCGCTTTTGAGTTCAAGGGCCAGATTTTCGATGTCCTCCAAAGTGTAGTTGCCTTCGTGGTCACCGATCTGAGGAGATTTTGACGCCGGTAATTATGAAGCAGGTAATGACGCACGGTCAGTATATTTTGCAGACGCAAAGTGCGTACGCCCCGGAGAATGGTGGCTTCGAAAATAGACCCACGATCCTAGAATCAAAATCAGACAGTCTGGCGATCGACGTATACTTAGTGTAAGGACCACCGACTTCTCTTGGAACGTTTGGGTATTTTCGACGCCCCCACTCGATTACATCTACGGCTCGCTTATAAAATTCATCGGCCTGTGCCTCCTGCCCCATGTTGGAGTTCATGAACGCGCGAAAAATCCAAGCCCTTATGGTAATTGCTATTGCTGGACGGACCGCAGCCCAATTCGATTCCTGCAACTTCCTGGGGATGTCCTGCATGATCTGTGTTGGACCACTTGACGGCCAACCTTTAGAATTTTCGACTTCAGCCCGTACTGTGACGACATTAGATTGATTTGGAGCGAAGAACCTCTGTGGCCTACTTTGTCGGGTGAGTTTCTCGAAGAAGTCGGGAATATCCGCATGAAATGCGCGGGGGTCGCAAAGTATACCGTTGATGAATGGTTCGAGAACCTTTTCCCTCTAATTCAACCACAACCGAAAGGATCAAGTGGTGCACGCACTTTGCCCGCGGGTATGACCATCACCCCATTGGCACGAGGGGTTATCGAGATCCTCCTTAGGTTGTCGAGACCAGGCTTAAACTCCTGATTATGGGTTGATAAGGTTGACAATACTGCAGAAGGAACGAACTGTGTACGCTTGAATGATAACATGACCCTACGATGAGCATGAGTTGATGATACAATTACATGAGGAAAGATCGTTACGCTGCTCTGGCCAGGCCCAGGAGGAAGAGTGCCGTTCTCTAGCATTGCTATCGCTCGAGTCCATGGCAATTGTCTTGTACTGAACTCGGTTCGGAAGCTGTTTGTCGCGAGTTTCACTTCGTGGTTGGCATTTTTGGACCTTGCGGCCTCAGATTTAGCTCGGTAGATAGCTTTCTGCGTCGCATCTGAGGTCAACTCCGACATCTTTGACCATGCCTCGGAGGAGATGGCCCACATGTCGATTGCCTGGCGCATGATTGGTTAAGTTGAACTTCCTGCACCAAGTACTAGTACTCACATCAGCAGCAGTGGCGACACGGATGAAGCCCTTTGCGTAGGTTGGATCTGCCGTTGTAGCCTAGAGGACCAATAAGATCACCAAATTGCTGGGCTCGTCAGTGCTTGCCTGTCGACCATCATGAAGTGCGTCCAGATAACTTCGGACTGGTCAGACGAAATGCTGAACATAGAATAGGTGACTTACTTCTTGAGATTCAAGGACGATGCGGCACGATTTGCGAAAAGAATAGCCAATGTTCCCGTGTCTGCAGGGTCGCAAACATTGATGGCTTGTGTATACTTCGAATGTGCCGCCTTGAAGTCATTTTGCTGGTGAAAGGTGTTGCCTTCAAGCTTCAAGGCGTTAACAACGTCGGAGTTGTTGCTCATGGTGAACGAAAACAAGCGAAAATAACGTGGTGTGATCAGGTTGAACACTCTTTGTTTTGATGTCGACAGTTGAGGAAGCGTCAGAGACTCTGAATCAATCCTTGCACCATTTAATCTCACACAGCTAGACGATACAAATGCGGTCGAGAATATCTAAAATGTGGTTCACGAAGCTCGTGGGGCGTGGTGGAACTGGAAAAAAGGTATTGAGGGAAGTCTTGAACAAGGGAAGAAGTGCTCGTACAATATCTCGTAGTTGTGCTTGAGCGTCGTTGAACTGCTTCTCCAGGTATTTGGACTGGAAGGTGTTAATGCGTGAAAGATAGCCATTGGCATTCCCTGGTTACCTTTTTCGCCAGGCTGGCGATATCGTCTGTCAGCTCCTTCTCCTGACTCTTCAACTCGTTCTCCATCTCTTTCCTAGGAACACCCATGAACCTATTTGCTGATTAGCGCCTCAACAAGTACGGCCGACAAGATAATACATCTTCCCCACTCCTCTGTACAGGTTCACATCGCCCTTGATGCCCGTTATTTCGTCGATCGTGAGTTGAAGAATTCGCCGCTCTCGTTCTTTGGCACTGGATTGTTGTACAGAGAGGGAGTGGGCTCTCTGAGATTGAACGGCCGTTTGTTGGATTTGAACCAAGATCTGGGGTTATGTGTGCCTTGAGAGGACTGGCGACGGCAGAGAGCAAAGCCTCTCAACCTTTCTGAGTGTCTCGTCGGGCAACGACATCGTTTTGGTCGGGGTACCGCCGCGTGACGGTCACACTTTCGCTCTTGACGCGAATTTTGTTCAACGCGTCTCGGCGCTGACTCTCACCTTCACCAACCCATCCCACTTCTTCACATGGCGTCTTTTGAAGACTACGATGAATTCGGGAACTACATCGGCGCTGACTTGGACTCAGATGAGGAGGATGACATTCCCCAACAACAATCGTTTGCGCCTCCACCGCAGGCTGCACCACTGGAGGGCTATGAAGACGACGACCCAATGCAGGGAGGAGAGCAAAGCGCATTGATGGAAATTGGTTCGTGTTCTTCGTTAGCAGGCATGCTCATCCTGTTCAATAGTTTTTGGCAGAGCCGATTCACAACGCTGTCGTATTACATGAAGACAAACAATACTACCCGTCAGCCTCTGATGTCTACGGCGCAGATGTGGAGACTATGGTGCAAGAGGAGGATGCCCAACCATTGACCCAACCTATCATCGCGCCAATAAAAATACGAAAATGGAATGTGGAAGAAAAGGATATGCCAGAGACTCGTTTTGACAAAGGGTGTGTCCTCCTTCAGAACACGCTCTATGGTTGATAGAACTCGCGGCTAGGTTTCTGTTGAACATGACCGCTTTCCCTGATATGATTCGCAATGTTGCTGTTGTGGGGCACCTCCATCATGGAAAGACGGCGCTTATGGATATGCTCGTTCTCGAGACGCACAAACTTGTGTGGGATGCCGACCATCCAGTTAGCTTTCGTGTTCACTCCTCAACATTCTACTGACCAAATTCAGTTGCGATATACCGACACGCATATTCTGGCAAGGGAACGCGAAATCTCCATCAAGTCCTCCCCAATGTCCCTGATACTATCAACCACTGCGGGGAAGTCCCATCTCGTGCATTTTATCGACACCCCTGGTCATGTCAATTTCGTTGACGAGGTGGCCTCTGCTATTCGATTGGTGGATGGTATTGTGTTGGTTGTTGACGTGGTGGAAGGGGTATTGTCATTGTCTGAGTTTTTATTTCTGAAGCTAATACATTTACAGCTAATGGTCGGCACCGAAAGCATCCTGCGACACGCGCTCCAAGAAAACATCAAAATCACGCTTGTTGTCAATAAACTGGACCGACTTATATTGGAGCTACGGATAAAGCCTGCCGACGCGTACTACAAAATCAAGCACACCATTGAAGAAATCAACACTTTCATCGCGTGCGTTATTGGGGAGGCAAATGTTCCAGTATATTGAATCCTTACTAGGTCTATCGACCCGGACCCAGAGCTCCGTTTAAGCCCCGAAAATGGCAATGTTTCGTTCGCTAGCACGGACATGACTTGGTGCTTCACTCTGCGCTCGTTTGCTCAGATGTATGCAGACACTTTTGGTTTGTAATCTGCTCATATAGCCCCCCACCATTTGGTGATATTACGTATCTAGGCTCTCTCGACGTCCGCTCTTTTGCGGACCGACTTTGGGGCGATATCTACTTCAACACCGACACCCGGAAATTCACACGGAAGCAGGCAGATCCCGAATCACAACGCACCTTCGTACATTTCATTCTGGAACCACTCTACAAGCTGTATAGCAACGTCTTAAGTGAGGAAACCGACATGTTGAAGGACACTCTGGGAACGCTGGGCATTCATCTGAAGCCTGTAATGTACAAAATGGACGTGCGACCGCTGCTCAAGGTTGTATTGGCGCAATTCTTTGGCTCTGCAACCGGCTTGGTGGATATGATTGTCGAGCATATACCTTCACCTATAGAAGGAGCGGAGAACAAGATCGAGGGCACATACAGTGGCCCCCAAAGCTCGGATTTGGCGCAGTCAATGCGGGCATGCAATCCCGATGGCCCTCTAATGGTTCAAGTCACCAAGCTATATCAGACGACAGATGCCCAATCATTCCGTGCATTTGGCCGTATCCTGAGCGGGACGATGAGGAAGGGCGTGCAAGTCAAGGTGCTTGGGGAAGGCTACTCACCGGAGGACGAAGAAGACATGATGAAGGCCACCGTTGAAGATGTTTGGATAAGCGAGTCCAGGTACTACATTCCAGCAGAAGAAGTCCCTGCAGGCAACCTCGTACTTCTCGGTGGTGTTGATGCCTCAATCATCAAAACGGCCACGATTGCCGGCGTCGACATCGACGACGACCTCCATATCTTCCGACCACTTAAACATATGACGCAGTCGGTTCTGAAAATCGCCATAGAACCTATCGCACCGTCCGAGCTGCCCAAAATGTTGTCTGGGCTGCGAAGCGTCAACAAATCGTACCCACTTGTGTCGACCAAGGTCGAAGAAAGCGGAGAACATGTCCTGATTGGGACGGGCGAACTTTATCTCGATTCAGTTATGCACGACCTACGGAAATTGTTCTCGGAGATCGAGATCAAGGTTTCGGACCCAGTTACCAAGTTCAGCGAAACTGTGCTGGAGACAAGTGCGCTAAAATGTTACGCGGATACGCCCAACAAAAAAGTATTCATTCATTTTCCTATATGCGAAGCTAATGTGGCCCAGAAACAAAATCACGATGATTGCTGAACCTTTAGAAAAGGGAATCGCAGAAGACATCGAACGAGGTCGCGTGAACATGAGGATGACGCCGAAAGAGCGGGGTACTTTCTTCCAAGAGAAATACCAGTGGGATTTGCTTGCGTCCAGGTCAATATGGGCATTTGGACCAGATGAGAACGGCCCGAACATTCTGCTCGATGACACATTACCTTCCCAAGTGTGTATAACCAACTCCAATCGCTGCAACGCCTCACAATTTTCTCAGATAGACAAAAAGATGCTGTTTACTGTCAAAGACCACATCAGGCAAGGCTTCCAATGGGGAGCGCGAGAGGGTCCGCTATGCGACGAGCCCATGCGGAACGTAAAATTCCGGCTGCTTGATGCCAGTCTCGCTCAAGAGCCGATTTTCCGTGGAGGCGGGCAAATCGTTCCAACCGCTCGACGAGTCTGCTATTCATCGTTCTTGATGGTATGCATACTTAAATATCGTTGACCAGCCCGAGTTAATTTCTCTTAGGCTGCGCCACGTCTAATGGAGCCCATTTACTACGTGGAAGTACAGGCTCCAGCAGACTGTATCTCGGCTGTTTACACTGTGTTGGCCCGAAGAAGAGGGCACGTGACGCAAGACATTCCCAAAGCCGGATCCCCACTTTACACCGTCAAGGCGCTCATTCCCGTCATCGATGCAAATGGATTTGAGACCGACTTGCGGACCGCTACGCAGGGTCAGGCGTTCTGTTTACAGGTGTTTGATCACTGGGCGGTTGTGCCAGGCGCGTTCTGTCACAGACGGGTGGTTGTGATGCTGATATTGATGGCAGGTGACCCGACGGACACGAGTATCAAATTGCGCCCACTGGAGCCTGCCTCAGGGCAGGCGCTAGCGCGAGATCTAGTGCTCAAGACCAGGCGGAGAAAGGGGCTTGGTGAGCAGATTGCCGTGTCCAAGTATCTGGACGATGAGTTTGTGGTGAGTTGCATTTGGTTGTTTCCTGGCGAGAGACTATGCTGATCTTGCACAACAGCTCGCGTTATCTGCATCGGGACACGCAGACCTGCTTGGATAGGACGTGTATTTGTGTAATTCTAACCAGTCTTTTGGACCTTCTAAAACTGGGTGTTGATTCTCGTGGCATGGCCGGCAACCACCAATGGCATCAACGAAGGTCGCATCACCTTGCGCTGCAACAAGGACTTCAGACCTTTGCCTTTGTGTTGCTCTCTGAATCGTTTTTTCATAGTTTTTATGGTATTTCTATGAGTCGCGACGCTGGCACGATTCCCCACCTCCAAACTACACAACAAGTGGATAAAATGAGAGATAATGGTTTTTGCGACAACACAACCTGCTCCTCTAATACATCCTCACGCCCAGCGGCCAAACGAAGCAGAAAGCAGAATATTTACTTCCGCTTCTTGAGGGGGGCAATGCTGCTGTTGCTCTTCATGGCGGGGACGGGGACGGCGGCAGCTTGCTTGAGCTCAATGTCCTCCTGTGACTCCTTGTTCTGGGGGACGACACAGCCCACGAGGGTACCGAGGAAGCCGAGCACGATGAAGAAAGCGCTGAAGAAGACGATGGCGGTTTCGGGGTAGGTTTGGGCGGCAACGAGGGGGTCGACTTTGGCAGCCTCGATGAAGATCTCGGCTTTGGCCCGGAGAGGCTCTATTCTCGAGACGTCGATGTATTGGGAGAGGGTCTATGTGGATGGTTTGAGTTTGTGTGTGGTCAGCTAGACGACGAATTGGGACGGACCTGGAGCATGGGGTGGACGTCACTGGACTGGGCGAGGACACCAACGGTGGCGAGGGCGACGATGAAGAGGGCTGCGTTGCGCATAGTAGTCCGAAATGAGGAGAGCACGATGGGGTGGGTGTGGTAAAGAGAATGAACTCGACCAAACCGAACAGCGGGCTTTTCTTATGCATTGATATCAGTCGCAGACAAAAATCGGAGATGTGATGTATAGCGATCTGAGGCCAGATGAAGTATCATCGAGTCGCCGCTGGTCAGGCGACGCAGCGGAAGGGTCCCTCGAGAAGCTAACAACAAAAGACACGTCGAGAGCTGGTTGTAAGTCGATAAACGCGTTTAGGCTGGTGGTAGGATGTGTTAGTATGGTTGACACGCAGAAATGCGCGTGTTGCTGATAACAGATCCGTGGGGTTGATGATGCCATTCAATTAACGTGTTGAAGCCGCGGTAAGCGGTCTAGGCGATAAAATAACCAACACACCAATCAGCGCGTCTGGATTATTACTTTCCATGGTGGCTGTTAGACTAGAAGTCTTCGAGAACACTCTCTAGGTCGACCGCGATACTTCAAGGTAGAGTGCAACATCAACCATCGGAGCACTCATCTTACATACTCGTTTTTGGGTTTGTTCTAGACGTTTCTACGGACAGTCACGTGGTCGCGATGAGCTGACTGATCATCATCACATTCTGCGTTTGCTCTCTACTTCCACTCAATGGCCACAGCCGCTCAATATGCGACCGAAGAGACAGGCTGCGATTGCAAGCTGCCACCATGAATAACAGGGGCGATCATATCGATAGCGTGAAAAGGGCGGCTGAGATACGGCCAGTTTTGGATAACCTCGAACGACGATGTCCAGCACCAATTTGCAAGTTGCTTGTGTCGTCGCGTTTTATATGTGCGCTGCGCTTGTGGTACGTCGTCGTCTCTATTAGTTGTGTGGTTTTTGACCCCACTTTTTCAGATGGTCTTCGTCAACAAGACTGTTATGAACAATGAACCAGACCTGCCCCTTGTTTTCCTGCTCCTCCAACTCGTGATTGCGGTCGTTCTGCTCCATGTCTCTGCCCTTGCTTCCAAATCTGTCGAGATACCCAAAATCACGCTGGATGCGGCGAAGAAACTTTTCCCAGTGGTTTTTGTCAATATTGTCTGCCGAACCACTTCTCCGTCTTTTCTACTGCTGACATGGCACTAGACGGGACTCACATTCAATCTCCTCTGTCTGCGTGGCGTTGAAGCAACCTTCTTCCAAATCGCAAGGGGGCTTGTTTTGCCACTCACCATCTTGTGCTCTTGGATGTACGATCCTACCAGTGGAGTCAGCAAAAATGTCATTACAGCCAGCGCAATCGTCACTGGAGGATTCTTCCTCGGTGTACTGCCCAACTCCACCATCCCTGCAACCTCGACACCATCCTTCATTTCGCTCTTCTATGGCGTCCTCTCCTCCCTTTTCATCGCCGTCCACGCAGTTCTTATCAAAATAAGTCTGCCATATTGTCAGAACTCCACAATCCAACTGGCATGGTGGACGAACGCGGGCTCCGCCCTCCTATTGCTTCCTGTCGTCGCAGTTACAGGGGAAATATCTGTTCTCCAGGGCAAGATCTACGATTCACAGTGGAATGGGAATACCTTCCTCTACGGAAGTCTGATTACGGGTGTTTTCGGTTTTCTACTTTGTCTTGGTGGGTTCCGCGTTATCAGCTCTTGCATTTCCGCACTGACGACGAGGCTGATAGCTGGGTTGTTGTCGATTCGAGTTACCAGTCCTGTCACACACATGTTCAGCAGTGTATGCCCATTTTTTTATTCCCACCCATTCTGTCAAATATTAATTCACTCTTAGGCAGCGCGCTCGGTGCTTCAGACAATTATCGGGGTGGCGTATTTTGGCGACCTCATAAATATGTGTGTTGAAGCCATTCTCGACGTCGAAATTTGGACATGCCAGTGCTGACAACTGAATAGCAATCGCGCGACGTCCATACTTGTCATTCTCGGAGGGACCATGCAAGTCTTGGTTTGATGTGCGATAGCCTCGACTAACTGAAACCCAAGGTTCTATACCTGGATCAAGTCGGCTGAAGCCAAGAAGCAACCGCCAGCAGATATCGAGGCATTTAACGGGGCCAAGACGGAGCGAGAGGCCCAAATCAAAGAGTAGTTTCACCGGCTACCGCTTTTCCTCCGTTTTATTTTTGGAAATATAGCTGTCACTGCATTTGCCCCTACTTTGTGCCCCCTTGTCTCCGGGATAAATAACCGGGTTGTTCAATGCTGTCTAATTTCGCCCTTTATCCCCAATGCCTCCCATTCTGCGCCGTGTCGACTCCCAATCCTCCGATGATACCCTCGTCGGCAGACAAAACCATGCTCTCGAGCGCCAGCTTGGCGACACCGAAGCGTCGTACTTCTTGCCCTCGCGTGAGAGTGGCGTGAATGACATGTATGTCCCCTTTCTCAAGTAATCGGGTCCTCGAAAATTTCCCCCGTAGGTATCTACATCTTGGTTTCCGCACCAATGTCTCCACCATGGCCCGAGCCCGTGTCGCTCTCGTGTGGGCTATTCTCCGCCTGCGCCATCCCCTGCTCGCGGCAAAAGTGGACATGCTCGATTATAACGACATCCGATTCGTGTATGACCCTAATTGGCTGTTCTCACTCCCGGCTAACCGTGTGTAGGTACAACCCACCAGAGTCCGTAGAAGACGCGCTCGAAAATGCCGCCAGTACTCTCGAGTACCGCTCGCAGAGCAAGGACGAGCTCATTGACGCGTACCTGAATGGACCGAGAACGCTGTCGAATGAGCGCTTATCATATCTTATCGTGGGATCTCGGGAATCCTCTGAGGATTTTGACCTGTTGATATGCGCGACGCATTTCCTCGGCGATGGAATGGCGCTGCACCAGTGTGCCAACGACTTCTTTGGTCTCCTGAGCGAGCAGGCGAGCCTGGAAACTATTTTGGAGGATGAGTGGGAAAATTGGTGGGGTAGCAAAACCAAGGTTAGCCACAACCTCATACTGCACAACCTTTGCTTACCGGGATCTAGATGCCGTCGCAACTCCCTGAACCTTTGGAAACGCGATTGCCACCCTTGCCACGAAGCAAGTTCCACCAAGCAGTGCGACGAGTGGATTTTGAAACTGCGCAGTCGAAGCTCATTGTCAGTACTTTTTTTACGCGTATCAGCCTACCTTATTTAACTTGCTCCGAAGGGCGGCCAATCGTTCCCGCGTCGGTCCGGCCATGCGCGCAAGACAGTTGTCCCGACAACCAGCTTCGATGGAGACAAGACCAAAGCCATGCTGAAGAAATGTAAGGCCCACGGCGTCTCCATCAGTGCCGCGCTCTTCAGCCTTTGCAACTACGCATGGGCGAGGACGGTGGACGACCGGAGCCAGCCAACGTACGTGTTGTTCTTCCTGTACTATTCTTCTTTTCAATGCGCAACAGGATGATGTACTCGGCCCTGAATTTACGGCCAACTCTCACCGCGAGCGCAGCGCTCAACGACACGTACTGGTTCCTCGCAATTGGCTACTTCAATGTTGTCCTCCCGACATTCTTTCCCGAAGAGGCGGAGAAGACATTCTGGCATCGAGCCCGGATGGCCAAGAGCCAGAGCACAAGGGCCGCCAAGACCCCAATGCTTGTCTCGCGGAGCATGGAGATGGCCAGGGAGCGGGGCGAGCGCGCGCGGGTGTGGGCGAGAGAAGACGACGAGAAGGCGTTGGGGATATGGAAGCCTTCGCCGCCACATAACCAACAACCTGAGCCCAAGAAAGCGAAAGCGCCGTGTGTATGTTTGATCGGACTGAGCTTGCTGGGTAATATTCAACTCGTGCCAGAATAATACGATGCTGACCCTCGGCCTCCAGGCAACCTAGACGGGATATATAAGCACGATCGCTTCCCCCATATCAAGCTCCACACGCTCACAACAGGCTCGCGACAGCGGGCTGGGGGTATGCTTTTGTTTGGTTACACATTCTGTGGTAAGCTCGCCGGTTCGAGAAAGACTCCAGAATAACCTTTTCACAGGGAAACTGTGGCTTAGCCTCGGTTACGATGAGAATGGGTTCGAAACTTCCTCAGTTCAACGCTTCTGGAATAATCTCAACAACGCGGCGGACACTTTCTTGGTTTAGATAGTCTCAGGGTACTTAGTGTTAATATGTAGGTCTCGTTTTATTGTACTACTAGTAGCAGTTTGGTGACCATGAAACTAGAATATTAATCGGGGAGAACATCAAGTAAAGTACATGGCAGATCGTAAGTTATGGTCGCGAGGTATGGATCAAGGTATCGCTGAGAAAGACAACACAAATTATCATTACCGTAAAGTATTCCGTCATCTAGCAATACTCGTACACAGGGGTCGAATAGGGATACGCGTTATTCGGGACGGCAAGTCGGGTTTGCCAGTGTTGCTGCAGAATTTGAGAGGGCTGCGGTGGGTAAATGATCGGGGAAGTCCACACTAAGGGTTGGTGATGCTGAAGCGGCGCATTGTTGACAACGAAATGTGACGGTTCAGAGTAGCGACGATGAGCATCACGGCGATGGATGGACACAATTCGGCGAGGAGCAGGAGCAGGTTTGATATTTTCCTTCAGTTTCATGGATGTTGTCTGCGAGGAGGCAGGGAGGGGTACTCGCGGGGGTTCCTGATGATGGAGAGGAGCTACATCGTGGCGTTTTGCAGGCGGAGCAAGAACATCTATATTGATGCTCGCGTTGACTGTATCGTAGAAAGAGGTACGATCTTGTTGAGAAAAGATGCAAATGTCGTGGAGAGAAACGAAGCGAGCGGGTGGAGAATGAGGAACGATAACGTCGGCAGAAGTAACTTCGAGATCAAGGAGGTCTTCCAAAGCGAAAAGAGGGTCATCGTGTGTGGGTGCAGGGTCCAAAGCATGGTCGAGATATTCAACAAGTTCATCGTGGTAGATGGGTGCCGCTGGTAATTCGTCTTGGGAGAGTTCGCAGTATTCGTCAACGGACACGAGTTCGTCCGCGTAATCGTCTGGCAGGGCTTCTGATTCGGGAGTTGGATGTAGAACTTCGGCAAAGGTCTCCGCAGCTGGGATTGGAGATTGACCAAGAGATTGACACTGAGATTCAGACGCTACAGGAAGTACTGGAGGTGGGGTAACACTCTTGACTCGGATGGCGGGAGTGTTGATGATTTTGCGTCGTTTTGGAGGCTTAGGGGCGACAGAGGTCCGGAAGGTTCCGAGGGTATCTGTGAACTCCGCTGGCGGGATGTTTTCTTTTCCGGGTTTGTTATTCTTGCGTGAAGCGGTTGCGGTCACTTTCCGAGAGAGATTGAGATGCTTGTCTTCTTTCGCGACCCGAAGGCCTGTATAAGACATCAATGTCAAGAATTGGTTGAAAGAACAAGCGAACACACCTCTGGAGTGCAAGTAATCATAAATGTGGCGACGATCTATGTTATACTTCTTGACAAATTCTTGACGTATCTGAGAGGATTGGATACATGTTCAAAACAGTCTGAGAGTGGCGAGCCAAAAGCCTACCGCGAAAGAGGGCATTTTCGCACCGGGAACCAGAAACTTGTCAAGATCAGCTGTAAGGTCGGAGCCAAGGCGAGTGGCGAGCCTAAGTCGCGTGTTTCAGCCTCACTAATAGCGAGACAAGAATGGTTGGGCATACCGGTCTGGATCTATGCGACGCGGTTTCAGTTTTCCATTCGCGTCTAACGCTGTAGGATATGCGGCAGCTTGGAGGAGAGAGTCGCGTTTTCGCTTTTTGGAAGGAGGAGATGGGGATTCGCTTGAGTTGTACATGAGAAGAAGAGGCGACGCAAAAGAAGGAGATGGCGGGATGCGATAAGAAGGTTGTGTGACGTACGCTGCGTTACGCGAATTGACAGCCGACGATTGCAGATGATTTCGGACAGTTTCGGACATTTACATCTTCTTGAGCAGTATTCTAAGCCATATCTGGTATACTTTAACTTCAAATATACCTTGCCATCAAGTCATCAAGATGCTCCATCGTTGTTAGGCAACCATAGCGCGCTCACACGCTACCACTGACATGATTTTCTTGGATTTTTCTGCACTCACTTGGTTCTTCCCATTCCGCGACCACTCCGCGACCTAAATTCTAGACGGACGGCTGCCGGAGGCCATATGAAAAATGCTTCGGCGGCAACGCTCGCTCACTGCTCTCATTCAACCACCGCCTGAGGTCGAAGAAGAAGAGTACCCGCCCCCACCAACTGGTCTGACGCGTGCGACACTGCGTATCAAGACCTTGCCCACCCCAGCACCGACTGGCACTCCAGGAAAGAAGGGTCTCCTCTCCACCGAGACTCCCGTCGGTCATCCTAAGGATGGCCTCATTCACCGAGTGTCTTCGCTCTTCAGAAACACGTCGGCCACGGCGAAACTTGGTGTGCATTATATCTCGCTTTTAAACTCCATTTATCCTTCGTTACCCTTAGGTTCTCCCTCAAGCTCCCAGTACAAAGCCACAGCCTCGAATTCAGAGATTCACGTCGTTGCTGGTGGGAAACTCGTCAAACGGCCGTCTGCCAGGCGGAACACGACTGCTGCCACCCAACCAGAGAAGGACAGGCTACGGGAGGTTGCAGTTACTCCACAGAAAAAGACAGCGAAATCTGTCAAGTCGAGCAAGTCCACCATGAGCATCTCGTCGACATTTGGCTTCAAGTCCAATTCATCAACTGCCAAAACGACGCCTGCCTCCCCCGGTCATAAATCGCTTCCCAATACCACATCGAGGGATGAGTTAGAGGATGATGAAGATGATATTCGCCGTCCATCGGACCTAGGGCGGACATCTTCCTTGCGTTCAACCAACAGCCCACTGGATTCGGAAGCTTTTGTTGAGGCCGATGTGTCAGGGGCTACTCCACAAGCAAAGGCTTTCCCAAACTTGTCAGAAGATGAAGATGAGGATGATGAGGAGGATATTCGACGACCATCTGGTCTTGGCAGAGCGTCATCAATGCGCTCTTTACTTGAGGACAGCCCAGAAGCGGACGAACTCGCTTCGAATCCTCTAGAAAACTACCCTAGGTCTCGCACACGCTCATCGCCAGCTGGAACATTGACGCATCTCCACCAGATGCTCGGTCTTGCTCCTCCACTGCTTCCAGTTAATCGAATCGCCTCAACAGTTACTCCTTCAATATGGCATGCTATCTTCAAATATCTCTCCCTCTCAGATTCTTCTCGTTGCTGTTTGGTCAGCAAGACTATGTGCGAGGGGGCCAGAAGTAGGATATATAGCGTTCTGGACCTCAGGTTAAGCCGCGAAAAGACGCGATCGCGTCTTGCGGACTCGATTCGTTCACCACACCTTGCCGCACTTGTTCAAGGTGTGATCTGCCTGGGCTGGCCATCACTAGGGTTTGAACAGGTTTGTCATTTTGTGGTGAACATTTCCCCAGTTCTCACTTTTCTTCTTCTTCAGCTGCAATTGTCGTCCTTGCGCAGCTTGACAGTATTTTCGCCGCAAACAATGCCCCCTCTCGATTTCCTTTCCTTGAGCACTTTTCTGCGCGAACATCGAACCCTGGAGCGTTTGGCAATCATTGGGGATACAGCAAGCGACGAACAAGTTCTTTCAGAGAACCCCGACACATCTTATGTTCCATTCCTCCCGAATTTAACACACCTTCATGCGCCTCCAGCAATAACCTGTGTCCTATTAGAACGAATGGCTACTTCTCCTCCCACTCTTCCTGCATTACCCACAGTCATTGAGACGCCTCGGAAAAGACTTCTGTCTGCAGAGGCTCTGGCGCTGCTCTCGCCGGATGCGCCATCGCCCAAACGTTCGTTCCGGGACAAGAAGATACCAAGAAAGCCTGTCCCTCAACATTTTCTTTCAGAAGGCGGAGTCGTCGAATTAAAGCGTCCGGTCAGCATAAACTTGACGAGAACATCCTACGTTCCTGCTTCACCTGGCAGCAATCCGCCTACACCACCACATCCATTACGTGTTCTGCGAATTGCGATGCCCCGGCCATTATATGAGACCATCTCCTCAGGAGCAGTCGGCGGAGCACGTATTGGCCGCGCAATTGCCAGTTTACTGGCAAGAGGCGGGCAATCAAATGTCACCAGCAAGCGGGAACTCGCTTTGCATATAATGCTTGGCCCGCGAGTTGACAAACGGACCATGGAGAAAGTCTTACGAACTATCGGAACTGGAATTAAAGATGGGTTGGATCCGGTCAAAGTGTCAGGGAGTCTCGCACTTTTAGAGGTTCGGAGTTGTGTTCGAGTCACCGATGTAAGTTCTCAGCTTGGTTTATTGAAATTTCGCTGACTGTCTCCAGTTATACAGAACCATCACTACGATCATTCCGCGTTATCCAACACTGCGAACCCTTCTTCTCACACGACTCACACGTCCTAGTATCACCATCGCAGCAGAATCTACTCCACCATCACCTGCTTCATCAACATTTTACTTCCCCTCGCCTCCTCCCACTCCAGGATTCGCGAGTTCATCACTTCGACCTCCTCCCTCACCTTCGTTCTCTATTCATCCCCCACCAAGTCCTTCATTTGCTGCTGCACAAGCACTGCCACTTCCTCCATCGCCTCCGATCCAAACTCTCTCGCCATCACCCTCCTCGATTTATGCTTCTGCTCCGTCAACTCCGACATCACTAGCGCCTGCCACACCCAACTATCGCCGTAGCTCTATCCAACTGCTCCCACCTGGGTTATTGCCCCCTCTCAGCCCGCATGGGTCCACGTTCTCACGACAAACAGCCACCAAACCGACCTGGACCTGGGAATGGGACGGCTGGCAAGACGCTGGTGATGTCTTGAACGACGCGGGGATCAACCACTGGGACGATGAGCGAGAACGGCTATATCTTGACGATGCTGTGATCGACTCGTTTGGTTATGACGCCGAAAGCAGCAGCGACTTTGCCGGCCTCGATGACCCGGATGTCACGGACGTGATTTCACGAGAAGACGCTCTACGCGTCGCAGTCTGGCGGCGGCATTGTCCCCCGCTGGAACGCGTGCGCATGGTGTCGGGTGCGTGGTGGGTGAATGACGATTAGCAGTGATCACGCATTCTCTCTCTCTCTCTCTCTTTCGTTGGGTGACAAAAAGTATCCTTATTGGCTGTCAAGTGTACTCTCAACCAGACGACGGTGTCTGTGCCACGCTCGTTTCTGTCTGCTCTCCTCCACCCTTGCATTTTCCACTCGGAGCCACAATCACTACCTCTACTGCACATTTACTTCTCTGCATATAGCGTTTAAATTCTTCAAGTTTACACTACTGTATTTATAGCCCATGCATTGTGCCATACCCTCGCCTTTCTTACGTAGACTACACTCGTTCCATTCGTCTTGAGGAAATGAACGGTATGAAGAAGAAGACGCGTCGCGGTGTTGCTCAGAATCTTCTCTTGGCGTAAATCATAGTACACACGCAAAAAGTACCACAGGACGAGACAACTTTCAATTTTTTACATGAAACGGGACAACAAATTACCATCTCCCAAGCAGCCCATATATCTGACCTCGACCCCCATGGTATCTTCCAGCGAAAACGAACCACCATAGTCAAGCCCAATTATTGTCGCCACTGGGATGAAATCTCGACAAAAAATGAGACTCACCGAACGACCATCCCAAGCAACCCATATATCTGACCTCAACCTCCTACCCCCACAGCGAAAACGATCAAGCCCAATTATTGTCGTCGCCACTTGGATGAAATCTCGACAAAAAATGAGACTCACCGAAAGCAGCCCATATATACGATCTCCCAAGCAGCCCATATATCTGACCTCGACCTCCGACCCCCCATGGTATCTTCCAGCGAAAACGAACCGCCATGATCAAGCCCAATTGTCGCCACTCGGATGAGATCTCGACAAAATATGAAACTCACCAAACGACCAAGCAGAAAGTAGCCCAGAACGAAGCACTAGAACAAGCCAGAAGATGTCCAGATATGTGGCGAACGATCGGCGCTGGCCCAACAGAGCGTCGTAGTTCTCCACGTGCGGTTCGTCCAGGACGTAACTCAGCGGAAATTATCGACACCAACAGGAGTTATATGGCCGGAAAAATCATCGGCTTCCTGCAAGCAGGTGGCCTGTTCGCGTCTCCTCCAACTCGAGAGTCGCTTTAAAGCAGGTAGGACCAAGTCAAACTACCTCCCGGGCACCCTGGCGCCGCAGTCGTTGCCTCGTGCCACCGAGTTTTCTATCCAGGCTGCTTGGTGGGCAAGACAACGATGTGTGCGCGAGATGGCGGGGTCTCTCTTGAGAGAAGTCGAGACTACATAGGGATGTGGGCTCAAGGTCTGTGTAGCGCAGGCTTGATCAGCGGTGGTCGAGTGGCCAGACTAGAGGGTGTCGATAAACATTGCCGTCAGAAGTGGTCGAAGTAGCTGCAAGTGGTGGCTCGAAGTAGTCGTGTCCCTCAAGACCAAGAAGGTGGTGGTAAGAGAGAGAAAGCAGGAGTGGCCTCGTCACACAGCGGGCAGTCACATTTCAAGCTGTTTCCGGTCTGAGACCTGGACTCGGCAAGGCTTCACCTAATTGTTTTTATTTTGCTTTACTTGACTTTGATTCGAGATTGCACTAGATTCAGCAGTTTGGAAGGCGCAACGCCATTGGCAATTGGCAACACGTAAAAAAATGGCAACACGTGAGCGCGACTCAGAGAAGTCACACTGTGACTGCGACGTCGACCTCTTCTCTTCCAGTCCTTCGTTGAAACGATCTCTCTCTCTCTCCAACAGGCTTGCGTAAACGAAAAAAGGAACCTCAGAAAGCCGTCTCAAATCACATACCAGTTCATATCAGTATCAATACTCTCAGTACCCTTTGCCGTTTGTCTTCTCGTCCATACATCGCATTATATTTCCTTTTCTTTGCCGCCATCAAGCATTCCGCGTGGCCATGAGCTCCCTGTCTACGCGTGCGGCGAACGAGACCCAAACAGGCACGTGTCTCCCTTTCTGCCGATGTAAAGCTTCTCAGTGCTCACCTTTGCCGCTCTAGCTGCTGACGCTTACCCCACCAACTTTAAGCCCAACTTCAAGCACGATTACAGTGTCACGGTCAACAAGCCCATGTCTGTCGTCTTTCCTGTCCTAGGGACAGAACAAGGCCTCAAGGAGACGATCCTTCTCTCGAAGATCGCGTCCAAATTCTCTGCAGGAAACCTCGATGTTGTTGAAGCCGACGGAGACATTGAGAAGGCCTTTGCGCGCACGCTTCCATCAAGCCCCGCAGGACAGGGTTTCCAGCGCCGACCTTTCTCTTACACAGAGACGATCCAAATAATTCCCGGTCTCTCCTTCAGCAACGTCGTGGTCAACCTCACTGGAACCTTCACGTGGGACCCGGAACGTCATGTCGCTCTCTACGAGACTACATCTAGTGTGTCCTGCATCTGATCCTGCTTCTTGTCGTGTTCACTCACATCTGTGCAGACTCCAAGGTCACCGTCCGCAAAACGCGCATCTTCACTGAGGCCGACGGCAAGACAACTGTGACGGAGCACATCGATGGTCAATGTTCCCCCCTCCAACAGCCAATTGTCCAGGTCGCCGCTGCATCGGCACACAAGAAACATATGGACCTCTACCATACGCTGTTCGAGTGACCAGTCTCGCTTGTTATTTTGCCAATAATACCTCAACTACATTAATGTCGTATCTTGTTGAAGCGTCAATGGTTGGCCGAAGCGAGTGAAACTTCGAAGTTCACCACTGCAATGCGCTGATTGTCCAAACATACCACGATATGTGCAATCAAAGGCGAACGAAAAACTGCTTTCTAAGCACCAGTAAATGACTTCGAACCAAGTCCACCCGTTCACACAAAAGAATAAGCATCGGAGATTGCAATTGCATTATGCACTAGTACTGCTACATCCACATTGACAATAATAGTCGTCTGCTGCCGAATGTCCCTAACTGCCCGTGCCCACCAGTCTTACGATCTTCGACTCGGATACTGCGTCAACTCGACGGAACAGCCGAGGGGCGCGCATAATGTCTTGCGAGAGCCAGGAATTCAACCAACTGTGGGCGAGAACTCGACTAGGCTTCCCCGCTCAATCCTGCGCAAGCAACCCCCGGACCGGTCTGGAATTGATCCGGCTTACGCATTGTCTTGCCCGAGATCTTTCTTGAGGATAAGACGCGCTTGAGGTCGGGGTGTCGGAACGGGCAGCAGGAGGAGGCGTGGACAGCGACGTGCAATGGATCTGTGAGTAGGTCAGCCAGCATCCCATAACTCGTGATGGACAGAACAAAGAAAAGAAGAAGAAATAGTAGGTGGTGTCGTTATTACCCTCCGTCCCCACACCCGATATATATTTTTTCTTTTTTTTTTGTGTTTCCCTTACGGAGCCCCGCCCGCGCGTAGCGTTGGATTCTCACACGGTCACTGCGCACAGGCCGATCCGAAACCGTAGCAATACGCGCTAAAGCAGTCGGGCTCTTGTCGATTCAGGCGCCTGGGGCAGATCGCTTTCGTGACGCGGATAGAGGATAAAGACACATTGAAGACCAAGAACCGACTTCTCGTATGAGATGAGTCAGCCGGTCTTCGTGTTTACTCCAGAGCCATAGTGCGCACTACTGACGTCCACCACAGGTTTCGGTTCAGCTTGATGCACACGTGTTTGATAGATGATGATGGTGTGGGGACGTGGGAGGGTGTTTGTGGGTGCGTGTGTTTGCGTGGAGAAATGGGTGGATAGCTGGCTGCCTACTCACATCGTAGAGGAACGCTGAGTGGTCGTTAGTATCTGTGAGAATGACAGCCCGAGGACACGTACCATGGCCATGAACTTGAGGGCGATGTGGTTGATGTTGTAGCCTGTTAGTGGGGAGGCATCTGCAAGCTAGTGAGGTCTTGATCAACGTTGATGACAGCGACAGAACATACGATGGAGACGACGACAAACGTCGTGGTCAGGTCAACGATGACCATGAGCAAGCTCAAGTCGAAGACAAGAGCAGAAGCATAGCTCAAGGTAGAGCAGCGAGGTAGAGCGAGGAGGATGAAGGTCGAAGGCAAGAGTGCTGAAGGAGGGAATCGTTCGAGGGCTGGCTTTTATACACCAAACAAGCGCCCATTGCCCCGATATATCATTCTGCGCTGACAAAAGAACGAACTGTCTAGAACAAGGGCAGCTGTTCATGTGGTCACTTGTGTGTGGACGCGTGTGTGGACGAGCATCGAGCACCCATTCAAAAGGCTGTTGAGCCCCAAAACAAGACAGAAGGTGATGGTTCGCGTCCACAGACTTATTGATGAGCTGCTTGTGATTGGGGGGAGCGTTCATGAAAAACGGCGTCTAGCTGATTATCTCCAGAAACGGGGGAATATTTTTGGGGCCCTCCGACTCAAAAGGAAAGCACAAGGGACGGAAAGCGGATAGGGCAGACCGAAAGCGTTATTAGTAGAAGCACTACAAGCTTGCCAAGGACGAAATAATCGCTGCCGAGGATAGGGAGATTGCCTGCACGGGCTTCAAGCTTGAGGTTGAGGAAGGGATTGCCAGCCATCATGATGATCATGATCTCAGGAAAACCGCCGGCTCTGTCTTGATAACATTCAACGACTAGCTGCTGGACAATAGTTCTCGGCTACTGGCCCTCCTCTTGCATGATTTTTTAACGCTTCATTCCCCTGGTGCACGAATTCGTTTGGCAAAGCCCCTCCTTTCCTCCCACCATCATGGACGAATTGCAATTGCATGTCGACACCGTCAACACCTTGAAACTCGAAGGCAACGACCTTTATAAGAAACAGGACTTCACTGCGGCGTAACCACGATACTTTCAAGTGGTGCGGGCGACCGCTCACCGTCGAATTCTAGGTCCCAAAAATATACAGAAGCGATAAACGCGTGCAAGGACAACAAGACTTTGGCTATTTTGCACAGCAACCGCGCTGCAGTGTCTACAAAACTGAATGAGTACACACAAAATCCCTTGGTTGCGCTGCAGTGACCTTCTCTTGCAGCTACCTGCATGCCATAATCGACGGCCAAACAGCCACGAAAGCCGACCCAGACTACATGAAGGGGTACATTCGTACGGGTACCGCAGCTAGCGTACGCTATCGCGACTATTTTTCCTATCCTTGTGCAAATAAACAAATCACAGGCAGTTGGAATGTGGGATGTGTCGCTTCGCTCGTGGAGGATGGCCTTGGGGCTAATTACCGACTCTGACCCACTGCTGAAAGTTATGTGTAAGGCCCATATCGATGCGGCAGAGGCAGCCCAAACGAAGCGTCAGAAGGAAATCTCGCGTGTCACCTACAAGCCTGGCTCTCGAGCAGGACAAGTTATGCCATGGGTGCGGGCCAAGAGGTTGTGGGAGCAAAACCGATTGCCGTTGCAGAGCAGTGTGGGTTGCAATCGCCTTCAAGTTCCTGCCTTCCACTGTTCTGACAGGTCGTAGGGAAACGTCATTCTCCGAGCAACCGTGGCGTTTGAAGCAGCATTAACGGATTTGAAGCGGCTAAACATGAAAGGTCGCATGATCATTTCTGCAGAAAAAAAAGGTGGTTCAACCGAACGCTCCCTTTACATGAGTGATTATTTATATTTCAGGCAGTCTTGGAGAAGCTAACCAACGCGGTCTTGTGCGATCAACGGGTCTTTCATGTTGAAGATGGTTCCAATTTCTTTCGCAATATGCAACAGCAGAGTATGTCCTGGTACTAATGTCCATACGAAAATACTGAAACACCTTTCCAGTCATCGCGGAAATGACAGGATTTAATGGCTGGCCGGATAGCACACCTGTAGAGCTGATGAAACAGATCCCCAAAAGGTTACGCGCGTCTGATTGGGATACGGTTCGCCCTGCGGTGGCCATAACTATTCGAGCCTGGATTTGGCGGGCATATATGGAAGCCAACATGGGCGGGGCGGGCACGGCAGACCAGTTCTATAAGTGGGTCATTGACATGCTTGAATGGGGACTCCGTACTTATGCTAATGTCCCGACCGAAGTAAGTGCGCCTGTTGGATAGAATTGACTTCATTTAATTTGATCTCCACAGGACCGCGGGGCCATTTTCGCGACAACATTTCTACGGGCTGTTCGTAACCTCCGACTCGACAATTTAATCGGAGTTGAGCCGGTCTCGTTTTTCTGTAATCGTACTTACCGACTGTTCCAAGCTGTACGGCGACAAAGGCGCCAAGTGCAGCTACACTCTCGACGACATCGTCGAGCTCGCACGTGATCTCAAAAGCGAGACAGAAGCCAGCGAAGGAGAGATGCCGTCTGAAGGCAAGGGCTTTTTCGACGCCTTTTGGACCTACCCCTTGGCCAGCGCCATCTCGTAAAGTCCTGTCGGTGCACTGTCCAAAAACTAACACCACACAGTGTAATAGGCTGGTACCATATGGAGCGTGGCCACGAACACGTCTCGCGCGCAGAAAGAGCGAAGAATCAAGATACCGGGCTGGCTATCTTCGAAGATGCAGTCACGGAGTACACCCAGTCGGCGCAGTGGTACATTCAAGCAGCCGAGACATACCCTCCAGGTTTGCTCTCTTTCCTTTCCTTGCCATTCACCCTGTTGTGAACACTCTGATACAGACGACGAATATCACCCATATCTTTTGGCTGTAGCATTAGAGGCGTACTGGCGAGGTCACGCCCCGCTCCGTATTACTATTCCGCTTGCGCGGCGGGTCCAGGAGGCAACGCCCAAGGCAATGGAAATCTGGGAAGCCACAATGAACTCAGAGAAGTCACGATCACAGCTGGAGCAAGTCGACCAATTCCTGAAGCGGTGCGATGCGGAAATAGCCAAGGGCAAGTGGACGTTGGACGACTCATTTGGAGGCGGTTATGAGCTGCGCCCAAAGACTTGGAAGATGAGGCAGAAGGAGTAGTTTATGTAATCCATTGAAACAACATTCCGAAAGCAAATGACAAGCGTTAGATACACATACAAAAATCATGAACAAGAGGTCATCATCGTTGAGGAATCAAGATTAATCAATACTCTTCCTCTCCGATACGATCCTTCTTGTCGCCATCAGTCGTACCCTCGACGGCCTCTGGTGGAGCGTCACCTGACTCTGATTCCGCCATGACAGGGATCAAAACGAAAATTACGTTCGGGCGAGATGTGTCTTCGTTCCAGTTCATTCCGTTCCTAAACCGCGTCAGCCAAAAAGCTTAGCTCGCATTTAGTGCAACTTACTCTGTTAGGGCGGAAAGCAATTGCGTTTTTACAAGTCTGCCCTTGATGGACTGTTCCATCGTAACTTTGAGAGCACCGCGGTTTGGTGAGTCATGTGCGAGATCTTCTGGTCGTGTCCCCGCCGGTGGAACGGGCGTAAGAAGTAGCTGGCCCAAACGAGTTTCTGTTTGTCTGACAGCCTCTTCAGGTGTCAGTCCCGTTGTATTGAACTCGTAGAGCGATGCAGTTGGTGGGTTATACGCTGTTGGCAGTCAGCTTCGAGTCCATTTCGGGTCAAATAACAAACAGACCTCCTACGAACGCACCCTCTGCTTTGGCATTCAACTCCGCGAGCTCCTTCTCTGCACGATCAATCTCGATTTTCGCCAGCATCGCTGCGCTCAATGACTCAGCTGTCCGTTCAGACAGTGAGGTCTTGCGTTTGCGACCAAGAGAAGCAATGCGTGCATTCAATTCGAGAGCCTCCTTTCTAAGAGAGAGGGCATGTCGGACAGATGCCGCTGGGGAAGGAGGCACTGACGGTGTGCTTGGCTGAGCTTCTTCGCTGACTTCAGGCTTAGCATCAGGCTCAGGCTCAGCATCAGAACTCTTGGGGAGGTCCTCGCCATAGATGTCTTCGAATGAGGGTGGGGGTGTTCGTGTGGGTTCATCTGTTGTGGGTGGTGGCGGCGGAGATTCAGTCGGAGGTTCTTCATTCGTTTCTGGTGGTACAGGGGTTGGCTCGCTTTCGTCTGTAGGTTCATCAGAAGTTGGAGGATGAGGGTCAACTTCAGGTGATGGTTCCACAATAGGTTCAGGCTCAGGCATGGAGCTAGTGATATCTCCCGCTACTTCGGCCTCTGGAACGGAATCAGAACTTGTCGCGTCTGGTGGTGAAGTTTCGCTGGTTAGAGGTGGAAGAGGGGCTATTGTTGATGGGGCGTTGACACTTGTTGCATCGCTACCGTCGTCTTGCGGGGGGGATGAAGGCTCAGGAGCATCATCTTTCGGCGGCACAGGTGGCGCTTCTGCTTCTTCCACGCTGACTGTCTCCCATTCATCCAGCAATTCCTGGTCAGGAATCTGTGGTATCCATGGTGAAGGAGGCACTTCCAATACCTCTTCGCCCATATCTTCACCCTCTTGAGAACTCTCCCAATCTCGGAAAGTGTCGGATGGGGTTGGAGGTAGGACAACAGGGATCTGTTTAGGTGTCGTCTCTTCTATAATGGGGAAGCTCTTGACATGGACCAACACTTGCTCTTCTTCTTCATCCTCTTCCATATCCGACGGTATTTCAAGTGGGTTGGAAGCTGATGGATCATCGGAATACTCTAGGGAGTAGGTGGGAGAAGACGACCGCGATGTCTGTGACGAGGAAACTGTGAGCGAGTCTTCCGATGGGTTGGCCGGAATGAACTGGGAGATTGTGATGTGCGAGGACGCTTGTGAAGGAAATACTGATTCTGAGACGAAACCCGATTCTGAGCGAAACACAGAACCCGAAAGTGTGCTAGCCCGGTCAAATCCGACTCTTGAGCCACCATCTGTGTCTGTCTCTGACCAGCCCGACCCTGGCAATGTCCCGGGAATCGATGAGCGCCGTCGTCGATTTGGTAAGCGGGTAGGCGGATAGGACCGGGTGGCAGGGGAGGTGGGGGCAATAGATTCGGTGGCAAGAGTTGAGAGTGGGGCGGCAGTGGTGACCACCGTTGAGCCAACAACACTGCTGACATCTGACGAGGCAGAGCCAGACGCGATCGTAGGCACGGTCACGAATCTGACTGTAGCCGTTCTTCGTTTGCGCGACAAAAGGCGGGTCGTCCAATACAACTCCCTCCGTAGTCGACTCCATCGCTTCTTGAGTCCATAGCCAACCCAAACCGCCGGCGCCACGTCTGCTATAACGCTCCCCAGGGTCGTCCATAGAAGGACAATCATCAACCGAAAGATGCTGGCGGTGACAATGAAATCCACAAATAGCCTCACTCCCAAGGCCAGGTAGGGGTCCGAGGAGGTTGGTACCTATAGCGCCAAGTTAGAAATTGTCTTTCAGACTTGCTACGACGCACCTTCTTCACATAATGTAGAACCACAATGCCTTCCCAAAGTCCAATGAGCGTTCCATACAGCTTGACGTTATGGAAGGTCGCTGCGTCGACTACGACTCGGAGCAAAAGTCCAGTGCAGATTGAATAGACGCCATCCATCGCAGCGGACATGGTTTGGGGTGAACGAGCAAAAACGTGTTGTTGATCATCTGATCTCTCATCAATTCGAGTTGCTTTTGTCCATCATGGCAAATGTAGGTACGAGGCCGGTGGGCTCTGGGACTCTGTTGCAATCCGTCATCTTCTAGAGCGACTCAAAAGCGAAGGAAATGAACTTATAGGCAATGCAAAATACGCAGAAGCATACCAGAAATATTCAGATGCAATCGCGGCGAAGCCCCAGAAGAAGTCAACTCTCTCTATCTTATATGCCAATCGGTCGACCTGTTCTTTCTGCTTGGCTAACTACCTCGATGCTGTCAACGACGCAAACCAGGTCATTCAAGCCCTCTTGTGACAGCAGCAATCTAATACATTCGTCAGGCAACGGTTATTGACCCTACGTACATCAAGGGCTACCTTCGCCTAGCCGCTGCAGCATTTGTGAGTCCACCTCTCCTCAGAAATTCTTTCCCTCTCTGATAGTACACTTAGGAGCTTGGACATCTGAACAGGGCACTAACAACATGGAAAAAAGGTTTATCCTGCCTAGAAAATGCAAAGTCACGGTCGACCGTCTCTTCCGACATCTATAAAATCCAAAAGCTCGCTTTTGACACTGGTCTTGCGAAAACCGAAGAAGCATTGAGGAAGAAACCAAGTCTCGACACCTCCATACACATCGGCGCAAGCTTGATGGGTGATGTTCCGACTGTCCGCGCACTTAAATTGTTCCGGGGGAATCAACTGAAGAAGAGCCCAATACCGAGCAGCGTGAGTGTCCTTATCGTCTCTTAAATCATCTCAATAATGGATAGGCTTTCCTACTTCTTCGAGCGTCTGAGGTGCGAGTTTCAGCCTTGCCAGATCTGTCTCAGGCTCAATACTGTTAGTTCTTCGAAGCGACTCTGATACGTCTCCAGAGTGTCACTACTCGCCCAGAGCCTGGAGTACAAGGCTTTCTTGCACAAATACGCCAATGTGCTCACTCTCGCCTCCAGGTTATCGCAGGAATAGCCTCCTCTATTCTCTGCGATGCAAGAGCGCTGGTGATGGGACCGGACCTTACTTTCTTTCAACAGCTCCAGGTCCAAAGTAAACTCGTGTCATGTTTGTCTCGTTTGCTGATATCTCAAAGTGCAATTTGAGGAACAGCATTTCAAGTCTTTTGGAGCGGCACAAGTTGAAAATGTCAAAGCAGAGGTTCAACGGCGGCTGAAGAACTCTACATGGGATGTAGTCTACCAGGCTATCGCAGCCAGTGTCCGTAACTGGATAGTTGCTGCGTTTCTGGACGTCAAGACGGGGAAGGAACTGAGTGCGGTTGAACAGACAAAATGCGCGGTTCAAGTACTGGAATGGGGTGCGGAGCAATCCAACACGGTGTGGAGTTTTCTTCATACTCAAGAGCACATTTTTATTGGACTGCAGTCTGACTTCGAAATATTCAAGCCCACCTTCATCCGTTCCGTTCGGCGTCTGCATCTCTTCAATGCCATGAGCGTAAGGCTCCATCTCACTGAACATGTATATATAAAACTCACGATCGTCAGGCATATATGCAAGGACGTGGCTATTATTCTTTGGAAGGGATCAAAGCAATGGCCCGCGACTTAAAAGAGGAAACAGAAACGAGCATTCCGCAACCCTCGGACCTGAAAGAAGTCAACCCAGGGTCTTTCGCGGCATTCCACGTCTATCCCATCGCTGAAGCATATGCGTAAGCTCCTAGGCGCTGAGAGTAATTACTTCCCAACTGTAAACAGCGCCATCGCCTGGGCCCATCGTTGTGTCGCGCAACATGCGACAGGCGAAAAGGCATCCAAAGAGTTTTTGATATCGTCCAGATTCTACATCAAGGCGGCGGACGCCTATCCGGAAGGTATGTAGCCTACCCACTTCCGTCATGTTTTCTTTGCTAAACTTTAGAAGACGAGGAAGAAAGACCGTTTCTGCTCTACACTGCTGCAGAGAACATGTGGAAGGCCAAGTCGCCATTGCGTGTCACCCTTCCTGTCTGTCGCCGCATCAGAGAATCTTTGGCAGACTCCGATGTCATCTGGGGTGGGTCTGGGGCCAGGCTCGGGGTCACTGCCGATCGTGCTGCTCGTTGTCAGAGGGCCATTACATTCATGCAGGACTGCGAACAGAAAATTGCTGCAGGAGTGTTAACTCTGGACGATTTAAAAATACCTGCCTTCATCTGAGGTAGAGAAGTCGATTAGAACATGTTGCATCGAGCTGTAGTACTAGTTGGTGTTTGCTGGGTTGTAGGTCGTATGATCGCACGTGACGCGCCAAATTTTGTAACCTTTGTGTGTTTGCCCCTCATGGCGGACGTCCTCAAGGCGGCCGCTGATGCTCTCCACCGACAAGGGAACTATGCCCAAGCGTAAGACTGACCTTTCGATGACAGGGTTACACTTTTCACCTCCGCAACAGCCATTGGAAGTACAGCGAGGCCATCGCGCAAACCCCGAACAATGCCATCTTATACGCCAACCGTGCGGCCACCTCTCTGAAGCTCGCAGAGTAATATTGCTGCCATCCTGACCCTGCGTAAACGTTTTTTTGATCCATTCGCAGCTATTTGGGTGCTCTGGATGATGCTTCAGAGGTGCTCTGTCTCCCTCGTAGCTTGCTGTGGACGAACGACCGTTACAGGCAACCGCTATTGACCCTTTGTACATAAGAGGATGGTCGCGGATCGCCTCTGCCGCCGAGGTTCTTCGATCTTTCTTGGTTGAAAACGAGACGGTTGAAATTCCTTCATTAGAAATTACACTATTGGGAAACCGCCCGTAGCGCGTACATGAAGGCCCTGTCCTGTCTGGGCACCGAAACGTCCTCCCTGCATCAGCAGGTGTTCAGACGTGAATTGGAGAGCGGCCTCGCCAGTGCGACCGCCAATCAGAACGCCAACTTGCCTTGGGACCGTGCTGTTGTTTTGAACGATCAAAACCTGCTCAAGAGGGGTACACTCCCAAGCAGCGTGAGTGCACAACCTGATGGAGCACTCTGCTCTTATTACGTTCCAAGGGATGGGTCATTGCTGTTGCTGCCATGGTAATGCTCTGCTCGTCAATACTAGTAGGCATGTCTAAAACATGTGCCAGTGGTTTGAACGAGGGTATAAACCAGTTCAACAGCTGGCAACTAACCCCCGCTTTGCGATAGCGCTTCCGGGCATGGCAATCTGGTTCGAAACTATTAATCGGGTATTTTACGATTGCCTCGTGCAACAAAACTCACTAGTACTCACCCGTCATTGTCAGGCGCTCGAGGGCCTTACGACTGGCCTACTCAACGACAAGCGGGCGTTCAAGGTCGACCCAGGCTTCATTGACAAGATGGAGTACCAAAGTATGCTTCATTGCCCGCTTAACTAGATAATATAAATTTTTGCCAGTGAATATGGAAACTTGGAACACACACGCGTGGACGACGATCAACCTCAACCGCATCAAAACCGAGTTCGTGCAACGATTGGGGCCGGAGCAAACACCCAATGACTGGAACCCTGTTCGACGGGCGCTCGCCGTGACGGTCCGCATCTGGATTTTCAAAGGCTTCATTGCGACGAAGAGAGGCGACCACGCTAAGGCCGTGCAACACTACAAGCGAACGGTCGAAATCCTCCAATGGGGAGCAGCAAAGTATCCACATGTGCATCGAGATGTGAGTTATTGAGACAACACGGTCGACTTTATCTTACTCCTGTCGCAGGACCGCGGGGCCCACTTTGAAGCGAGCTTCATTCGCGGGGTCCAGCGTCTATATATTCCAGCAGTGATTGCGGTAATTCATAGCTCACGTGATTTATTTTGCTTTTCGAGTTCACAATTGCGCCTAGCTGCACTTGAAAAGAGGGCAGCGCACCTGGTCGCACCCTAGAAGACATTGAGAAGCTCGCGCGCGACCTCAAGTCCGACACTGAAACGTGCGCGCCGTTTCCGAATATCGAGGCAGAACCAGGTTTTTACGCGCCATTCTGGATATACCCCATCGCAGAGGGTCTTTGGTTTGTCGAGTGGTGGTGTTTTTGCCATTCAAGTAACTAATAAACGTTCAGTTATGTTGGCTGGGTCCACAAACAGCAAGGAATCCGCCACAAGCGGAACAAGGCTGCTTCTGAAGCGTCGAAAGAGTGGTCCAAGGCTGCCAAATTCTACACACAAGCGGCGAAGGCATACCCTGAGGGTGACTTTTACCGAAAGCCCGCGAATCCATGTATTAATTATGTGATAGACGAGGAAGAGCGTCCGTTCTTACTTTTCGCTGCCTTTGAATGCCTCTGTTGGACTGGCGCTCCGCTCCGAAAAACACTCCCTTTGTGCCGCCAAATTCGTGACTCGATGCAGGCGGCGGATGTAGTCTGGGATGGGGCTCGTCTGAGCATGGCGGCTGAACAACGAGCGGCTAACTGTCGTCGGGCTATCGCATTCCTTGCAGACAACGAGAAGAAACTCGCCGATAAGCAGCTCACGCTAGAAGACAAGTCGATGCCGACATTTTTGAATGAGGAATGGTAAGCAGTTTTGCCATAAATATTGTAGCATATACACACTCGACTGTATCTTTTGTTGTACATATATTTCATCTTGGTTCTAATGCAGGGGCCGTGCAAGAAAGACTCGGAGCCGAGATGGTAAGTAAAAATTTGGCGGTAGTTTCAATTGTGGGAGAAGCAGTGAGGCACGGATTGCATCCGCTTTGATGGCATCAAAACGCTCGCCGTCCAATCTAATCTCCCACCGTTGAGTAGTCGATCATCTCCGAATTCTCGTGTATTTGAATTCTTTCGTACACAGCTTGCCATGGCCCAAGCTCATCAAGTTTTATTCGGCCCACGCTGCGAAGAAATCAGAGCCATAATCTCTGCAACTCGTTCGCAGTGGAGATTATGTCGCTCTTCCTCAATTTCTTTCTGTCGCCGGCCTCAGCAAGCCAACAAGAGGCGAATGAAACGGTCACCAGAATCGATAGGTGGATCGTCTTGACTTCCTTTCGACATGTGTGCAGTTGTCGGGAAAGAGTGCTGAATATATGCAGGTGTTCTGAGATGGAGTGGTTTAAGCCGTGCTTCTGCAGTACGCGAGAGCGAAGATGGGAGTGTTCCCTCTCTATCCTAGCTGAATAAGAAAGGCCGCCTTGTCTGAATAGCAGCAATTACCTCGACAAGCGCAGTTGAATATTCAGTCGAATAGAGCGCTGACGCAACAGGTGCTCCTCTTGGGCCTCGCGGAAGGTCTCCCGCGTCTGCCGAATAGCATTCTCGAGACGACCAAGCCGGGAATGGGGGAGAAACGGGCGCATGAGCAGGACGGTCACGGGAACCACGATTGTGCCAATAATCAAAGCGAAATAATGGATGTTGTTGTCGATACACGACATCGAGGCAGAGAGAGCGGAGTCCAAGGCGAGCGGGGACATGACCTTGTGGATAGGCCCTCGGTGACGAAGCCCGGGCCCTTATAACACATGGTTGTGTCTATTTTAACGCAATCCACAAGGTCAACTCCGCGCGCAATGATAAAGGCAACAGCAAGTCGATCAGCTGGCGTAACGACGGCGCCATCTCAGTTGGCGGAACTGCGTTGACAGCTCAGTCGCGCCGGGGCTAAGTCGGGAACTTGAACAATCAATCACAGAGGAAGAGAAGTCACCTCTCTCTTTTTTTCAAGGCGAGGTCGTGTTGATTCGCGCGGCCTGTTCAAGTTCACCGTCGATAAGTTGAATTTGTTACTGCGAACAAGGCTTGCGCGAGCGCACTCAGAGCAAGGAACGTTAAGTCTTGTCATCTGAATTGGCCGCGGCGTGCAGTCGAAGGCTTATCTTGCGCAGCGAGTCGTATGGAAAGGCGGAAGATTGCAGTCGGCCGCCCCACGATCGGGTGTTGCTGTCTCTTCCGATGTTCGGACATATAGATTGATAGATACACTTGCGGTATAGAACAAAGAATGAGCCAGAATATGTCATATTTCGTCCCTCGCGGGTAAGAGGTTGTTGATCTTGACAAGCTGTTGTTCGAACTTTGGAGAACCGTACTTGAGTCCTCCTTTCGTGGAGCAATTTCTTCTCGTGTTTGGTTGTTTTTTGTTCGCCGGGGTACTTTGGCGCTAGGATCTTCACGCTTCTTCACGTCCTTCGGTTTCAAGTTGGTTTTGCAACGCGTCGATGGTTGAGAAGGAAATTATTTGAGCTTCTGGTTTTCGGCCGGAGTCATCGGCCTTGTGTGCCACGGAGCAAGATGGGAATCCAAGAAATAGATAGACGCCCTTGGAGGGCCAATGGTGGTTCAGTCAAGAGGTGCGAAAAATTGATGATCATGATCCACAAAGCTGATCTCCGGCCCGGAAGTGACAGTCACGTTAGACGAGATTATCCTGGCCATGCCACCGCGCGTCGTCCCGCCCCCCGCCGCGCAAGCGGCTTCTCCTTCCCCCATCTACCCTCTTACTCTATTGCAAGAGTATGCCCAGACTCTTTCCGCCCTCCCCATCGAGCTTTCCCGCAACTTTGCCGACCTACGGGAGCTCGACGCTGTGCTGTCCGCCTCACAGACCACGCTCATAGAGAAAATCACGGCCCTGACGACGATGATCGAGAATGGGACCGGCCCGCACGAGCAGAGAATGTGGATGCTGGGCGAAATAGCGGAGGAGGCCACCCGACTTCGGCTGGGTGGGGAGGACAAAATACGAGTCGCTTGCACGGCAGCCGACAACCTGAGGGGGCACCACACGTACCTCAGACAGCTCGCGGAAAGCATCCCCGGGTTCGATGCAACGTCGTTGAATAGACACACCACCTACCCCCATGTCGCAACAAAACCGTTTATGCCCGCAACGGCCCTCGAATTCGGCAGACGGCGGAGAGGCGTGTTTTCTGCCCTGTCCAGCGCGGTCGATCCCAGTCCAGCCAAGCGGAAGCGCAATACAGGGCCCAGGGACGATGATTTCGACCACCGCTCACCAAGAAAGGGTGAGCGAGCACGGGGAGGAGCTCGAAAAAAGTGCGTTCATAACTTTTGTTTTACTCCTCTGTGGCTTATTTCATTGGGTAGAGTGGAACGTGCGGCATCACCAACAGAGTCCCTTGTTTCTGTCACTTCCCATCTCCCACCAAATGGCCGAATTCCTTCACGCGCAACCAATGGAGCGGGAAAGCGGTCTCGCCCCAGCGCCAACCGTGTTGGAAGCAACCAACCAGCCGAGTACTACGCAGACCAGCAGCAGCCGCAAGTCAATGGCAATGGATCACGTCGCGGCGACTTCAATGTCCCACCTACTGCCGGCCATCCTTCTCTTGCCTCTTACCAAAATGGGAACGGCAGCTCCTATGCGCAAATGAATGGAAATGGGACCCCTCCAGTGCAGGATTGGAATCCACCACATCCACAAACTCTCGAAGGGCCAGGAATTCCCCGGGCCATTTCCCACCAACCGCTACCGCCCGACAACAACGCGCCGCCAGACGGTACAGACGGGGACGGAGACAACGACGATGGCAAGGTCTACTGCGTCTGCCAACGCCAGAGCTTTGGAGAGATGATTGCGTGTGATGGACGGAACTGTCGATGGGAATGGGTGCGTAGCTGGTGCTCTTTTCTTTTCGCCTACATTGATTTTTTCTCTTAGTTCCATCTGGCGTGTATCGGTATGACCACGACCCCCGACGGAAGCTGGTTCTGCGATGACTGCAAGTCCAAGGGCGTCACGAACAGCAAGCGCTCGCAGAGGGGCGCTGGCGGGCGGAGAAAAGCTTCGGGGAGGGCAACGCGCGCATAGCCCGTGTTCTCCTCTTTGACCCCGGTTTATATGTTGTACGTGCCCTCATGATTTGGCTTGTGGGACAGCTACTCAACTTTGGTACCAGATAGCTTATTGGCTGTTTGTACTATTACCTTGTCGTCCATTAGTGGAATCAACCTTGTGGATTGGAAACACCCTCAGGCCACGAAAGCAAGTCGCACTCTCCAATATTCCTGAAATTACGATACAATCCATCCTCTTAACCCTAATGTCAATCACCAGACCGAAACCTTTCCGATGAAAGTACGGCCGCGAGTTCCTCGACGCGTTCACAATGAAGCCCGCGTCTCGCGTCTTCCATTTGTTTCTGGAGGCATATGAACGAGAAACTTGTCGACGGAAATGGCGTACCAAGATGAATAACTGGATTGTCTTGACCTCTCGTCTACATCTGCGGAGTTGACGCGCAAGATTGCTGAATATGAAGAGGTATTCGCGCGTTGAGCAATTAAGTCCATGTTCGTGGAGAACTCGAGAGCGAAGGTGCGACTCCTCTTTCTGCGCTCTGGCGAATGTCAGAATTGCTGATAACACTGTCAAGCGGAATATGATACCTCGACAGCCGCAGCTGGATATCCAACCTCGTAGCGCGATGGTGCAATAAATGCTCTTCCTGGGCTTTGTCGAAGATGTCCTTGGTTTCGCGAATGACACGCTCGAGGTCGTCCATGCAGATGTGGGGGAGCAATGGACGAATGAGACGGAGGACTGCGATGAGGGCGGCCAGGGCCAGGAGCGTGTACTGGAAGAGGCTGTTGTTGGTGCTGGTAGTGTCTGCTACGAATGGGAGGAGCCTGGCCATATCAGTTACTTGTACTGGTTGGGTCTCTTCATGCTTGAACGGCTTAAGTACATGTTTGGATTGAGGCTTGATTGACGCCCCGAAATGACGAGATCTCCCAGGAGATCCTGAAAGTTTCCCACGGAAGAGTCGGCGTTCCAATGGAAAATTCTGACGGGTCGTTGTGTTCTCACGGCGTCCCCGCAACGGTGCCGCGGATTCACCTTGCTTTGGCAAGGTCCCCCATCGTGTCTATCACCCATATAAGGAAGTCACTTTTACGCATCAATGATCAATCGCCGTCCTATGATTTTTTTCCCTCACTATTCCTCACTTGCCAGAAACAAATAAATGCAAACAACTTTGTATAGCCTCCTCCGTCTCACGTGTTCATCTCACCACGTCTCCTTAATCAGGTTATTACTGCTTATTCCGTCTGGTTTAGAATCTGTACGATTCGATGTACAACTGATTGTCCCTTTACGCGCGGTCTCCTACATAAAAATTAAATCCTGCTTTATGCCTCTCGCTTTCTACTTCCCCCCTCCCCCTTGTGTCTTATCCATATATGCCCTGCGTCCTGGCTCGCCGTCAGCCTGACTTTGCTTTCCACCTGAATTGAAGCTCTCACCTTTTCATCCTCTCCCGCTGCATCGTCTTTTGCGCTCAGTCTGTCTAGTCGTTCGTCCTCTATTCGAAGCTTTTCCAATGGGTGGGTCGTGAACAGTTTCGGGTCGAACCCTCGCAGCAACCGGATGTTTCCTCGTCCTCTGCTACGTGATAGTGCCATGTAGGCGTTAAAAGGTGTCAATTTCCCGGTGGGTGGATCCTCCAAGTCAATTATAACATACTCCAGCGTCTGTCCTTGTGACTTGTAGTCCGTGAATGCATATCCGGGCGTTAAAGCGTACTGCCTCCGCTTGATTGATTTCGTCTTGAACCGACCCGTCGCCGACGGTATCTGAAATGACATGATCGTTGGCACTATCGGGAGGACACCCTCTGGCAAGTCCGCGAAGGTTCCGAAAGTGCTCGCGTCTGGCTTGAACAGTATAACTGCTGCTGGGTATGTTAGCAGCGTTCGCCCTTGCTCGTCTTCCCTCAACGGCATTGGCTCTCGAGGGTCCAACTTCAAATCCACTATTGTCCCTCGTGTCCCGTTTGCAAGGTCCGCCTCTGTCGCTATGTTGAATAGCACCATCGCGCGCATACCAACAGATATTTCCACCCTCTCCTCCAGCTTACCTGTCTTCTTCATAGGTCGGCCCGCCACTATAAATCGCTCCTCTACTGTCAACCCCCCTTTTCTCCGTCGCGACCATGTCCTCCGCTGGTGAAATGAAAACACGATTGCCCGTTGTCCTCCCGTGTCTGCTTACACAGGCCGTGTTCCATCTCACTCTCGCACCGTGTCGGGGAGTTACTAACACTGCTGTGTTCCAAGGGCTAGTCGTGAAGTCGGGTACGTCACAACGCTCGTTTTCGAGTAAGAGGTGCTCAACTTCCTCGATATCATCCGCTGTACACGATCCAGTTCTAAGCCTCTTCAAAATGGCCATCCAGCCCGGGTCCCGCGTTCTCATTTGCCGCACCAACGTTATCACGGTGTCGAATTGCTCATATCGGTCGACTCCAAGCCGCCCGTCTTGCCGCCGGTCCTCCCTGTGGTACAGCGCCGCAGTAGGGTTGCCTGGAGGTGGGAATTGGTGAGGGTCACCGAATAGGATTACATTCACATCCCCAAATGCAATATCCGGCGTCGCCGCTACCGTCGTGTCCTTTCGTGTTGCCCATCACTTTGCATAGTTCTCGCAGGAACACTTTCGTCAGCATTGAGCTCTCGTCGATAATTAGATATCTTGTTGGCGTAATGTTCCTTATCCGCTTCTCCAGTGTTTCCTCACTGGGATTCTGCGACAATTTGATGTTGATGCCTGCCCAGCTGTGTATCGTTTGTCCCCCGATGAGACTCGCGGCAACGCCCGTCGTTGCTGTTTTTGGCAAGCATTTCTGGTACTCCTCTGGATTCGAATAGTTGTGAGATGGCGTTGATCAGCACTGTTTTCCCCGTCCCTCCTTCGCCTCTGACGATCATCAAAAGCTGTTTTGGCTTTCGACCCTCCATTTCGCCTCGTAGATGGTCAGCCACAATATCATGAGCCATCCTCTGTTCTTCGTTGAGTATGTCAAGGAGTGCGTGATGCTCCTCGGCGCGCTTCTCTAATGGGTTCCCAAGGTCCACCACATCTGCTTGTGTTCTGTTTACCATACCGACAACGTCTTCGCTCCCGGCACCATGCGGCTGTACCATGTGTCTGTTGTCCACTGTGGCGGTCCTCCTCGTTATGGCGCTCACCTCCTTCGCCCATCTCTCGTACTTCAAGCAGTCCTCTACGCTTGCCCTCTCGACGGGCGTGTACGTATGATTCACAGTTTCATCTTCCCTCTGGAACACCCCCACTCGATAAGCCACCTCCATCGCGTGTAGACCATAAGCACCTTCTCTAGAAGCATATCGATTTTGTCTTGCAGCTTCAACATCAGCCTCTGTCAGTGGACGTAGTGGATCCTCCCTCTCGTTGACGAACTCGTCTGCACGCTGGGCAAAGTGCTCTTCGCTCCCGCCCGCCCCCCCTCTCTGCTTCCTTCCTCTCTTTCGCGGCATCTGTACAGTCGTGATAGTACTGTATGTTTTCTATCATCTCGTTGACCTTGATGCCTGTGATTTGCAAGAATTCGTTGAGCGCCTCCTCATGGGTTGGGAGTGTTGCTCGCAAGTCTTGAAGCGTTCTCCACGGCTTGAATAATGCCAACACTTGAACTGCGTAGTATTCTCTGTTTGCGTCATCGCTTCTCGGAAGCCAGCGGCCCACCAGTTGCACTACCGTTTCAAGGTCAGCACCACGGACCACTCGGCAACCCTTGCGTTCAGATCCCGGGAGATATGGTACTCGCAGGCTGGCGGGTCGTCCAGGGCGGCGTCTCGGAACCTCCTCCTCATTTTCGTCACTTTCCTCCTCGTCGTCCGTGACTTGTGATTGGGGGATTTTCGTTCCCTGGTATGTGAACGTGTGAAAATCATACAGACTGTATGTCTCCAGTTCGTGTCCTCGTTCCGCGTACTCCTTCATCTGGTCTTTGAGGACCAGGCGGCCGTTTTCGAGCGACAATCTAGCGACAGGCTCCTATCTGCTTGTCAACAAAAATAAACCTTGTATAATTGTGGAAACCCTTACTGTCGGCTGTCTATCGCTGGTCAGACTACTGTGTATGTCGCTCTCTCACTCGGCCTATAAACTGATTAGCTACTTGGACTGAACACCGATCTGTACTTACTGTGGTATGGTCTCTATTCCCGGAAATGCTTGCCGAATAGTCCATGTTACCTCGTCCCAAAATATCCGCACAAAGTTGTGTGAGATAAAGCGGTCTCCCCATCCCATCAGATAACTCACAACCTCAGGCCCACTAAGCTCGTGTTGTCGGCTGAGAGTGTTTTGCGCAACGTTGAAGAAGTAGCTTGTTTTCATCACCGTGTCGTTTTTGCCGCGCGGTCAGCTTCTTGTGCATAGCAAGCCCGACTGCGAGAAGTGCCGATGCGTTCGCTGCCTGTATTTGTTTCTTGGCAATGTAGAGCGTGATATAGAACGTTATGTCTTTTGTTTCTCCACCGTTGGTGATGAGTTTCATGTCTTGATTGCAGCGCCCGAATTGCATGAGAGGCGGGTTCCACGCATTAAGCCGCGACCAGATCCGCTTCGGTCCCCACTCTCCGTTGGGCTCAACCCAAGCCTCTTCCGACGTCTTCCATGGTGCTCTTCGCTTACATTCCTGCCTTCCGTTTCGGGTTCGCATACAGGTCCTATCATAGCAATCGTGCGGTTGAGTTGCTCGCGCAATTCTTCTTTCACTTGCATCCCTTCTTTCCGCATAGCCAGGCAGTCGTGGATCCTCAGGTCGTGAGTATGCCACGTGACGCTCCTTCGGTGTGTTCCGTAGTTGCAGGTCGTTCTCGCTGATGTGCGCCTTGATGTTTCGCGCGATGAATGCTCTGACTCTCGCTCGAAATTCTTCCGTTTGCAACGCTGCTTTCATTGCTGACGCAGTCGGCCCGCCTTCCAACCAGAACAGACTGTGTAGGTGGAGTGACCCTCGTGCTTGTGCTTCGACCGTGCCTATATAGCCCTTGACAACGCCCAGCACACCTTCTTCACGAGCAATCCCTCCTCGCTGCGACACTCTTATTCCAAAGATCTCTTCAAGCGCTACATTCACCATAAAGTGGAAGAATTCCGCGGAAGCGAAGGGGTCGCTTGCAATATTCCTCAATCTGCTTTTGTACGTGGGACCAGCAGTTGCGCTGAACGCGCGTCGAGATCGATTTCCTGCCCTGCCAGGACTTGAGCGACAGGATCGCCACTGTCTGACAAATTAAGTGTCGCCCATATAGTTGGAGGATTGAACCGGACAGTCATGCCCCAGATTTGAGCCCTGATGGCTATACGACTCTCGTCTGTCCCTGAAACTTTTGACCGCCACCGCGGTGAGCTGGCGTCTCAAGCTCCGCACTACGGGGTTGGTTATGGATTTTCTCTGTGCTTCTTCCTCGCTTGCGCGAATGAGGTCGGTGGGGACAAGTAGCTGAAATGATGTTTGCATCGAGATAAAGGAGCTTCGCTTGATTTGTAAGCAGGCTGCTCTGCAAATCTGTCGCTTGGATATGACCCCGAAGGCGAGGAACATGAAGTATATGTCCTTTCGGAACCTCTTGTCGTGGTATTGCAATGCCCAGCGAACGTGTGTCTCGTATGGGACCCGCCCTTCTCGGTCGACCTCCAGCCCTCCCAAACCGTACGGGAATAGGAATGGGAACGCTCCCAGCAAGTGGTTCGGGTCTGTCGGTCCCCCATCAAATCAGTGCCCTTGCCCATCTGTTCGCGCGTACTCGTTGACAAACGCGCTTCCTTTCCGCACGCCGTATTCCCTCGCAGCAAAGGCCGGGACTATGTTTTCCGCCGCATGCGCAAAGAGGTCAGAGTCAGTGACTTCTTCTCCACCCGTGTCGATAACACCGCTAGCTTGAATGGGAAACACGTCAGGCTCTGTGGACATTTCAATTGCTTGATATGCTGCTGCCAACCACTCGCATGCTGCTTACCATAATCCGAATCTATATCTTCTCCATTGTTTTGCCCACGATTATCTGCCGTTATTCAGTGATATATCCCATGATGCGTTGTTTCGTAATACCTGGTAGATGCCCTGTGTATCGTTCTCTGTCATCGCCCATCCCTTCGTCATCGTCTTCATCACTAGAGGACTCATCCGCCGGGACATAGGAGGCGTGCTCTTGTCTGACTGCCCCTACATCATCAGAATATCTGACGTTGCTGGTTATCTCTTCGGGCACGTCATTTTCTGGTAGCTCGTCGAGTCTTTTCGTCAGATATGGTGATTTGCGAATATAATGGGTTGTTGTTTTTTGAGCCAGCGGAGGGCTTGCGCAACCCGATGGCGTTGCATGTGTACTAAATCCGGATAACTTGAAACTGGCCGGTCTTTTGCTCCAATGAAAGTGATTCCTATCGTCGCAGCTAGCACTGCTGCAGGGTTCGGGAACAGTTTACCGTCCACCATTTGGCTAATGCGGTCCGTGTTTAGCCTGTACGACGATACATTCCCTCTGAGTCCAGCTCCTGTAGTCTTTTCCTCGTCCCGTTTGCCGAGATGTCGAGGATATAGTTTGATGATATAGGCTGCAGGAAAGTAGATAGATACCAGGAGACGCTCGCTGAGAGTTAACACGGCGAGTTCTCTCGGTATGGCTCCAATCCACATATTGTTGGCGAGCGATAAAGGCGGTCGGTTGCCTTTAATAAGCTGTTGTCGACATTGACTACAGATGTACTCCTTCGTCTCGCCCGTCCGATGGAGTAGCATTCCATTGGTGAGTGTGTGTCTGGGATGTGGGTGTGTTGGCACAAGGAACATGGGATTAGGGATTTTGTCCACCGTCAATTCCACTAGGTCCGACATAAAGAGGCTGCGAGCACAGCTCATACAAACTCTTTTGCGCAAGCCCGAGTTACCCGTACGATCAATAGCTCTAAAGAGATGTTGGGTCTCGAACACTTGAGTGTTTAAACACAACATACCTCGCTATACAACCCTCAATTACGCTGTCGCTGACGCATCGTAAAAATGGTCCCTCCATAATATCTCTTGACACGTTCTCTTCCCTTGCCCACGGCGTTCTCGATGGCGGCGGTCCTTCCATCGCGCCGCTCACGATCTCGGGTTTTTGGCGCTTATTAGGCGTGTCCCTCTGCGGAGCTCGTTTGCGCTTCGAGCCTTGCCTCGTCCGCGCGTGTATCACGAGTAAATTTCGCTGATTGTCAGGTAACGCGTCGAGGTATGCCAATAGTGCTGTCCTGTTGCGTTTTGCTGCTCTTGGAATGGGTGCTGTTGCATAGGTGGCCAGTTCAATTATTTCCGCGACAGTAAAGGCCTGTAAGACGTGGTTTAATGACATGGTTCTCGCAGAGTATGATTTGATTTACTACCCTCTCTTTATCATCGTCCTTGACTACTACCTCCCATGTCCTCGTCTCTCGCCTTATTGGTATCGCTGGACTTGCAGACCAGGGTAGAGCCTACCGATGTTGTCTGCCCTGATTGTCGGCTTTCCCCGCACCATCTCTTGACATTCTTGCGCTCGAAGACCTCTTCGTATTTGTCCACGGTCGAATACGAGAAGGACTTCTTTAAGCCGTCAAACACGAACTACAATGAAAGCGCTTTCAGTGCCGCACCCGGGGGCATCGCGTCTGGACGATGCTAAGACTTTCCTACTGTTCGGGGAAGTCGCCTGTTTGCCGCAGAAAGAGGACGGTCAGGGCTATCATCTGCGTTTGTGCATGCCCGACTGGTCCACATCCCGTTGGAGTCCGGATGTCTTTGCGGGAGATTGGAAGTTGCAGTTGGATAAGCTGATGTCGATTGTGTTGGATATGGAAGACCTGGATAAGCAGGCTGGTTATGTGCCTTCATCTTTCTTTCGCCTGAGTCGAGCTCACGCGCTTATAGGATCTCGACGAAGAAGAGAGTTTCACGGTTTACCCTGGCCCGCACATCGTTTTGAACATCCGTCACAACACTGTTTATTGGATGAGGCATGCGCCTGGCAAGTATTCTACTTGCCTCGGGTGCCAAGATGCCAGGGCCTTCCCCTTCGAAATCGGGTCGACTGTGGTGGTTGAATGCACCATGCATTCGCAAGCGGTGTTTTTGGGACCTGGTGATGAATATCGCGTGAGTATGCCGACGAATGACTTCCTACACTGACCTTTTATTGAGTACTACTACGCGCTCAGGTCGACCTCCATCAAGCAAGTCTTCCCTCAGCAACAAAATGAGTTGTCCGTGGGTGGCTTGCTTGAAGAGTGGGATGGTGTAGAGACGTTTGCGCCCAGCACCAACATTACCGTTCCTGATAACAGTTCATCGCCAGCAGCTGAGTAGCGTATTGCTCTTTACTTCAAATGAAATGCTGTCGCGTCGGTAGACATGATCCTGCGAGTGTCCTTGTCTTGGTGTAAAGTGCATTGAAAGTCGCCACGTGGTCACGTGCTTTGTCTTCCGTTGATTCCGTCCTCGATCATCAGTCGATGCCTCAGTCTGAACTCCTACCCATTCTCGATTCCCATAATCGGGGGTTGGTTCAGCGCTACATCGCTTGCTCTGGTCAAGTGGATGTTCCGCACATGATACGGTTGTTTGTATCGCTGACTATCGGCTCTAGTTAGTGTCAGGCTCCTTCAAATGCCTTTTATTTGCGGCTGGAGTCCAGTGTGTCTAGTCGATGTACCTCTATATCTGGGGTCCTCGCTGCCCGCAGACACCTATGACCTCGATATTACACACTGGATATCGCCAGGTTGTCGGCCGGAAAGTTCCTCATTCAATGTCGACAGCAACTCTATCCAAATTACTCGCTGGCCTTCTGATACTTCACAAGACTTGTCCTATGCGTACACTATATTTTGCGCCCCTCAGCCCGTTTTTAAATGGCCCCCCGAAGACACCATACACAACGACAACAAATATATCTCGAACCTTGCTGGTGTCGCTCGCTGGAAAGGCAATGTGCTGGTTGCGCGCTCCAGCTACGCTCGATCGGGTGTGAGTAATATGGAGATGGACGATAGGGCGATATGTGAGAATATAGTGAAAAGGTTTGCTCTTTTGCTTGACCGTTCTCTGGATTGATTTCACCTTTCAGTGTGATACGGAGTAAAATGATAGGCACTGATGTATCGACGTTCCTCTCTTTCTGACAAATCAAACACTTGTCTCTCTCTTTTCTTCATCATGGCGTCTTCCCGTGTTCTGGGGGACGCCCACCTTGTGCATATGATACTGCAATACCTCCCTTGGGGTACTTGGACTTCAATATCCTCTACGTGTCGTTTGATGAGGCAACTGGGCAACCATTACTTGTTGCTTCGCCTTCGTCACCTCCTCGCTCCGGTCATCGCAATTGAGCCAGCATCTGATCTCGACATCCTCTATCGCATTCTGCACCTTTCGTTTGCAACATCGGCCGCGTTGTCAGGCGACGCTTTTGTGCAGCTAGTCACATGTATCCCATTGCAAGACACTCCCGTCCGACGACTGGTGCTTTTTGTCCCTAGTATCTACGTTGCTCGTTGGGGCCGCTTCCTTGTGCATCAATTGGGATTCCAGCCGTACGTGTCGTTGCCTGCTTCTTTGACTGTTGAAAATAAATGTGCGTTTACAGCGGCTTCGTGAGGCCACCTCCGCGGCGCCTTCATGGTCATGCCTTCGCGGTCCGAAAATTTACGAAATTTGTCCGTCCCTGCCCTTCAGTGTAATCTACCTCATTTATCTTTTGCCCAGGACTCTAGTGTTCTCATCTTCGAGAGTTCCACCTTATCGATCCTGCCTTTGGTCTACGCATCCCTTCGGACGTCCGACATGACATTTGTTGTTGGATCAACCGTTTACACCCTGTATCCTAAGCTGGCCGCGGAGTGTGTGAGCATCCCTGCTTGGGCGCAGATCGGTCAACCTCAGTGGGCACGACGTCCTTCACTTATCAGGGGGGTTGGCTGCGAAACCCTTCGGTATCAAACAAATAACGCTACTCTGGCTCGTCCGTGCGGAGTTGAGTGTCCCCGTTTGTGGCGATGCTTGCGGAACGACCGAGGCGTTGCGCGTTTCCACTTCGGAAGTACTCCCATCGAGGCTGACTTCGGCCAAACACTTCGAATCCGCTGGCGCCTCGGCGCCGCATGCAGCAACCCCTTATGCCCCTTCTATGGAATGGAGATCTTGGCGTACATCGCTCCGTATGGTCGGCAGGGTTGGTAGGATGTTCGCGCTGACGGTTCAATGTGCCTCTGGCGGTCAGCGGGGGTCCGCGGCTCGGTATCTACCTTGTTCGTATTTAACCTGTTACTATATGGACGAGCTTAAACCTCTTTGCTCCAATGGACTTCCCTCTCGAAATCGTTGTCGAGCTACTCAAGCAATGCGACCTTTTCACTATCAATAACATCTGCAGCGCTTTTACTCTGGGTGCTCGCGCTGCTCAATTTGTTGTCGCAGAGCGCGCTGACGCTCTTCTCTTACCACACCTTCCCGCGGACCATCATCCCGATTTCTGGCGTCGCCTGGGTTCAGCTGGCGGTGGCGTCGTAGGCTCAACAGTCTTGCAACTGGTATACCCGTCCAACGCGTGGACCCCGAACGACTTCAATATTCTGGTGCCCGCTGGCGAGGGTGCCGATATTGGAGAATTGTTCATAGCCTCCGGTCACGTCCCCCAAGTTATTCCCAGCCACATTCCCGCCGTCCATTACACTCCGGCCTATGGGTCAGAGAGCATCACGGCGTACCCCCCTGGCAGCCATTGGAGCAACACTACGACGCTCTATACGCACGAGAACGGCTCTAAGGTGACGATAACTGAGACGAAAGACTGTAATATCATGCGCACCGTCCTTGGCGCTGAAACGACTCTTGGGACTGCAGTGTTGACCCCGACTACCGTGATGTTCGCTCATCCCCGACTTTGGAGAGCTCAGCAGGCGACTTTCCGTGATGGCACAATTGTCAACGGCGACTCCGACCCCCGCAGGATCCCCACCCCGGGATAACCTCTTGGCTCGCGGTATAACAGTTGTCCCGAACTCTAACCCGCTTTCGTTGATTTCTTGCGACCTCTGTTGTGCATACGAACGCCGGCTGCGCGGTGGACGAGACTTCGCTGTAATCGCCGTTCATCGTCCCAATGTGCCAGATCGCTTAGGTGTTGATGCCTCGGGCGGGGTTCGCCTCCAGCGAGTACAGCATCATATTCACCTGGGGCACTTGTTGCAATCCATCCTGTCCTTGTTATCGTCTCCCTTTGTCATCTCTGCGGCCGTCTCCCGGGTTTCGACATGGAGCCTGCTAGTCGGCGCCCTGACTCAACCAATTACGATGATCTTCAGATTCATCGCGTCGTGAGCAATATCACTGCTTGCAGATTTAGAGAGCCGGTGCGTTCAGTGTGCGATTAATCTTAGCTGTTTGTGATTGTTGATATTTCTCCACTGCAGAGATTTCCGATATATTTCACTTGCTTGTTGCTGCCTAGTGCGATGGACGCTGTGCTCGTGCCGGTTCCTCTGGACGACCATGTCGGCTACTATCGCCATTTTGATGACCTGCGGACTCACACCTGGATCAGACCCAGTATGGGCTTGTCGCTCTTCGAGCCGCCTAATCGCATTTACGGGGGTCTCGTTTTTCGCTAATCCATTCCAGAAGTCGTTCCGGGTGGAAGGCGAAGATGGCTGGTACACTCTTGTCGTTGTCTTCGAATCTAACTCCACATCGGCGGGTGTCAACTCAAACATTTACATGAATCATTGCGATTGTACCAAGGTCTTTTTTTCGGCGACGCGCTTGTTGTCTTCTTCAAG